CCTTCAGTATAGTTACTATACACAGATCGGACGTGTTCCAGGGCTGCCTGATAGATGGCGCCCAAGGAGGTTATAATGGGCAGGAGGTGGCGTCCCTATCCCCAATGCATGGAGCGAACTGTAACGGAAGTAGGCGTGGCCACGAGCCGCAACGAGCATTTCTTGACCAATGGGAAGCCTAGTGAGTGGGCGCCGCCATTAATTTCGGTGCAAACAACCGCGTTGCCATGACATTTCCGTGGCAACGCGACTGTGTGCACCGAAAGTAATGGCGGCACCCACTGTTATTTGAAACAGCGCTTAACGGGAGACTTTTAAATTATTATAAACGAACGCCTGGTTGCCCAGCAAGAAGTAAGTGACTAGAATTGAGACGCTCTAGACGACGCACCGTGAAGGACTTGGCGGTGCGCAACGCATTTTTTAATAAACAGCAGCAGCAGATCGCACGAGCGCGCATGCAAGCCAGGAGCGCACAGAACGGGCTCGCGCTTCCAGTTCTGACTTCGCTCGCACATAATGTGGAACTAAGTATAAACACTCACGCTGCAAAGCATTTGCATCGTGGACGCCCACGGCGGACGCCGACCGCATCGAAAGCTAGCCTCGTGAAGCACACGCCGGAGCAGATTAGAAAGCAGACGAACCGCCGGTGCGCTACCCCACGGCCTCGGAACGGGTGCGCAAGGCAGTCTGGGATTAAACGCATCTTCCGGCTTCACTCAGGCTGACGTCATGCCGGGTCCTGTCTGTTTAAACGTCCTTGATGGCGCCAGTGTGTCTTCGCACAGTGTTGCTCTTTGTGTATACGTCCTGCAACAACGGACACATCGCAGACACGCAGTATGTAGCATGATTAATCTTATGATGCGGTCATAAACAGGGTGATTAAAATTAATATAAACGAGCAATAAATAAATAACTAAAAAGACACAAGGACAAGTAGAAGATGGGCAGAAGCATAATATTGTGTATCTTTTTTTTAAATATACCATCGAGCAACGTGGGCGGTCGCCATGTTTTGGGCACGAATTAAGTGTGTGATTGGGTCCGAGTCCTCGCCGAGCGCTGACACAGCCCTCGTGTCGAATACATGCTCAGAGTGCATGATCGAGCAATGGCGGACTCGGAGCAGCTACTAGATGGCGCTCTGTGTCCCCTGGGCGCCGCCATATTTGTTTATGCTGACGCCATGACGCAGTAGGGAGAGCTGCGCTTTTTGCGAGACTCCGTTTTGTTTAGAAACCTTCGCACATATCTTGGTGCGTAAGAACGTCAGAAATCCATAGTCACGAAGCTCCAAAAACAACGCCGATGCCAAGAGTGCCGTAAAAAAAGCAAAAATCTTGTTTTATGCGCATGTACGCACGCCCGCGTTGTCAACCGTGGCCTTGCAAGCGTCGCGGTTATGTGTCGATCTATTTTCTGTGAACGAAATCCTACGAAGAATTTCCTAACACAGCGTTGATATATACGATTCTATCACACCTGCAACCGATGCTGTTGTCCATTAATTTTGTGTGGCAATTTCGGATCGCGTTGGGTTGAGCTTGTGGCGCATGTGGACCATCGGCTGCGTGCACAAGGGTGACAAATTTTCCCACTTCAAACGAGAAGGTATCTGGGTGCCATCTTGCGTAGACACCTTTTACGCCATTTTGATCACTCACTCGAAGTAGATGTCGTGCAACATCTTGCAAAATCAATAAAAAAACGACCATTATTTAAGGCCATTCTAATCGGCTATATGGTCACTGCGTGGCGAGTCTTATGCGTCTTATTACCGCTTCGAAGCTAGGCAGACTTATAAGGCATTGGCCGTTAATAAATGTGTTTCCGTGTTTCTCAGCGTCTGTAGTGACTTCCCGCTCACTGTTGAACAGAACGCACGAATCGGTTCTTTAGCCGCTGTCAGATGTAATTTTAGATAAAATCTCTCCTTATATATATATATATATATATATATATATATATATATATATATATACAGGCGCAAACGTTTTCAGTCAAAGTTTCCACATGCACGCGCTTGTGTTTATAAAAAAGTGCCTTCCCATGGCTCTTATTCTAATTCCAGAAATTAAAAAAAAAGCCTGTCTTTGTCTTATTTTTTTTTTTTACCATGTGTTTTTACGTATGGATAAATTTTCTCACTGTAATTTTGGTCGGAGTCGTGATTTCATAGTTCCCGTACTGACGGGGTACAAGCGAAGGCAACGCCAGGCGACGGGAGAAATGGCATAGCTAACTGTGCCGCGCCGCGAAGTTCTACAGAACCTACGTTCTGTAGAACTTCGCAGAGCACCAAAGTTAGCTAAGCACAACTAACTATACTCTGTTTCACCTTATGATGTACCGCAGAAAAGGCTACAAGCGCGAGCTCTTTGCTCTGGGGCACATCTCGGCGGCACACGCTCTCGTGAATTAAGAGCAGCTGCCAACGCTATGAGCTCGCGCTTCTAGCCTTCGCTGCGGTACAACATAAGGTGAAACTAGGTGAAACGAAGTATAGCCCAAACCCAAGTCCAAGTTTTGAGAAATGGAAAGCACTAGAAAGGCTTGGGAGAAGGAAAGAAAGCTCCTCTCTAACGTTTTTCTCCATTGCCCTCCTCTCCGTCTCGCATTCCTAGTGCTCGCCTTTTCTCTCTTCGCTGGCGTTGCCTGCGCCTGCACTGCAACTGCACACTTTTTTTGCGAGATGCTCTGAAAACGATGCTGGCCCACTAGTGATGACGCTTGGAGGGAAATTTCGCGGGCCTTTTCTTCTAGGTGCGTATTGCGTCATCTCGCGTCGTTTGTTTCGCACACAACACCTGCTCATAGCATTACGTCTCCGTTCTGGATGAAGTAGCAGGTGTAACACGAACAAACCCGCCTGCTCGGCCTTGGGGCCGCGATGGGCTAACAAAGGCGCCATTCGCTCTTGGCCTCATTAAAGAAAGAAAAAAAAAAAAAAAAGATATACTTGCACAGCGTACGTTCACGAAACCGTGGCAAGCGTCAAACACGCCCAATGAATCAGCGTCTGCACACAATTGAGGGCCCGTACAAAGTCATTCTTCTATGTACGTCCACCAATTACCATTGTTTCTTTCCAACTTTGTAGGACTACGGAAGACTGCATCAGCGAAATAAATAAATTATAAATACATTATTAATAAAACTACTAATTTTTTTCTTTTTAGAAAAGCTAAACAGGGGTTGCGCGAATAAATCACCCTGGGTGGCGAATGTAAAGAATTTGATATCACTCCCGATCGCGAAATCTTTTCGAGCCCGCGAAATGTCCCCGATACCGCGGCAGCATGCAAAAATTCATGAAATCATTGAATCCACAAAAATGAAGTCACTCACAGTATGTGGCCACTGCGTTTGCGCGGCATAGCCCGCAACTTGCAGCTCGGGGGGGAGGGGGGGGGGGGGGGGGGGGGGGGGGGGGCATATGAGATGTACAGAGAAACCGATTTGATTAAAACATATGAGTTACCGGCATGTTTCCTAGGAAACAAAACTGACCAACAAAATGAATTCCGAATATTTTTCTCGTCAGGAGTTAATAGTGTCCCTGAAACATCCGCCATTTTGTTTCACACGAAATCGGCCATGAGCATTCACAACATAGTTTTTCTTTCTCTCTGGGAGATGGCTACTCAACAAAGCGTGTTAGTACTGTCAAGGTGGGGGGGGGGGGGGGGGGGGGGGATTAGCGTGAGCCAAGTTAATGCCTGGTTCCACGAGGGAAACAAACACACAAATCACACTCATCGCCGACATCACAGAAACAGTTTTTTTTTTCTCGATGTGATGCAACTTTTTAAAACAGTATCATAGGAATTTTTTTCAAAACTCCGCTCACTCGAACATTTGAAATTTTTAGAGCTGCTCGGAAACATTTTTTAAAAATCTTTTTCGATCCCTGTAAACTAATTTAATTAATTTTTTTCCCCCGCACGAGAAGTTAGGGAGATGAGAAATGAAAGTTCAAATGCTAGCGGCAGAATGAAAAAAAGAAAAAAGAAAAAAAGAACCTGTTTTATTGAAGGATTTTGTGGGGTCGTTCAGTCTTTACGAGTTCCTGTCTTCTGTAAGACCTGTAGAGTGCTTAAAAAAAGTTTAAGATATATATATTGTTAGGGTCGGTGAAGCCCCCGACCCTCCTCGATGATTGCCAAATGGTTCAACCGTTTTCGAAATGGTGACTTTTCTGTGGAGGATGCCTCCCGTGAAGGGCGCCCAAAAATTGCAACCCACGTTGAAAATGTGTCGGCAGTGAAGGCAGCGGTTGAGGAAGTCGATCGAGTTGCGCTGAAGAAGTTGAAGGAGATTGTTAATATTGATAAATATTGATTGATGTTAATATTGATAAATATTGATATTGATGACATTGTTAATAAAAAATCTTGGTTACAGCAAAATATCTCCAAGTGGGTCCCTTACTGAAGCAGTGCATGAAACCAGTCGTTTTCTCCGAGAGGAACACCGCGAACATTTATTTTAAACTTACAAAATTACAAGAGTCTCTCAGGGTAAACTTTATCTCAGTGATGCTTTCTCTCACCGCTCGTTGGTACACAAAGAGCAAAACGTCTAATCAGAAGCACATCTACTCAACTGCGAACTGCAAACTTATAATTACCATGCTGTTACTTTAGGTTCAAGCTTGTCACATTGCGCAGCATACAGTATTATTCTACGTCTCCACCGTTGACGAATTAGATATCCAGTTTCAGACCTGGTTGGATATTCAGACTCGTTGGACATTCCGTAGACATTTCGTCTCGATTGATATTCCGTCTCGCCGGTGCACAAGAAAGAATGGGAAAATAGTATCCTTACAAATTTTCCACTCCCCCTCCCCCCCCCCCAAAAAAAAAAAATAAAATAAAAACGGAGTTTTGGATTTGCCCTTGGTGGAACGTTGTCATCAACATATTGAACCCATTGTTCCCACGGTGAACACAGCAACGTATTAATCCACCGAACGACTTTTCTCGTTTCAGATGAACAAGAGCGAGTCCAGAAGAAAGTGTTTATGAACTGGATCAACAACTTCCTTTCACAGGTACTTTATTCGCTTTGTTTCAAAATTATTTCAACCTGCAGTCGCTCATAGAAAGTTAAGAGATCGGGGGAAACTCCTCCTACTCCTTTCCACTTTAGCAGATAAAAAGCTGGAGAGGAGGCGACCTCCTCTCCAGCGCTCGTTCTGTTAAACTGGAAAGGGTTGGGAGGAATCTCTCCTGAACTCTAGGTTCAGCTCAACAAGGCAGTAATGTTTCTGCTGGTTTCGGTTTCAGCAGGACAAATTTCCTAACCATTGTCCCGACTATTGTACAAAAGAACTGTAATCACAAAGAAAACGCTTATAGAACTGGTTGAATAGCTACAGGAAAGCGTAACATTAAGCCCAAAATTAATTTATTCACACAACAAAATTAAATAAAAATGCAAAACTTGTAAGCCAGGTGGCGGTGCCTACCGCCCAATACTGCTGTCATTTTTTAGCTTTCTCTCTATTGTATTTTCTCTGAAGAAAAGTTGGAGAAAAGAAAAACAACAACAACGTCAGAGAAGGGCCGGAAGGGCCGCGAGATTGTGATTGTATAAACCCGCTGAACTTGAAAGCGTGTCTCGCCGCCTCGCTCTGGGTGTACGACGGTACAGCCGTCTGTTCTGCGTTCTGCACTCCACACTGGCCGTGGAGACGTAACCCGATTCAAAACGCGATGCCCGCCAACCGTCGGTGAAAGTCGCCGCACCGTAGACGAAACGCCGGGCTGGCTGTACCACCGCGGGCTGTACCAGCTGCACCTTGTTTCAGCGCTTTTGTGGAAAGCTGTGGGGAGGCATAGATGCGAGCTCGTCGTCTTACAAAGTGTCTTGCTTGCGCTAGTACTTATGAGAAAGAAGCCATTTGCCGTGATATCCGGGCTGTCACACCTGTGCCCCTGATAGCGCTGATCGCGTCGCTGGGGCGGCAACGTCGAGCAATGTTTGCAAAATTATTAATAGAAATCTTTGTAGAAAAGAAGAAAAGACGAGCAACGTATTTGCCCATTTGGAAGCTTACGAGGCGAAGCAGAAAGGCGAAAGCCCGCACGCAAACGCATTGGCTTTAGATTCTCCCATTCAAAAGTCTGCCGTCTGCCGGAAGGGAATCCCTGAAGAGTCGCGGACACGCAAACTAAAACTGCAACGTCACGGCGCACTTTCTGCGTTTGGTTGGATTAGGAGACGATGGCACATCCGCCAATAAAGTGATGCAGTGACGTTGCACTTTTGGCGCACTTTGATTGGCTCGTGAGCTCTCACTGTTGATGTGAAAAAAAAAACAAAAAAACTGCTGGGTCATTTGCTCTGGCTTTAACACTGTTAAAAAAAAACCGGTTGTCATGGCTTTTTCTTGCACTGTCCAGACTCCAAATGACAAAGTCCTCTTTGGTTGGAACCAATATTCTCACCTGTCTAATAGTGCCCATTTCATTGTCATCTCATGTAATGACTAACACGTTCCTCAGCGTCAGTTGTTCCCTTATAGTACAGTAGTTCCTACCTTCTAACAGTCGGTAAGGGTTCAACTTTCCTGTATGATTTCTAGAATTGTTAATGACAAAGTGCAATAACCTAGCCTATGCTCCAATCACCCCTAAGCTGACAGTGCAGTGCAAGCTTGTTAGACTAGTCATATGTCTTAATTTTTCTTAATACTTAAGAACTCTTAATTTTTATAATTGCGCTCTCGCCCTAGCTTTGATGTTAACAACCTGTTGCTTGAGACAATACTTACCATAATTTAAATAATAAAAAAAAAAAACTATTTCATTTAAAATTATTATTTACTTTGAGTGTGAGTGGAGAGCTTGCACACATGCCTAAAACATAATTATTTTTGTACGGGCTGGTAGCACCTGTCTCGACAAAGCTAGAAGGAAGCCGGGGCAGTCATGCTAAAGTGTATCTGATGTTAAAACTTCGAAAACAGATGTCCTCCAACTACTAATGTGTAGGCGTAAACAGTCATCTCCGAAGGTCAACAGTATGCGGTTCACTAGGTTCACCTCGCAGTAAAATGAATTGCCCTGTACTACCGTTAGTTGTGCTGCCAGCTAATTGACTCCATTTCTTTACTGCTTGACTGCACTGTCGCAGCTTATGCCAGGTTAGTGGAAGACCACCAGTTCTCAGAGTCATGTTTTTCTTGTACCGTCTTCTCCAGCGGAATCCTCCCCTGAGGGTAGACGACGTCATTCAAGATTTGAGAGATGGCACCAAGCTCCTCGCTTTACTTGAGATCTTGTCGGGCCAAGTGCTGGTAAGAACTTTTCTCTCATGTTTTCTTGGTCATCTGGCACACGTGCGAAGCATTTGCTGTTGGTAGAAACATTTTGGCCATAGCTGTTACAATAGTATTGTCATCTGGATTACAAGCAGGAGCTTACTTGTCCATTGTATCTACCATAAAATCTCGAGCAAGTACTCACTCAGATAATCATGTAAAACTGGGGGATGGGCGCTTCTTAGGTCAAGAATTTGTAAAGATGCGTGTTTTGTGTATTTTTTTTTAATGTTAAAAATGTGACGCTTATTTTGGAAAGTAAAAATGCTCTGTTTTATTTTTCTTTCTTTTTTTAAATTTTGTTATGTTTTTATATGTGCAAGATGCTTACTTTTATATAGTGGCTGGTACGGACCACAGGGGGAATATTTTCACCTGATCATCTACTCCATTCTTTTTGGTCTTTAAATTTTATCTTGTATGTTATCTTGAACTGAACGCCTGAATCTGAGCAGTTATCTCTCTCCGGTTCCTCCTTCTTTTCACTATTCTCTCACTCTTGTTCGCCCTTCTCCTTTTCTGCTTCCCTCACACTTGTTCTTTTGTGTTCTTTTCCATGCTCACTGCTGTTTTTTACTTCATGTTTTTCCCCTTTTTCTGTCTCTTTTTTTTTATTGATAGCATACATGTTTCCTCATGTCCCATTCTTGTGGCATGAGTGGAGTTTTTGTTTCTTGCTGAACGAAAACAAAGTGGAATTTACATCTTAGAATGGATGCTTGGGCGAGTTGGATATTCGTATTGTAGGAAATAGCACAAAGGTAAACTCACTCACACGGGAAATGCACGCACACCAGAAAAAAGGTTACTTACAAGACGAAAACACAAACTGAGTTGTAAGTCAGTGCGACGTGAGTGACCTTTTTTCTGGTGTGCGTGTATTTGCAGTGTGAGTGAATTCACCTTTGCGCTATTTCCTGCAATTGGAATTTACGTGTGATTGAACAGGCTGATTTGTTAATGCTTTCGTGTAGACAAGGGTGGTACCATATTAGACTTGCCGCTCTCTCCTGTTGATGAGTCTGGGTTATTTAAAGGAGAGGAACCTATCGATGACTCCCTTGTAAATTCTTTATTGACTTTTAATAGTATTAACCCAGGTTAAAACTGCTTTTTAGTGAAATAATGATTGAGTTCATTCATCTGTTTATTTTACTTTACCATACAGTGTTACTTTGGTTGCCTGACTTTTGAGGATGCATAATTCAACAAATTTTGTGTATCCTTGATGCACGTTTAATTAAAAAGAGATAGAAGCAAAACAGTCTGGCATCTTAATCATTTTTGCAGGGTACAAATGTACTGGAGTAAGTAGGATAGGACATACTTTGTTAAGATTTGCTCCTAAACTGTCTCATTAGATGTAAATTATTTTCCGTTACTGCACTAATAACAGAGGTGACATGCATATATGGTGCAGGGACATACAGACATTGATTACTGGAGTATAATTTGCCCCAAAGAAGAGCACTCTCATGTATGGCACACACATTTAATTTCGTTTAACTACTTTGGAAGCACCCATTTGGATGCTTCACATATAATGGTTAATATTTGTGAAATTATTAAATAAATCTCAGAAATCATTGAAACAAAATGCTAACGGTTGTCTAAACTAGATATGTGGACACTAAAGTTATAAAGCACAACATGAAAGGAACACAAAGCAAGACATAAAAAGTAAGACAATACCCCACCCTTTAGTACTTAGTAGTATATATGACAAAACAACAGTATTATTTGTGAGAGGTAAATAAAAGGAACATGAAGTGGAGGCTACAGAAATAGAAAATGTGCATACGTAAGCAAAACTATCCAACTCCGGGCAGAATATATCGGCACAGTGCAAACACAGGCAAGCATAAGACAAAGTGTGTGTGTTCATTAGTTTTGCTTCCTTGCCGCCATTTAGAAAGCGTCATCCTTGTATCTTTTCTGCTTGTTTCAGCCGAGGGAACGGGCTCGCATTCTGCGCCGCCCCCACTTTCTCAGCAACGTCAACACCGTCCTCAGGTTCCTGGAGCAGAGACGGGTGAGCGGGCATTCTCATTGGTCCTTGAAAAGCTGAAGGTGGCTGTGACATCACAAGAGCTAGCATTTTCATTTTGTTCCTGAGCCATATTTTTTCTGCGGCCAGCACTGGAGTAATTGGAGTATCATGAAGGTTTTTTGTTGTTGAGTGAGAAACGGTTGTGTCTGATCTTTTCATCCCAGATATGAAACGACAGTGAGTTTCCTATTTTCTCCCTCACTCACCACAGTCTTGCACCGCATCATGATTATCCCAGATATGTTTTCCAAAAATGAAGTGTCCAGAAACTAAAAAAATGGCAGCCCCTCAGCCCCCTTAAATTTCTCAAAGACTATAAATATGCATCATAGTAAATTTCAATTGATGATCTTGCTGGAGCTGCCTAGTTCCAGCCGGGATAACAAGAATTTGAATCTTCGGTTGCTTAGATCATTCTTACGTGACAGTAAAAGACAAACAAAAAAATCCCCCAAAATTTTTGAATCCAGGAATATGACATTGAAAAAGTTCCCTGAATTTCAGTTTACAAAGTGAAAGCCCGTTTTTACTTCTTGAATTTCGTGAGATCTTAATATCCAAAAACAGGAATCCCCGGGCATCATTTTTTGTCATATGGTCAGGCAGTCAATCACAATGTGATTGACTGCCCAGCCTTATATTACACTCAGTGTTATTTTTCCTAAACCTTTCGATGTTGATTTTGTCCTCCACATTTCCTAAGAAAATTCCTTAGATAAACGGTGCATGTAAAGCATCCATAATTTGATGAAAGTATGCATATTTTGATTATCGTGGAAAAGAAACGGGCATCATTTAAAACAAAGCCACCTGTGTCCCACATGTTCATTGGCCATTACAGTGACTGAGGATTTGCTGCAGCTTGCTGAGCTCGCACCAAAAATGGTGAAGTTTTGATGCTTGCCCCTAACAGCTTATTGTGGGGCACATGACTTTTGCAGATCAAGTTGGTCAACATTAATGCCACGGATGTGGTCGACGGAAAGCCTGCCATTCTTCTGGGTCTTATCTGGACCATTATTCTGCACTTCCAAGTGAGTGTTTTGTCAGAAAGACATCACTTTAAAATGTCACACAAAGACAAAGAAACATGCACATCATCTTTGATGTGCATGTTTTGCATGTCACACATCAGGTGCATTCCTGATGTGTTGCAATTTTTCTTGAGGCTGTGCCCTTCAGACCATATTGAAATTAGCCTACAAAGAATTTCGAGCCTTGGTTCTTTGTGTAAAATTTGAAGACACAAGGAAGAAAAACATCCTATTCTTGATGATAAAGCAGCAGCTGACGGATTACAGCTGTCCTTATGAACATGATAAAGACATGGTTCAGCCTTTTTCTTGTTTTGTTTTTTTTTGCTCAGGTATTAATGCTTTACATTTCTATTATTTTAATCTGCCCTAAAATACATGTTTGCAAAAACTTCTACTGTATTTCATCCAGTTGTAATTTATCACATGCTGCTTTAAAATGTGAACTGTTCTTTCAAATGTCATGTTATAGTTGACAACATAGCTTGTGTTGTATGTATACCTGTGTTTGGTAGTCGCTTAAATTATTGACCTTTTTAGCTATCCTCAGTGCACCTATACACCCTTGAATGCATCCTAGGTTAGCATTTTAGAAACTTTAGAATTTCCTTTCGTGTGGCTTGGGTAAAATGGCGGCGTCATGCATGAGCTTAAAAAAATTTGCTCAAGCTTTTTTTTTTTTTTTTTTTTACTACTACCTATTTCTGTAATATTCTGGCGTGCTTCTTCAGCCTGCATCCGAGGACGATAAAGTAGCTTAGTCGAAAGCACCATATTCCAGATGACAAAATTTCGGAATGGATCCCTTTTTGGCTTAGTTTCTGCATGAGAATTAGAAATTGCATGCTAAGGCTTGCTTTGCCACCTACAAAGCTTTTATTCTCTGTTGTTGCAGTATTCTTGCAGGAACATAACTTCTTGATGCAGTAACGTCTGCAAAAGATAAAGGATGTTTCCGAATGCGGCATCACTGTCCAGCGGCAACGACTTTTTGGTTGAGCTCCAGAAGCATTCAGCGTACAGTTCCGTCAGACAGAACACGAGTCCAGACCAAGACTTTAAAGTGACCGCATAAATTGGCTTGGTAACGTATCGTGCTATGATATACTACCTACGGTAGTATATCGTAGCGTTGAGGAGCACTGTTGGTTTTTTGTAGGGTTTAGTGGACGCTCGAGGCGTTTCTCGCGGTTTGCTATATTTCACGGCGGTTTGTAAAGGAGCGGCCATACTAGTTGGTGGGCTCATCAACGTGAAAGAAATTGACGTCAACGTCGCACTTGCAAAGGAGTTGGAGCTCCTGCTCAGCAACCTCATGCCGATCGATGAAATGGGAGATGCTTCTCAGAGCGCGAAACTCTGAATTGGCGCTTTACAACGGCGCCTCAAACTTGTCACCGACTCCCCGCCCTGTTGCTGCTTCAGAGTGACTTTCCTTCTGGCCGACTTACCGACGCCGCCGCAACGCCAAGAGCGCGTCATTCGTTTGAAGCAATCGCCTGACGAGGAGCCCATTGTCGTCATGCTTTGACGTCATGCAGCGCACTTTAGTTCACGTTTCTGCCACCGTCTCGGGGGGGTCTCGAGCATTGTTCCCGGTGTGATTGTTACCACAACTGTTTAATTGATTGGTGTCGCACCGAAACGTCTGTTTTGGCTAGAACTTTCTTAACAGTGTCTGAGACGTGCCTGGTGGCCATTTCAATTGTCGAATAAATTGAAAATTGGAATGCCAAATTGCCTTCAGGGTCCCTTTAACATTTAACTGAATGGGTCACCTCTGACTATCTTTCGGCATGAGTGTAGTCGCTGATAGATTTGCTTGTAGGGGTAGCAGTTGTGCAGTGTCTTGATGCATGGCAGTTCCCTGCGAAGCTGCCAGCCGTAGAATTTTCGAAGGATGCACACTTTCCTCAATCGCTTTTTGCCCTCTTTTTGCTTGCTGCATGTTCCAGGAACCACGTAAGCGACTGAACCACAACCCTAGAAATTTGGGACGGACTTTGTACGTTTGGTCGCATAGAGGAGTCTGGGAGAGAGAAAAAAAGAAAAACAATCAACTATCAAATTATAGGGCAGGAAATTGATGGTGGAGGACAAACTTGTTTCCCCACTGTGAGGGAAACAAAACAAAACCTGTGCGTCACATGACCTGTAACATAAAGGAATTACAGGGCAGCAAAAGGGATGGTCGAGGCCAACTTTGTAGAAACCACAGTGGTGATTATCTATGAATGCGACAGCATTTATTTTTGCACACATGGGAAGGTGTTCGGTTCCCTGCTAAATTTAGTGGGGAACCGGAATTGATGCATAGGTCACGTGACGTAAATTTTCTGCTAGATTTAGCGGGGAACCTTAAAATTGGCGCATAGGCCGTGACAAAAATTTTTCCCTAAATTTAGCGGGGGAACCAAAACTGTGCATAGGTCACGTGACGTAAGTTTTCCGCTAAATTTAATGGTAAAACTGAATTGGGGCATAGGTCGAATGACGTAAATTTTCCGCTAGATATACGTGGCTTGCACAGGACGTCATTTCCGTTGCCCTCCAGAGAAAAGGGGAAGAAGGAGCTCCCCTCTTATCAGGATCCTCCTTTGTGCCTCCCGGATTTGCACAGGCGTCGCTATTCTCCTCCCAGAAGATTATACAAGATTAACCTGTCACTCAAAATTCTTACAAAAGCAGCTTCCCTCTCCTCCTTTTACTTGGTGTTCAAATGTATGTGATGTGACGTCAGTGCAAGGAGCCTATAGTGGGGAAACCGATTGGGTGCATAGATCACGTGACGTAAATTTTCCACCAGATCTAGCGGGGAAACCGAATCCGTGCATAAGTCATGTGACGTAACTTTTCTGTTAAATTTAGCGGGAAAACTGAATTGGGTGCATAAGTCGAATGACGTAAATATTTTGCTAAATTTAGCGGGGAAACTGAATTGGTGCATAGTTCACGTGACAAAAATTTTCCGCTAGATTTAGTGGGGAAACCGAATGGGTACATAGATCACGTGATGTAATTTTTAACCAGATTTAGCGGGGAAACCGAATCAGTGCATAGGTCACGTGACGTAAATTACAGCGGAGCTGTTAAGGGCTAGGTTTCCCAAGATCGTGTCCGTGTATGTCGACACAAACCTACCTGGACAGCTACCGCCATCTATAAGAGACGGCGGCAAGCACACAACCATTATGGTTTCCGCCGTCGCTCGTAGATGGCGGCAACCTTTCCAGCTATAATAGAAGAATGGATAGTTGGGCGCGTTGGTGGGAATTCATGGTAGGAAACAGCGCGAAAAACAGACACCGACGAAGAAGAAGCACTCAGTGTATCGAGTACAGCTCCGCTGGTCTTCCTTCTTTTTTCCATTAAAGTTATCGGGGAAAACTATTATAGGCCAGGAAATATGCATACCGATAACCTCGAGTAGTAGCTTAATAATGCTGTCGCATTAAAGAAACTCACGCCACACGTTCCGTGCAGATTGAAGAGCACACGCGGCTGCTGGCAGGCTCGCCAGCCGGCTGGGAAGACGCCGGGTCGGACATTGCAGCAGCCGAGCAGAATGTGCTGGTGCAAGCCTCGCCCAAGAGACCCACCCCCATCGAGCGCTGGCGCGGTGGTGCTCGCAAAGCCCTGCTACACTGGGTCAAGAACAGCATCAACCAGTGAGTGACTGCTCTCTCCCTTAGCCGAAGTGACTGACAAGGTGAGAACGGCAGGGAGGAGCTCTGACTGTCCCGCTTCCAGCGTGAGCTTCCTACCTTCGACGGTGCTTCGACGTCTCGTACGCCTCACAGCTAAAGCACAGTGGAAGGGACGGAGTGCGTGCTGGGGGCCGGGAGCTTGGCAAACACGCCCGGCTGTTCTCACTCTGTCGGGGACCGTAGGAAACGTTGGGCCGGTCGAACGGCCGTTCGTACGGCGAGGGGTCGGTCTGCTTTCGAGTCGCTGCCACAGGGGGTGCAATTTGGCGTGTGTGGTACGACCACTGATCTTCCATCTTTAATGTGCATGGTGCAGGGGCGATTGCTGCGCCATCTGTCGGATGGTGCCGGTCGGAACTGCTTTGGCCCTGGAATGGTTTCGGGCGGCGTATAACTGGACTGAAGGTTTTGCAGTATCTGTGGGATCAGACCTGCACACTGTCTGCGAGAAATGGTCGCTTGTAACATCGTCGGAAATATTTCGAGCACGTGGAGAAAGAAAGAGGCGTAGGGTGTAAGCAGGTCGGAAGCGTTCCGGGGCTCTCGACAGGTGGCGCCAGTGCGTTCTTTCATCATGAGCGATTACAAGTGGTTGCGGCGCAGTGGATCACACTCAAATGCAAATGTTTGAACCAGCCCTTGCACAAATGCATGCTGCTGGAATGCACATCCATATTGAAACCAAGAGGAGTTGAAAATGAGTCACAATCTTTGAGTCTACACCTTTAGCTTTCCTTCCACTTGGGTCTAACCTAGCCTATAGCCTAGCCTAATCTCAGGGGTCGGCGTTTCCAGAAGGGGGGGGGGGTCAGCATATTAGATGTTTGAGAAACTCCCCCCCCCCCCCCCCCCTCCCCCTCCTTTTTCCCGCCCTAAAATTTTGCAGATGTGGAACTCAAGAGGAGGGTCAGGACATCTGGACTTCTCCTCTGAATCTACCACTGCCTAGCCTACCCTAATACAGTTCAACTTTCGCTAATCCAACCCTACCCAACCTAACCTATCTCAACCACACTCCATCCCACCCAACCCAACACAACCCAAGTTATTTAAACTCAACACAATGTGAACTTTCCATAGGGCCTCCTTTATCACAGAGAAAGGAACAAAATGATTTAAGTTCTTCGTGTGTCTTGCTTCCTCCCTACATTCCTTCTGTCTTGAGTTTCTAGTGTTTAAAACAAACTTGGACTTCCTCTAGAATTTTATATTCTTAAGACAGAAAAGGTGTCTGCTGCTTTACTCTCTTAACACGTCCATCATATCATAAGCTATGAGGATTATTAATACAATTCAATTTTAGTGAAATTGAAACTGTCGACCTTATTTAACGAGGTGTCTTTGGGACATTCTACACTCCTTGCTTTCATTATCTCTTACATTCTTGCCAGCACAAATCCTAGAAATGTCAAAATGATTTACTTCGACGTTTATTGTGGCTCTCCACCGGTTCCGCAAATCTCACACGTTTTTGACACGCAGCTTCATAACACAGATATTTCTCGTGCAAATTGGTGCCTATAGGAGCCAGAATTTATGCGCAGCGTTAACCGATTTGTTCATAGACGTTTGTGGGCTTTACCACATGAGTTTCTAAGTTGTCGGCGAGGGCGAGAAAAATTAGCGTAGACCGATTTATCGATAGGAAAGCACTGAGCGTGCCGTGCGGTTCTGTGCAGGCGCTTTGGTGTCCAGGTGAACGACTTTGGGCCGAGCTGGCGGGACGGCCTCGCCTTCCTGGCCATCGTGCACTGCATCCAGCCTTCCCTCATAGAACTGGACTCCGTGAAGAAGATGGAGCCCCGGGGACGGCTCGAGACGGCCTTCTCTCTCGCGCACCGCGAGCTGGGCATCCCACGCTTGCTCGATCCCGAGGGTGAGTGGCGGACCACTCGCGTGATTCTCCGCGGTCTGCGTCGGACCGCTGGTGGCCATCCACGTGGCGGACCACTCCCATAAATCCCAATTCATGAGCTCTGCACGTAACAGGAAGCGCATTGTTTGCTTCCGAGGGCCGGACGACGCGTGAACGATGTGCGTTGACGCATTTGACGTTACTCGTTAGACAGGCGCGAACACGTCAAGGGGTTTTGTGGGCGCGTCGGCATGCCTTTCATATCTCGGTTGTGAACTGTAGTCACTTACAGAAAACTAGAGTTTTCTACCTGTGCAACGCTGGTACTTCAAATGCATCTGGGAAGTCTCTGTGACGGCTATCGCTGTGAAAACCGTTTCGTGCGGATCCTTTAAACTGCTAATGCACCGTCCGATTCATGCTCCATGGTACACTAGATCTCGGGACATTGTTAGCGCTAACGAGCCATCACCTGTTTTTTTTCAGTTTTTCTTTCAGTATTGAGGGACTGTCATCATAACTATTATAGTGGTGCAAAGTGCTCAATTAGGGTACTAACTTGAGAAGTAAATTGTGATTCCCACCAGCACCCTTTAGAAGTAAAATGCAAAAGGTTTTACTCACACTAGGTATTGCTGGGCACTAAGCCTGAGAGCTTGAGTGACTGCCCTGAAGGAGTACTTTCCGTCACACTAGTTCTTACGGTAGCTGTTCAGTTCTAAAAGAAAAGGCTCGAGGTACACCTAAGCAATTCTTATGAGTTGTGAATGTGAAAGCATGCGTGCCATTCCTCCGCTGAAATTGACGCGCTGCGACTTCATAATACTGCCGTTTTGCGTGGCTTTCTGTGTGGTTTCAAAGCTGGGATGCCTCAGATCACGGCTTCGGGAATTTATCTGCCGTTTGGTGCGGCTCATGACGTTGGTTCACTCCATATGACACAGTTAAAGCTTTTGCATTAAAAATTGGAAAAACTGGAGATGGCTCGTTCGTGCCAACAGTGTCGTGCAGTGCACATTTAGCCAGCCCGTTTCTTTTTCGCACCAATGAAACGACGCCCCGCACCTCGGTGCAGATGTGGACGTGCCCCAGCCGGACGAGCGGTCGGTGATGACGTACGTGGCGCAGTTCCTGCACAAGTACCCCGGCACCTATGCCCCGGAGCAGCCCCTGTCCCCGACACTGGCCTCCCCCACGGCTGCTGCCCCTCCCGGCATGCAGCCAGACGACCTCTCCGTCCTCGAGTCCTTCCTCAAGAGGGCCGAGGACACCCTGCTCGTCCTCAACCGGCCCCTCACCAACGTCCGGGAGGAGTACCTGGTGAGGCGGCGATGGGGTTCTGTACGCTCGGCCGACTACCGATAGGTGGCAAACAACAGTGTGATAAACGAGTAATTGTTTATCACAGCAGCAGGCAGTTTAGTCAGCCCCGATGGTCATCTGGTGTCGTCGCTGTAGATGACAGATTTGGCCAGTGCAGTACCTCAGCTTGCCTGGGGCCTTTAATGTGCGTCATGTGGGAGTGATTGCACGGTACTACCCGTTATGATGCTCCTCTGGATCGAAACAAGCAGGGGTAGGCATGCAGTATTCATGGCTTCTGCAGTGCGAGCTTTTGTTTCATGCACTCCGAGCTGCGGTGCGCCAACGCGCTCGACCATCGATCCCCCTGGCAACAGGGTGCGTGGTTGGCAATTGACAGTGTGTGGGTGGCAGAAATATGCGCGTGAAGTAGTGGCAGAATAAAACAGGCATTACTCTGTACCTCGATCGTTTGAATCTAAACTGTTGGAACCCTAAGAGAGCATCAGAGGCTGCAGTCTCTCAAATTGGAGGGGGGAGGGGGGGAGGAGGGATTGCTCAAAGATGTGAGAGCTGGTGTCGCCAGATTTATGGTTGGAGTGTGGCATGCCTCTTCTCTCACACCTCTTACTTGGTTAATTTATGAGTTATGCGCGTGCAATCTTTCTAAAATTGAGCTTGGGCACAACTGCCATGTAGTCTTGCCAGTACTATACTTCGTTCCATACATGGTTTCTTAGATGCTTTGTTTCACAAGTGCGTGGATCTATCGAGCACCCCCAGCCTCCAACATAACAAAGCCTCCAAGAGGCCTCGTTGTGCATTTGCGCCTCAAATTCGCAAGGTCTCTTGAAATCTGGTGGTCTCACACTAAGGTCCTGTGACCTTATTGTTACAATCAAGGCTGTGTTCCAAATTTTATCCAAACGTATCTGAGTTACTCCAGCTGGTCGTGCCACGTGACAATACAGATAGAAAAATGAGACACGCGGGTAGGTTTTCTAATGCCAAGGTACAAAGATTTTACTCTGGAGTAAGATCGAGTCAATTTTGGAACATAGCCCAGGTCTCAAGAAGGCGTCATTGCACCTTTGTCAGAAGTTTACAGCAAGGCCTTTCGAGGCACTGCTGCATCGCGCTAATGCAGGGGCTCTTAAACCTTTTTGATCTTGAGGAACCGAACCCCTACCCGCCTCGAACGTCGGTCGGGGAACCACTTCCCCTCTGCACTGTCTTATTGCGTCGTCACGCAATAAGACAGTGCAGAAGCCTACAGACCTCGTAAGGTATAATGCATAAATGAGAGACTGTCTCGCACGTAGCTAGGCGTTCATGGGGTCTCGAATCTGCTAACATAGTGCTTAAACCGTAAAATTGCACCATCTGGGGTTAGGGACGGCCGAGGAAGTTTGGATGCTCGGGTGAACCGCTGAGGCTGCTCTGGGGAACTCCCGTGTTCCTGGGAACTTGGTTTGGGAGCCCATGCACTAAGGTCTCTAAGAAGGCCTATCGCTTATTTGCTGCAAATTCACAACCAGGTATTTTTATTCCTCGTGGTGCATTTGCTGTAATTATATCTCGAATGCTTTATGCAAGTGTGTCTTAGCGCAGTGAAGCTTACGGCGTCACATCCTTAACCGAGTATTTTTATCTCGCTCGCGCACCCCAGAGCTACTTGGGGCTATGCCGGGAAGTGGAGTCCCACCGGGACCTGTACGGGCGCCTGCAGCGTCGCGCGGCTCGCTCCGACGGCACGGTGCTCAGCCAGGCCTGGCCCCTAATGGAGGGCCGCTGGAAGGCCCTGGAGGCCGGGCTGGCCCAGTGGCGCCTGAGGCTGGACCGGGGCCTGCCCGGCCGCCTGGCGCAAGTGGCCGAGTGGCTGGCACAGACCGAGGAGCAGTTGAGGAACGACCCCCTGCCGCAGGGGCAGCTGGACGGCGCGGCGGTGGCCGCCAAACTGGCTGAGTACCAGGTGGGTTGGCTCGGATATTATCATCGTCGTCATCACTATCATCATCGTCACCAACACCACCGTCATCATCGTCATCGTTGAGAGGGTCACCGAGTGCACAAAGAGGAGACTGGAGAACTGGTGGCACCAAAGCAAGAAGTAGTTATAGTCTAGCAGTAGGTTAGTACTTTCTGCTGTTTATGTAATTACAGGAATACTCGAATGTGACGAGGAAACAAGCAATTTTTCGAAGCAAATGTTACAAATTTTGAAGCAATAGCTTTATATGAGGACCCTGCACGGACCTTGCTTGTGTGGGTGTTGGTCGTACTGTGGCAAGGCCATGGGAGAGAGCATCACCAATGGAGTGCAGCTGTTGTTCTACGTCATAGCGCACGGGACCAATGGTATTGCTCTGCTTGGAGTAGGGGGACAGGGGAGGTTAGCGGTATGCTAATGACCCCCCCCCCCCCCCCCCCGTTTGCTGCTTAGGCACAGGGGTTGTGTAGAAGGGTAGGAGCTGCATATTATTAAAATCATCTAATAGGCATGAAGGCATTGCACAGTCATATTGTATACGCGGCAGCATTTCAGAGAAAATGATTCAATGCCCCCCCAAAGAAAACGGATGGATGAAGAACAAGAGAAGTCCATTATTTTTTTTCAATTTCTTCATCACGTGTCACATTGCATACCGTTCAGATGGCAAGTGCTGCTCGTTCAAAAGACCTTATCAAGTGCTATCGCACCTTCATTGCATTTGACGAAATTTCTAATGCAGGAGATTTTCTGACAGCCCTGCACTTTGAGTTGCAACGAGCTTGAGCTTTCCTTTCGCTTTCAGTCGCTCCTGGCTGACTTAGAAGATGTAGGGAAGTGGCTGGCAGAGCAGAAAGCTTCCCCCGCCGTGGTGGCCGCCGTGGCGCCCGAACACATTGCCGAGCTGCAGAGGCGCGTCACGGACCTTTCGTCCTCCGTGCGGAAGCGTCTGCTCCTCTTGGACATGGAGCGGCGCAAGCACGCCCTCCTGACCCTGGTGCGGTCCGTGGAACAGCATTTGGCACAGCTGGAGCTCAAGCATGGATCTCGGCAGCAGGTGGGTCCTGAGATGCTTGGAACGCATTCATTGAACTGTCAGCCTTTTGCATTTTAGAGCTGCGCTTTTTGTTTTTTTATCGTGCGTCAATGTGAGATCTCTTGAAGTTGCTCCTTGTCCGTTCACTTTCCTTTCAGCCTCAGTCTTCACCGCTTTGTTTTTTGGACTACACACTAGGCATACGGGACATTTGCCAATATATTTGCTTCCTTCTAAATTGGCAAACGTGTGTGAAGCACCAAACATGCAGCCCCCTATTTAGCCACAGGTGTGAAAGTTTGACATGTCCAGTTCCAAATATATAAGTATCACATTGTAACACAATAATGTGATGAGGTAAACAAAGGAAGACTTGGCATACTTGCCAAATGTGCATAGATCAAAGCTTCGTCGTAACGAACTGAAGGTGCCATCCAGCTATACTCCGTTTCATCTTACGATGGACCGCAGCGGAGGCTACAAGCCATCCCACACAATCCAGCATTCTGAATCTGTCACGTGACTATGCGCATCACGAGTCACTGTGCCCCTCCCAAGGTCTCGTGTGACAATCGCACAGCATGGGCCTTTTCCGTTGGCTCATAGCATTTGCTGCGGCTCACCAGAACGTGAAACGGAGTGTAGCAAGGTTTTAAGCTCCTGTTCATTACCTTTGACTAGTGTTGTGCGAATATTTGAATTTTTGAATAGTAGGTTTGAATAATATGCTATTCGATATTCGCTTCGAGATGAACTGCGATATTCATACTTTTCGAAGTGTCGATTGCAGCGAGTTAACCCCGTTGATTGCTCTTTATTCCGAGCCCATGTGCGCTGCAGAGAAGCAATACCCGCGGAGCTTGCGGGTATTGCTTCCCCGCAGTGCTCTGGTGTTCAGTGAGAAGTGCACTCAACAAGGCTATCCTAGCGCGATTATGTAAGAGTATAAGTTGGGCAGTGATGTGACAACCGGCGCTCATCATTCGTGCTTTTTTTTTTTTTTCAAATTTAAAAAAAAATGTTTGTATGTAGCAAGTAGATTTATAAACTTCCTCGAATAGGATAGCTGCAACAATTTTGTTGTTTACATGCCAAAGTTCATAAATATAGCTATTGGCGACGTGCGCGACCGAAAGTGTCGTTGTGGTCGGCCTTCCACGATTGGCCCAAAAGCTGACTATGACGTCGGAAAGGGTATACCGTATTTACTCGCACAATGAACGCACTCGCGTAATGAACGCACCCCCCAAGTCGGCTCTCAAAATTTCGACTTTTTTTTTCACTCGCGTAATAAACGCACCCCCAACTCGGATGTCAAAATTTTGACCCCCTTCCCCCACGCGCGCGAAATGAACGCACTTTTCTATCCTGGTGCAGCGAGGTCGCGACTGCATGGGCAGCGTGGGTGAACAAAACGCCTTGCAAAAGGCGTTAAAAATATTCGAAAAGATCCAACGAAAGCAAGAAAAAAGAGCATAAAAAGGAGCTTTCTTTTTTTTTTTTTTTTTTGCACGGCGCAGCCTGGATTTGGGTTCGCGCGCCGCCGCGCGCAAGGAGGTAAGAAAGAGAAGCGCTCTAAGCGAACGAAACAGCTTGCGAAAGGCGGCCAAAAAGAAAAAAAAAAAAAAAAAAACCCACAGAACTAAGAAAAAAACAAAAACAAAGAGGAGCTTTTTTTTCTTCTTCTTTTTTTTTTTGCACAGCGAAGTTTGTTTCCGGGGGGTCGCGCGCCGCGCGCAAGGAGGTAAGAAAGAGGAGCGGAGAAGCCCTCTATGCAAACAAAACATATACAAAAGGCGCCAAAAAAAAAATCCCGAAATTGTGAAAAAAAAAGAAGAAAAACTGAGCTTTTCTTCTTTTCTTTTTTTGCACAGCGCAGTTTGGTTATGGGGGGGGGGGGAGGGGGGGGGGTCGTGCGGTCGCGCGCCGCGCGCAAGGAGATAAGAAAGATAAGCGGAGAGCCCTAGCTTAAGCAACGCCTAAGCAAACAGGACAGCTTGGGAAAGGCGGCAAAAAAAAACAACAAAAAAACAAGCAACTAGGAGAACAAAAAAGAAAGGAGTTCTTTTTTTTTGCACAGCTTAGTTTGGTTATAGGGTCGGGCGCCGCGCGCAAAGAGATAAGAAGTTACTTCGATTTTTCAGCATAAAAGGTCCCTTCATTATGCGAGTAACTACTGACGCAAAAATTTTACTTCGCGTAATGAACGCCCCCCCTAACTTTGCATCAATTTTTCGGGAAAAAAAGTGCGTTCATTCTGCGAGTAAATACGGTACCATCGACGGAAATAAAAGGAATGAAAGAACTTTAATTTCGACGGTGTTGGCAGTGTTTCTTTGAGAGCGCAATGATTTCAGGCTTCCACCATGCTATTTACAAACACCATCGAACTTGTTGTTCGCAAGGTAATGACGTCACAAGGGGGAACCATAGGAGGGCGCCACCAAAACATCTCGCCGCTAATACTCAGGTTAACTAAGTTAACTGAACTTAGAGTGGACAAGCGGAAGGTTTAGAACAACCTTCACGAGTTCAGCTGAATTTTCGTTTAAGCATGGTGCAAGGTAGTGAAAGGCTTGGAGAAACTGTTCGATATTCAATCAGAAAATATTCGGCCAAAAGCACTATTCGCTTCGAATTTGCTTTGAACTCGAAATACACCATTCGTACACGACTAGTTTTGACATCACTCTGAACGTTTTCTGAATTTAACTTCTCCAGTTTCAGCTGAAAAAATAATACGTCTTTTTTTATTCACTTACGTCATTCTCTCGGTCTATGATATAAAACTGCTTGCTCTCATTCCTTATCATGTCGTATTACACCTGAGACTGCGGTGGAAGAAATCGGAAGAACTTTCAGTAGAAGGAACAGACACAGAGAACGTTTGAGACGTTCTCTGTGTCTGTTCCTTCTACTGAAAGTTCTTCCGATTTCTTCCACCGCAGTCTGAGACGTTCTCTGTGTCTGTTCCTTCTACTGAAAGTTCTTCCGATTTCTTCCACCGCAGTCTCAGGTGTAATACGACATGATTAGCTACCACCAGCTCGCCTGCACTCTCACCGTCTTTTCTCATTCCTTGTTGGGCAGTGTGTGTTGGCGCAGGTTTTGAGTCCGGTCAGAGTGACGTGCGTGTGTTTGTCTTGGTGTCAGGTGGAAGAGCTCCTGAAGAAGCACAAGGAACTGCTGGAGAGGGACCAGGTGTTTCAGCAGTTTGAACGGCTCTTCCGGGAACTCCAGGAAGCGCTGGACATGTGCCAGCGGGGGTCTGCACTTGGTGAGCGGACATACTTTTCGAAAGAGTTTCGTCGTGTTTGGTGCGTTAGTGACACAACGTGCGAAGCCTCCAGTGCTTCATTAGGAACTCCACGTCCGGACACAGTGCCACGGACATTTCTGTCATCTCTGCATGTTCAATACGCTCCAGAGCTTCCTTGCCGGCGCCAAGTCACGTAGGAGTAATTGTTGCCTCGTTGTTTGTGCAGCACTCCCTTCGTGGCCGCTGAGAGACTAGGCTGGGAAGCATTCTTTTAAAGATGTCTAAGGTTTCACTCATTGGAACGTTCGCTACTTAGGGCAATTTTGTCCTTCTTCCTGCACAGTACGGAAGAAAAAAAGTAACTTTACACGGGAGCCAGGAGCGAAATAGCGCCTCCGACATTGTAAAAATCTGAACAAAAACATTGTCATGGATTGGCCGAGTTTTCATCTGCTTTTAGGCGAGAGAAGAGCCCCAGATCTGACAAGGCATCCCCCAAAAAAGTCAGTTTGCAGTGACACTGGTAGTATCGGCCTGAACTCGTGTCTTTGTCTCACATATTGCTTATTCACTTCTTGCCAGATCGATACGATGACGTTCACTAGGACTGATCTTGACAAGTGGGCAAGAGCTAGTTGGCGTCCAAACGTCGACACCACAACTAAAACGCCGCCTTTTCGACCCTTAGGTTTCCAAGAGGTTGACGACCAGGCAAGGTACCTAGGCGAGGTGCACGAACACTGGGCCACCCTGTCGGCTCGTCTTCGCACGGCGGGCAGCGTCCTGGCGGAAGTGGCGGCGCAGTGGCAGCAGTACGACGCCCACTACGGACCGGTCGTGCAGTGGCTCGACCGGGCCGAGATCGTACTCCGATCCGCGCCGGAGCAACAACAGGTGAGTGAGTGGTCCGACTCACCCGTCCCGAGCTCGCCGGACGCTGTGGTTTGAATTCATTGGGACGTGTGAAAGCACGCTGACCTCCGACTGCGGCAGGAATTTGAGATACGAGAAACGTTTTAGAGAGTCGACCAAACCACCCCTCGCTTGTGGCATATCTGCCCGAGGCATTAAAACAGCATGGGTTCAATAGTAGCTTGGAGGGTATGAACTGGGGTCCCTCAGAATGCGTACTGGCCCTACTGCTTGCAAATTATGGACCAGTCTTGTTTGCATGTCGTGTGCACTCTGGCAGCACATAACGTTTGACCAGGTTGCCCGCACGTTCAGCCATCTCTTGGGATCTCTACCGCCAGGCAGCCAAGTGTAATTGGCCACGTGAGCTGCGCACTGCCGCTGATATATAAGGCCAGCGCTGAAGTATGCACGGAGATTGTGTTGGTGCCAGCGGGCGACGATGACTGTTGATAAGTGATTGCCATAATGTCCCGAAATATTCCTCACCCTTAGAGATAGCCCACCCCCATTTCTGACATGATTTTATATTTTCTTTCAAAAACACCGAAAGATAGCCCACTTCTATTATAATTGCAGTGCCCTGGCCAATGGTGACTTCGAACGAAATGGGGTTAGCTAGTCACAGTGGGAGATAAGCAAACTTTGCTTACTGGGAAGGACAGTTGTTTATGCTCCATTGCCCCTCAGTGGGAAAACAAGTTTTGCAGGTCACAAAGTACAAAAATAGCATATTTTAACTTTTCTCGTTCGGACACCAAAAGTTCGCCCACTCCTCATTTCCACCCGGTTTGCTCTCGCTCTTAAGTGGGCTATCTCTCGGGGTATTACGGTATGCGTTGTTGAACCAGCATTTTTTATCATTCTCCAAGGCGGGTAGCAGCAAGGGATACCCAACAACGTGTTTGGTGTTCATTTGTAGTAGAGTCTTGACTCATTAATACAGACCTCATTAATTCGGATATCCCACTATATGGACAACACTTCCGGGTACTAACTGAGTAAATGCATGCATTTTTGTCTCATTTTGGACAACTCACATTGTGGACGCTTTCTGGGGAAATGGAGGTGTCCATACAAGACATCACTGTACTGGACTCCGAGTGGCTTTTTTTCCCTTTTGACACCTCCCACAACCCATTAGCACCCGCATTTAGTATATTCGGGGTGACATTGTATACCTTACCATAATGTCCCAAGCCATTGCCCATCCCCGTGTCATCACCCACCTCACTTTTTGGGTGAATACCGATTTCCAAAAAAACACAGTGGTCACCCACCTCTACAAATACCCCGACGCAGACTCTGCGATCCGCGAACATTCGTCCTACCCGAATGACGCAGCCGCAGACCTTACGGTTGGAGGATGTCCATGAAAAAGTGAAGCGAAGGATGGCAAGAAGCGAGGATGTCCATGAAAAAGTGAAACGAAGGATGGCTTTGTTTACGGATTTTCTCCCCCATTTCCGCTACCCCAAAGTCGAAGTATGTGCGTGCAAAAGGAAAATAATGGAGAACAAAATTAAACCTTGTTTTGCTTATACAGAAAAGTTTCTTTGGACAAAAAAAAAAAAAGAAAATCAGAAAGATAACACAAGTCCTAACCCATTCAGGGATCGCGAGGTGAGTGAATGTCCCATATCCCGGAATGTAACTTCAGAGCGTAAGGACAAAGCCCGTCTTCACCAAAATAAAATCAAATTACTGCGAATACCCAGTCATCCTTCCAGGACGTCGCAACCGCGGTTGGTGAGATTGTGCGATGCTTGAGACAAAGCCAACGGGTAAATAAAGATTTGCTGGAAAGTCGCAAAGAGACGTTTGTGAAGCGTCCATTTCGAGCTCCGTGTCTGGTGCCATCCCCACCACGCAGCAACGCCTCCTCGCAAGCCGCGCACAGACGCACGCATATATGCACGAAACAATAAGGCTGCACAAGAACCTGGATCTACAGGATGCCCTACTTGGCCCAATGCCAAAGCATTTGCCAACGCAATCTCAGTCTCTCGATCCCGCTTCCACAGCATCACTCTTTGTCACTTCTTTCGCCCGCCCGCTCGCTCGCTCATTGCACCTGGTTGGATTTTTATTTTTTTGTTGACTCTTTTTGCTTTTTTACCGACGAAGGAAACATTGCTGCTTTAGGAACGTTTTTCCACGGAACAAGCGTTTGCGCCCTATGTCCATCAGCGGTGTTAGTCGTGCGTGTGCGAGCAACCAACTTCGGATTGTAAAATGTTTCTTCATGAGCATTTCTTGTATAAAAAATTAAACTAATTCAAGTTTTGACTTTAATGTATTTCTTGTGCAGCTGCGCTAGATACCTACAGAAAAATGGGTGTTTTTTTAGCTTTTTAGAACTTTTTGTGCTTACCCACCGAGACATGGCCCACACCCACTTTTCTTATGAATTTCAGGTGACAGGGGCTGGGCAACGACTCACGGTATTACAACAGTTTTATTGCCATTGGAGGACACTTTCATACTTCTTGTCTGTAATTAATGCTCCCGTTAATTTGGGCTTTCGGTGTTGCTGAACTTTGTCGGCTATTTGCTGGCAATCTCTAAGCTTTGCGAACTGCCTCTAGGAACCCCTCAAGGGCTCATTTTACTATTTCTGTAGTGGGAGGAAGTATTTTATTTACTGGGTTTTCTGGCATCATTCCTTCAGGAGTTCTTCAATGACCTTCCCAGCTGGAATGAAAAGAAAAAGTGCGTAGTTGATTCTGGCCAGTACCTCGCCGCAACGAGCAGGGATGACCTGGCGTCAACGCTCCGTTCCCAAGTGCAAGGAGTGAAGCAACGCTGGGATGCACTCTACCCGCAGGTATGCAGACGCAACGGGTTCCAACTTGTCGCTGAAGCTGCACCGCTTTATAAAAAGTAATTGTGGTTGACTTTTTTTCTTTTTTTTTTACAATACCTTTGTTAAATACGATGGCACAAAGTGCATCTGCTCAGTACGGCAAGCTTCATTTCAAGTGCAGCAGAAATGTTTGTGTCGTTTCAGATTTATCTTATTAAGTTGTCACATGTTGAAATTATATTCAACCTGTAATTTGAAATGAGTCATAAGTTATTATAAATCAGTAAATTTTATTTTGCACGTTTTAGAGGTCTTGGTTTCAATTTGCACTCTTGATTTATGACGTATCAAGCCTAGAAAAAGAGTTCCCGTCAAGAGTCAGACTTGTGTTGTGACAGAAAAAGGAATTCTTGGAATAACTTTCGAAAACATGCTTGTAAGCAGCCTGCTTATTTGACTTTGAATTGACATGACTACATAAACGTGCTCTTTCTAAAATGTAATACTGGCTTGAAAAATATAATCTGTGACTTATAGATCAAGAAACAAAGAGGTGATTTGAAAACTTCTTTGTTTTCACTGTAATGTTTCCTCTTTCGAGACAACTGCCTTCTTAAACGAGAACCTATTTATGTTTCCTGGGCAGTCCAAATTGATCTCCACTCCACTGCTCACGCATCTGTTCTCTTTTTTCTTAAAATTTCTGAAAACAGCACGCACAAAAGATAGGAGCAATTACATGTACAGCACTGTCTGTGTGCTCCTTCCTCTTGTGGTCATCTTTTGTGTACACTACACCGTTCTCACCATTTGAATGTATCATCCACCAACTAGTCCTAGCTTCAGCCTTCGTCCGTCTCCTCCCCAGATCCACGCCTTCCTGACCAGCGGGGAGTCCATCAGGGCCAACCAGCAGTTCCAGACGGGTCTGGACCAACTGCGGCGGTGGTTCCACGAGGCAGAGCTGCTGCTGTCGGTCCACGTGCCCTGCGAGGTGCCTGCGCTCGAACAGCATGCTGAGGACCTCCGGGTGAGTCGTCAACGCGTAGTTCTGTCAGGAAGATGGCTAAGCGGTGTGCACAGTTTCACGGCCCACCGTATTATATGAGTCCACCAATATTTGTGTTCACACTTTGAGCGTGTATGGACACGAAGGCTGCATCAGCATTCGGCGTGAACTCATCGCATCAGCATTCGGCGTGAAAATAGCAACTGCCAATGTTGCTTGACGGAGTTTTAAAAGGGGTCTGTTTGATGCGAGCCCACAGCAGGATGGGGCATTCGTTTTGTGAAAAGTATCCATGTGGGATTTAATGCAAATGCGAAGCAGGTTTGGATGTTCGTTTTGTGAAAAGTAGTTGTGGAAAAACCATACATTCCTACGGATCAGTATTGAGCATGGTGTTCTAAAGTGGTAGCTTTATATGCGAACCCTGCACGGACCTTGCTTGCTTGTGTTGGTGTTTGTCGCGCAGTAGCAAGGTCACGGGAGAGGGTGTCGGTAACCAAGCGGGGCTGTTGCTTTGACATTGCAGCACGTGACTAGTGGTGTTGAGTCGTGCAAGGTGGGGGGAGGGGGGGGGGGGTGTAAGTGGTGCTGGTGCACTCACACTATTTTTCTCCCCCTTTTCCTCTGCATAGGAATGAGGGCTGCTTAGTAGGGTAGGAACTGCGTAGTAGCAGAAGTGGAGCTATTTTACGGTGACATTATGTGCGTGGTAATATATGAAAGAAAATGAAGCAGTGCTCTCAAAAAAGTGGTGCGTGAATGCAGAAAAAATTAAGTTTTTTATGCATTCACAATTTCTTTGTCGCATGTCACCTTGTTTATCAAGGGCTATTGCACCCCCATTGCATTTGATGGGAAGTCGAAGCCAGGCAATTTTTCACGCTACAGAGAAGAAAGACTTGGATTGAGCGCGTTGGTAATAAATTCAAAAATATACGAAAGAGTCAGACGAAGAGGACGGACAGGACAAACATATTTCGTTAATAAATTCAAAAATATACGAAGGAGTCAGACGAAGAGGACGGACAGGACAAACATCTTTCGTTTGTCCTGTCCGTCCGTCCCCTTCGTCCGTCCTGCCCGTCCTCTTCGTCTGACTCTTTCGTATATTCTTGAAGAGAAGAAAGGGGGAACAGGAGCAAACTGGAAATTGTTGCAGCAGACTACAGGGACGTCAGAAGTCTTGCTCAGCATACCTTTGAGTCTTGGTTTGTTTGTTTGATTTCACAGAAGCTGCAGAGCAAGACGGAGGAGCAGCAGGCGCAATACAAGGCTTTGTCCAGGACGGCCCAGATGCTCGTTCGAGACCTGAGCCGTACCGAGGTGGACAAGATGATGTCGGACATGAAGAAGGTGACTTTGCTGGCTCACGTGACGTGCCATTGCATCGGGTGACATGGACGTGCTTCGCACTTATTCACGCCATCATTCATCCATCTTCTTCTGTCTTGCATCTCCAAGCATTTGCCTTTGAAGAGACTGATTTTTCTTTCATGCATCTAAGTACTAAAGGGGAGTGCTCTGTAGTGGTTCGATTAATTTTATTGAACTGTTCATTAAGAAAGTTATCGGAGAAAATTACACATGCAGTGCCCTAAAACATTTTCTTCTTAGCATCAGTTTTTTTTTTATAAAGTTAGTGCTTGTCCAGTTATAGTGATCATCATACGTAATTTTTCTTAGGACTGTACCAGTATTGTCCGGTGTGTGTGGGTTAACTCCCGTGTAGGTGCTATAGCAACGCATTAAAATGCAATTAGGTCAAAGTTCAAGCTTTTTCCGGCATGCCAACAGGCGAAGTGCTATTTAATTGTTTTTAACTGAAACTGCAGATCAAATACATGAGCTCAACATGAGTCTTCAAACATGTTAGCAACCCTGAGGACTCCTTGAGCATCCAAATTCTCTCTTACCTGTATCTCCAAGTACGTACAGTGTTTCCCAAGTTTCGGCAGGGTTGAGGCACATCTGTGCCATGCAGTAATACATAGACGCGAGCAGAAGGCTCCACACTGTGCGTAATATTGTTAACGGAGCTTGAAAGCCTGTGGTGTACAATGCTCAAAAAATTTATATGGAACACCCAGACTTTGTCCTTTCTCATGGGGGTGCAGTCCTGGCGAAGTCGAACACCTTCGTGACATTGCCCTTCAAGCTGTTCTTCTAAGCGCCACGATGCGGGGCCGTTGTTCGACTGGCACTCTCATTATCATTGTCATCTCTCTATTTCTGTGTCCATGAACAACAATTGTCTGTAATGTGGCACAACAGTGTTCGGTGACAGGTTAGAAACTCAGTAGGAGCTCCAACCCCAGCACGCAACCATTGCTTTCTGCCGGGCTTTGGCTGCGCGTGCGGCAAAGTGTTATCGAAGCCAGAAATCTTTCACTTGGGGCTCTTACTGGGTTCCTAACTGTTACCAGCCATAAAACTGTGCCCCCAAGAGAAAAGACACGGTTCACACATTTCATATAAGTTTGGGGAGCACTTTCTATGACCGAAGACCGATCCCAACTGGTTTCCTGACGCTCAACAGGAGAAAGAGAGTCAGGTGCGGACGGAGGCCCGCTGCTCCCAGCGGCTGCGCACGGTGCTCCAGGTTGCCTCGATCGTCAGGGCCCTGGACGCGGACATGGACAAGCTGGACCGGTGGCTGGACAAGGCCGAGGATGCCATCGCCACCTACACCGTGCCCAACACCCAGGCCCTGGTCAACGACCAGCTCGAGAAGCACAGGGTGCGTCAGACAAACGTCCCCGTCCGTTTTAATTGACAGCTTCATACGGGAACCCTGAACAACCCTTGCCTGCTCCTGTTCGGGGCGGCTGAACCGTAGCAAGACTATGGAAGGGAGTGTGCTAACACGCCTCCTCTCTCCGCTGCGTAGGAACGGGGGTTGTGTAGTAGGGTAGAAACTGTGCATTAGTAGAATGATGTAGTCGCGAAGGCATTTCCAGGTTGGGTTGTGTACGTAGCAGCATTTCAGAGGGCACGATGCAATGCCCCCAAAAGAAAGGTATATGAATCATGAGGAAGAAGAGAATTCCTTTATATATTTGCAATTCCTTTGCCGTGTGTCGCATTGCTCGTCATTCCGATAGAAAGTTCTACTCGTTAAAGACCCCATCCAGTACTAACGCACCCTCATTGCATTTGACGGATTGTTTGAAGGGATACTGACAGGGTGTATACGCTCGCCAAGGTTTTTATTTGTGCATGACATATTGTCACGAATGAAGGTGACGAAAAGCCGAACAGTGAACTGAAAATAAAGATTTAATGGGCGAACTTGTGCCAACCAAAAATAAATAACGAAAGAGCGTCGAGGTAGCAGAAAAGCGGGCGGCGGTTCGGCGGCACTACAGAGCGCTAGCGAAACTGGGACTGACTTGACAAGGTCGCGGGAGCCGCTTATCTACCCTGCGTCACTATCTCGAAAGTTCGACAAAGAAGGTTCGAGCGTCGCGCGCTCGGGGCGAGGATGAACTGGCACTTTCGAGAATAACAAAGCAGAAGGAAAGTTACGTCTGCTGCGAGAATGACCGGGAATCTTCTAGAAGACCGTGACCGAGCGTTGCTTTCTCGGCTCTGCGGGTGGCATTATCCCCCCTTTAAAAGTGCATCGCCCCGATGCAAAACGAAAGGAAAACGGAAATGGCTAAAACAATTACGGCGAAACAAAACAAACATGCAGTTTCACAATCCTAACGCGCGTAGAACGGCTTGAGTCGAACTACGTGGACGACTTCGGGTCGTGGCTGGCGGCGTCCTGATGGGCGAGTTCCGTCGGGGAGCACCTCGTAGTTCAAGTCCCCAAGGCGGCGGATGACCTTGTAGGGTCCGAAGTAGCGTTTTAACAGTTTCTCGCTGAGGCCGCGGCGGCGAATGGGCGTCCACACCCATACCCTGTCTCCGGGCTGGAACTCCACGTCGCGGCGGCGAAGGTTGTACCGGCCAGCGTCCACACGTTGCTGGTCCTTTATTCGAAGATGAGCTAGTTGGCGTACTTCTTCTGCTCGTTGGGTGACCAGCTGGGCGTCGTCAGTGCCGTCATCCGTCGGGTCGTGGGGCAGCATGGCGTCGAGCATCGTCGTCACCTTTCTGCCGTGCACCAGCTGAAAGGGTGTAACGCCGGTAGTTTCTTGAATCGCCGTGTTGTACGCAAACGTGACGTAGGGCAGCACTTCATCCCACGTCTTGTGTTCCACGTCCACGTACATAGAAATCATGTCGGAGATGGTCTTGTTTAGTCGCTCCGTCAGCCCGTTGGTCTGCGGGTGGTATGCCGTGGTCCGGCGGTGGTCGGTGTGGCTCAGGCGGAGTATCTCTTGTGTCAGTTGCGCCATGAACGAGGATCCTCGGTCCGTAATCAGGACTTGGGGAGCGCCGTGTCGGAGGACGATAGACTCCACGAAGAATTTGGCTACTTCCACGGCGGTCCCCGATGGGAGTGCTTTTGTCTCGGCGTACCTGGTGAGATAATCAGTTGCCACGATTATCCACCGGTTTCCCTGCGCCGACGGTGGGAAAGGTCCGAGAAGATCCATTCCAACCTGCTGGAATGGTGCAGTCGGGGGCGCGATCGGTTGCAAGAGACCTGCCGGCTTCGTCGGTGGTTTCTTGCGTCGTTGGCATTCGTGGCACGAACGGACGTAGAGGTGGACAGTCTTCGGAAGCTTGGGCCAGTAGTATTTTTCTCGGATTCGAGCAAGAGTCCTACTGTAGCCAAGGTGACCAGATGTTGGGTCGTCGTGGCAGGCTTGGAAGATCTCTTCTCGAAGACTAGCAGGAATCACTAACAACCACGTTGAGTTGTTGTCCCCGAAGTTTTCTTTATAGAGGATACCTCTCCGGACGGCGAATCTTGGCAGGTCACGTGAGAAGGCTCGGGGAATCGTACCCCCTCGTCCCTCCAAGTGGTCGATCAATGCACGCAGCTCAGGATCGTCCCGCTGGAGCGCTGCCATGCCGTGAATGCTCACCGCGCCAAGAAAGTGGTCGTCGTCGTCGTCTTTGGCACATCCGGCAGCTGACTCGACAGGGGCTCTGGACAGGCAGTCGGCGTCGCTGTGTTTTCGGCCTGACTTGTAGACCACGGTTACGTCGTACTCTTGCAGTCGTAGGCTCCATCGAGCGAGGCGTCCCGATGGGTCCTTTAGGCTCGCTAACCAACACAGCGAATGGTGGTCGGTGACCACCCGAAAAGGAGTCCTGTACAGGTATGGGCGGAATTTCGTGATGGCCCAGACGACGGCCAGACATTCCTTCTCGGTCGTTGAGTAATTGCGTTCCGCGTTCGACAGCGTCCGGCTAGCGTATGCGATCACGCGCTCCGCACCGTCTTGTCGTTGGACCAGTACCGCTCCGAGTCCTGTATTACTGGCGTCCGTGTGGACCTCCGTTTCGGCTGATTGCTCGAAGTGGCCGAGAATCGGTGGTGACTGGAGCCGTCGCTTTAGTTCGTCGAATGCCTGTTGTTGTTCTTCACCCCAGTCGAAGTTCACGGCGTCTTTCGTAAGGTGCGTTAGCGGCGCAGAAAGCTTGGCGAAATCCTGAACGAATCGCCGGTAGTATGCGCAAAGTCCCAGGAATCTTCGGACGGCAGTTTTGTCGGTGGGCAATGGAAAGGCCGCTACGGCGCGAGTCTTCTCAGGGTCAGGACTTACACCTTCGTTGCTCACCACGTGGCCCAGGAACTTCAGTTCTCCGTAGGCAAACCGGCACTTCGTCGGCTTGAGGGTGAGTCCTGCGGTCCTGATTGCCTCTAAAACGGCCCGAAGGCGTCGTAAATGCTCGTCGAAGTTGGCCGAGAATACCACGACGTCATCGAGGTAAACGAGACAGCTCTGCCACTTGAGGCCTGCCAGGACGGTGTCCATGACACGTTGGAACGTTGCCGGCGCCGTGCACAGTCCGAAGGGCATCACCTTGAACTCAAACAGTCCGTCGGGCGTGACGAAGGCAGTCTTTTCTCGGTCTCGTTCGTCGACTTCGATCTGCCAGTAGCCACTCTTAAGGTCCATCGACGAAAAGTATCGGGAGTGGCGCAGCCGGTCCAGCGTGTCGTCGATGCGGGGGAGCGGATACACGTCTTTCTTCGTGACCGCGTTGAGCCGCCGGTAGTCAACGCAGAATCGAAGCGTTCCGTCTTTCTTCTTTACCAGCACAACTGGAGAGGCCCACGGGCTGCTCGAAGGCTGAATGATGTCGTTGTTGAGCATCTCCTGTACTTGTTCATGAATGGCCTCTCGTTCCTTTGGGGAGACCCGGTACGGCGGCCGATGCACAGGGAGCGCGTCCTCGTTGGTAATGATGCGGTGTTTCGCAACTGTTGTCTGGCGCACCCTCGACGTCGTCGCAAAGCAGTCGCCGAACTCGGCGAGGAGGTCTCCGAGCTGTCCTCGTTCTGTGGCGCTGAGCTTGGGGTTAACGTCAAGCTGTTGCGGCACTGTACTGGACGGCTGACATGGCGAGGGCTCGTCGGAGATCGCGGCGATTTCGGCGTCGGCCCGGAGTTCCTCGACGTGTCCTATAGTGGCACCTTTCGTTAGATGCTGCGCCTCCGGTCGAAAGTTCGTCACGAGGACCACACAACGTCTATCCTGCAGCTCTGCTACGCCCCTTGCGACGCCTATTCCTCTTCCGAGAAGCAGTTGGACGTTGCCTTCCAGAAGGACTTTCCCGCTGGCAACTGCGTCGGTCACGACGGGCACAAGAACACTCGACCGTGGCGGCAGGTTCACGTGGTCCGCAATGACTCGGACGGCGGCTGGCGACGTTTTGGATTCCTCCGGAGGTAGCACGGGCTTTCGCAGCGTCAACCTGTTTGCTCCAAGGTCGATCACAGCACCGTACTCACAGAGGAAGTCCATGCCAAGGATGACGTCTCTCGAACAGTCTTTGAGGACGACGAACTTCACGGGGCAGGTCTCTCCGTGGATGTCCACGCGCGCAGTACACCTTCCCACTGGTGTGATGAGATGTCCGCCGGCGGTTCGTATTTTTGGGCCATCCCACGGCGTCATCACTTTCCGAAGGCGGCGAGAGAGCTTCCCACTTAAAACGGAATAGTCTGCTCCGGTGTCGACGAGTGCCTTCGCGTCGTGGCCGTCGATGGTAACGTCGAGGTTATTCGACACCGTCACAGAAGCGTCGTTCCTATCCGTTTTGTCCCTAGTGTGGGAGCCCTCCGACGTTTGTGGAGGATATTGGCGTCGTTCGTCACCGGCAATACCACCTCCCGGTATTGCCGCACTCAGTTTTCCCGGCGAGGCAGGGGGGACAGGCTTTCTTGGCGGGACCTACGATGAGGCGATGCAAGGCGTTGCGGTGATGGCGATCGGTAACCGCGGCGGGGAGACGGTCCTGGGGATGGCGAACGGCGGAGGTATTCGTCGATGTCCCTAGGTCGCTCTCCGTAGCGTGGTCGCGGGTCGTCGGGGTGGAAGCCTCGTAACCCCAGCTGCCGGTACGGGCAACGGCGGTAGACATGATCGGCTTCCCCGCAATGGTAACAAAGCGGGCGTCGGTCGGCCGTTCGCCACACGTCAGTTTTCCTGGGTGCTGGTTTTTCCGGGCACACGTGCTGTCGTTCTTCGCGACGTTGGTAGTACTGTGGCGCTGGAGGTTGACGTCGTGGTGGCACCGTAGCTTGGCGGGGAGCTTGCGGCGGTCGTCTGGCCATGGCGGCGTAGGTCAGCCTCGGTTCCTCAGGGGCTTGCTCGTTGACGGGAGTTTCAGGCTGCAAGGCCCGCTGTACCTCGTCGCGCACGATCTCGGCGACTGACAGCGACGCCGGGCGCTCAGTAGCGGGGAGCAGCTTTCGGAGCTCCTCTCGGACGACGTCCCGGATAACGTCGCGTATGTCCCGGGTGCGGGCGCCGTTGTCGGTGGAGGCAACGACGCCGGGATGTCGTTGGTAGTAGGAGGCGCGTGCTTGGAGGGCGCGCTCCATGTTCGTTGCTTCCGTGACAAACGCTTCGACGGTGGTCGGCGGGTAGCGGACGAGGCCCCCAAAGATGTTGTCCCTCACCCCGCGCATGAGGACACGCAGCTTCTTGTCATCGGTGGCTTGTGGGTCGGCACGCGCACTCAGTCGCAGGACGTCTTGAACGAAGCTGGTTACGCTTTCGTTGGGGCCTTGCGTCCTCGTCCGAAGGAGGTCCTCGGCTCTCTCTTTTCGGTGGTGACTGGCGAACGTCCCTCGGAGCTCTCCTTTCAGCTGGTCCCATGACGTAATCGAGGTTTCACGATTCTCGAACCACTGTCGCGCCGTTCCCTCGAGGGAAAAATAGACATTTTGAAGACGCTGTTCCGGAGTCCATTGGTTGTGCAGCGCCACCCGTTCGTATTGCTGCAACCAATCTTTGACGTCTTCGTAGATCTCGCCGTGGAAGGACGTCGGTGTACGAGGGGCGACGGGCAGGTAGACAACGGGGGCGACAGTCGGGGTCTGCGACGACTGGGGGTCCATGGTCGGCTTCGTCGACTGGTCGGTCTTCTTCGGCAGTAGACCGTATGAAACCCGTGCAAAGTACCCCGCACCTCCACCAGAAATGTCACGAATGAAGGTGACGAAAAGCCGAACAGTGAACTGAAAATAAAGATTTAATGGGCGAACTTGTGCCAACCAAAAATAAATAACGAAAGAGCGTCGAGGTAGCAGAAAAGCGGGCGGCGGTTCGGCGGCACTACAGAGCGCTAGCGAAACTGGGACTGACTCGACAAGGTCGCGGGAGCCGCTTATCTACCCTGCGTCACTATCTCGAAAGTTCGGCAAAGAAGGTTCGAGCGTCGCGCGCTCGGGGCGAGGATGAACTGGCACTTTCGAGAATAACAAAGCAGAAGGAAAGTTACGTCTGCTGCGAGAATGACCGGGAATCTTCTAGAAGACCGTGACCGAGCGTTGCCTTCTCGGCTCTGCGGGTGGCAATATGAGAGCCCAACTACCCAGAACACAATTTGCGGCTGAAAATTAGTTTTTTTTTTTCTGCCCGAAAACTGCCGATTGAGAACTGGCCGGTTTGAGTTGCCCTAACTCTCTCTTTCGTGGTCATGTGCCGTTTTCTGTGGTTTAGACGCACACGCCAAACATAATCAAAGGCGTGGGTCATCGAAAGCACACACTCAATATTAAAAATTGAAAAAGAAGATATGATGCCCATTTTTTGTGGCTTTTAGAAAGCTGCAAATATGTTGATTGAAAGAAAAAGTTGCACAGAGAACCAGATGCACTCTGTTGCATTCTCTGCATAATTAGGGGAGGATCGGTGGCCGAGTGGGCTGAAGCGCACACCCAGCTCGACGGGCGTGGAGCGAAAGCTCGCACTGCAGAACCCAGGCATCCTGGGTTCGAGCCCCACCCCTGCCCGTTTCGATCTGGATGAGTATCGCACCGGCGTGCGGTCGTGTATCACTACTGCGTGGTGCACGTTAAAGACCCCAGGCTAGCGGTTGGACTGCACTGGCTAAATTGCTCATCTACAGCGAGTGACTCGTCGCAACTTTAAATGGCAGACTGACTACACGCTAGCCTCCCCACAACCCAAAAAAATCTGCATAATTCTCAACATGGGGTTGTATCGTCGGAGTTGCCGGCAGGACGGCTGAACAAAGCGGACTAAGCGATGGCGGCAAACGACAGGCATAGGACCTCTACTCGGAACTGTTGTTCGCAGTACCGGCGAGTCTGTCTAGCTTCGAAAGAGAAATTATTTATCGATCAGAACAATTTGAATTTACTTCATACGACACGCCCAACCACCGAGCTGAATCGCACAAAGACGTTGGCGAGTTGTCGTCGATTCTCCTAGTTGATGGCATCACTCGTCTTATGAAAACAAATTGGTAAGACCTTGAAAAACGTGCAAACGTCAAGCACGAAATGCTTGACTTTGGCGTTTTTTGTTCGACAAGAGTTTTTCACCTGTCTCGCACAACCAAAAAAACAAAAGAAAAAAAAAAAAAGAAAACACAGTTGGGTGTAACTACGTGACTTCCAGCCAGCTCTCCCCCTTTATGTTTTTTCTTCCTTCTCAGTCCGGTTTTGATTTCGAGCAGTTGCATTTTTTTCACTTCAATTAAAATATATCTAATGTTGTCGCACAATATTGATTGGGTAGTTTTCTGACACCGTATTAAATCACCTAACAAAAAAAAAAATTTGAGGAGTTTTCAGTGTTTTTTAAGCCTAGGGAGTTTTCTCCCTTTAGGAGAGTGGCATTCGAGATTGCGGTCATTGACGGTCTGTGCTTCGAGGAAACTCCGCAGTAATTTTCAGGCCGATTCCGAATTTTGTATTATTGGTTTCCTGAAGCTTAAGGCGAGGTGCTTCGTTTACTTGCAGGTCTTTTTCTCGCAAATGGCACCCATGAAGTCCCTTCTCGCGAGCAAAAACAAGCTGCACCGAGACCTGAGGGAGGAGGTGGGAGCGACGCCGGGCCTCGACACGTCCAGGGTAGACGCCAGGATGGCGGCACTCAACGAACGTTTCCAGGTCGGTTACTGCGTTTGTGTTGACTTTTCAAGGACACCACCGACCAAATTTATTTACCGAAATCAAACTTTGTTAGTATTATCGCCGTCATTTTGCCTTTACGTTTTGTGTCTATACCAGATCTTCCACTTTAGGCAATATAAAAGCCAGATTGAGGCTATAGTAGTCGGATGTTTCGGTTTCCTCATAGCCATCATGACCGCGCGCCGTTCGTCTCCGTGACGGTCACGGGACGGCTGCCATTCTTTTCGTGTTCTTTAGGCGCGAGTGCTTTCCGGCGATTGACCCGACATATCGAAGTGATCTTGATCGGCTGAACGTCGTGTTGGAGCGGTTCTAGATGGCGCCGGAAAAGGCCCCGACACGCGCGGCAAATATATCAGGACGACTGTGGCTGAAAAAGCTGACCCATCACTTCAGAAATCGCCTGGCTGGCACTATTTCTAGGGGTAGGCTATCTTTTTAGTGTTCTTCCTTGAACAAAAAAGCTTGCCTCGAACCAGGTTGGGTGCCATTTCTGGAGGGTTGGGCATCTCTCAGTATGTTACGTATTAACTTAGAAATTAGAATTCGCTATTTGCACATGCCCACGCAGAGCGCAAGTTCGTCTGCTTCTTGTACAGGGGCTGCGATGATGTCAAAACGCCGAGCTCTTATTGGCCGATTGAACAAAATAGTGGGTAGACCCCAAGGCATCTAGCATTGAGTTACCACTATCCTTTCAATCTAAGCCAATCAGAGCTCGGCCTCGTTCTGACGTCCCCTCAACTCCTGCGCAAGAAGCAGACGACTTGCTCTCCGCATAGTGTGTTGGAGGTGAAGAATAGCAGGAGAAGGTCCTCCTACACAGCCCCTACTCCTTTCACTTTAGCAGAGCAAATGCTCGAGAGGAGGAGAGGGGGGAAACCACCAATCAGGAAGAACAGTGCTCTGCGAGGCGGACTTGTACTGCTATTCTAAACCTGCAACAGACTGTAGTCGTCTTTATGAAGGATCGAGAACCGCTAGTGTTGTGATGGTGGCGACGCGTGGTGACGAGCCGCACTCCCTGCAGAACTGCGCCTCGTTGGCCGAGCAGTGGGAGCGGGCGCTGCAGGAAGCGGCCATGCGCTGGGAAAACCTGTTTGACGCTGAGCAGAAGGCCCTGGACTGGCTCGCCAAGGCGGACGTTCACCTGGCTGAAAACAGAAACCCAGAGGCTGCGCGGGTGAGTGGTGTCAGCTCGAGGATGGGTACCGCAAGAGCCACCGACTAAGCTACGCTTCGAAGCAACGACATTTCGGTTGTCTTTGCGCTTAAAATCGTAATTGCAAGTTTTCCGAAGCTTTATCCGAAATCGCAGGAAATGCTTTTATCGTTAAAGGGGTCGTGATATGTTTTTTCGAAATTTTGGGCTACAGTAAGCTTTCGTTAACTCGAAGTCATAAAAAGTCAAAATAAATTCAAGATGTGTTTCTAGATAAGCCAGGTACCAAATTTTCATTGCACTGATGGCGCATTGTGAGAATGAAACCCTTCCAACAATGGTGCCAATGGACTTGACACTCACAGGGTGTGCTGCACCGCCCCACCCTGAGTAAAACAAAACCTCAACAAAATTATCAACAAGCAACATTCATAAGATGAGACAGCAAAACCGAGAAGCAAGAACGGAAAAAAACCCCAAAAAAACAGAGAACCCACAAAAAGAATTAAAGAAAGAGACTAAGAGCAGAAGATAATGTTGAGTGCGAGGGAAAGAGAAAAAGCGGCACCTACCGTTAAGCCAAGCCAAGTCATATGGAAGGGGAAAAAAAACTTATGACACGGGACTTTTACGGCGAAGCTGTTAAGGGCTAGGTTCCCCAGGATCGTGTCCGTGTATGTCGACACAAACCTACCTGGACAGCTACCGCCATCTATGAGCGACGGCGGCAAGCACACAACCAGTATGGTTTCCGCCATCGCTCACAGATGGCGGCAACCTTTCCAGCTATCATAGAAGATTGGATACTTGAGTGCGTTGGTGGGAATTCATCGTAGGAAACAGCGTGAAAAACAGTTAATGATGAAGAAGAAGCACACAGTGTATGGAGTACAGCTCCGCTGGTCTTCCTTCGTCACAAAATGGAAAGGCTGAACCAATTTTTTTTCTTTTTTTTTTTGCATTGTTGGGCGTGCATACAATGATGCACAATTTTGTTTTCTTTCTTTTTTTGTGTGTGTTTGTTTTCAAATTGCTGTTTCTTCACCAACCAATAGCTTCGTTGAATTTACCTGCACCTCCTGCTCCGGTGCAGAAAAGTGTTGGGTGGTGTACTTCCGGTTGTATCTCAATTGCAATTTCTTTTGTACTTCACTCAGGTTAGCAAAATTTGGTACAAATGTTCTCCACACCAACATAAACAAGCCCTGTAGATGTCATTTAAATCAGTCAAGTGGGTAAAATATTAACATTTTTGGGTAGTGTCCCCCCTTAATTGCGAGACGGCCGATCGTCACCAACCGATTTTTCGGATGCCAATATTTCGGACATGTCCAATTATTCGGACGTTTTCACCGAACTGTCACTCACCCCATAGAGTTAATGTATAACATTGACCGAAATTTCGGACTCTATAAAGCTTATTGCTCAATATTTTTTACATAATTTGTGTGATTTCCTCAGTTTACAGCCACGAAACAGCCGCCGCGATAGCGCCGCGAGCTTAGTCGCCACCATTTTGGTTGTTTTGATTTAGCCCTGTAGCCCTCGATGGCCCACTTCTCTTTTTATGAATTCTATCTTTGGGGGTTGTGAGCAATGACTCAGAATATTACGGTAATAACTTTTTGTTGTTTTTTTGTGGAAAGTTATTTGTATTGTGCCATACGTGTTCTCTATTCATGCACTTTTTTAAAAAGATATTTTTGGAGATTAGTGTTTTTTAAGTTAAGTCTCATTTTGAAACGTCGGTGGGAACTTAATGCTTCCAGGAAGTGTCTCAAGTTTATCTAATAGTATATGCATTTCAAGATAAAAGAAGCGATTAATCTCGTTATGTTGCAGAGGGGCGTTCCAACTTTTTGAGTCGTACGTAACGACTTGGAATCAAGGATCGTGCTTTCACGATGAATGCGATAGCCTTGCGACAGACGTGTGCACCGTTTACCTTACCATTAAATTTTTTTCTTCTATATTTATTTGTTATGCCTGTTCAATGTAGTTGACTTTGCCAATTGCCTACAGGTTATTTAGGATCAAGAACCAGTTGTAACAAAATATATTTGCGTAAAAGTTGAATATTTTTTTATGTTGGACACGTTTGCCGTTGTGAAAAGTCTCCTAGCTGGTTTTTTAAATGGTTCCTCTCTGCTTACAGGCGTTCTTCAGCAAACCCTATGAGCACATCTTGCTCAGAGTCATCCAGACCAGCAAGGACGTGCTGGCCACCCTGCCTCCAGAGGACCACGGTCCAATTGAAGCCAAAGTCCAGCACGTCAGGGACCGATGGAAGGTATGCGAGACACTTTCATTGCACTCTCCTTTATTGAACACTGCAAACAGTCTTCACTGTAAAATGCCAGGTAGAGTCTAGTCATGAGATGTCCATTGGAGCATCTGGATGCCTGATGTCTAGCAGTTGTGATAATCTGTAGCATTTGAAATTTTGACTGAATGAAAGAGGACGGCAGGGAGGTCCCTCAGTTGTGTCGCCTTCCGTGCGAGCTGGGGCCAGCAACTATAACTGTCGAGTTCTTTGGCCGGCAGGCTTCCCCACGACACAGTTGTGCATCGAGGGGAAGGGATTTCGATAAACTTAAATTTATCTCTTTTGTAAGTTTGAAAAATCAGATTCCTATGAATCTAAAATACCTAATTTCAATATCTCTGTTTGATATGGAAAGTCAATTTTGTAATGAGAATGGCCTCAACTACTACAAAACCCTGCCAAAGAGATGCTGTCTGCCAAAAGGCAAGAGGAACAACAAACAAATGGTTGGTGGGGTCTGGGGATCTACAGGAAAGATCTGATTGTTAGGCTCTTTTGCCAGAAAACAGAAAATGGGGACTTCCCAGCTTTCTTTGGTGCACACATAGGGAGGACTTGTGCTAATACTGCTATCTATCTAATTGAGGATCAAGGTTTATTTTAACTTGATCTTTTTTTAATATATTTTTTAGGTGCGAAGCTTCTTAGGGTCTAGCCTTGTCTGTCTGGCTTCCGTGCTCACATCGATCTTGCTGGTGCTCGTGCTCGTGATCGTGCTCGTGAGCTCACGTGCACGAGCACATGAGCATGTGCTCACGTGCTAGTGTAAAAAAAAAGATGATGAAAAAAAAATATTTGCGCAGTCCACAGGATTCGAACCTCTGTGGGGAGACCCCAATGGATTTCTAGTCCATCGCCTTAACCACTCGGCCACGAATGCGGGACAAGTAGGGGGCTCTGAGATGTGTTAGTAACTCAAGAGCTGGGGATGTCATGGATGAAACGTTGCATGTAGCCGCTCAACGTCTATACAGGAGAGGGCGCTGGGGTCAAATGCGTATATAATCGCATTAAACCTTGCATGCATTGGCTCAACGTTTATAGACGAAAGGGCCCTGCGGTCAAATGCTCAAATGCGTATAGTATAACCATGTTCCATACCACACATTCTCTTTCTGACATGGATGAAAACGAACGAAAGGTTCGGCATGCTGCAGCTCAGCGTCTACGCAAACAAGCACCACAAGAGCTTCGCCCCAATCAACATCATTTACCACGTGGAGATGCAGTCATTTTTGTCTCTAGAACAATTATTGGATATTTAGGAACTATAGCTGCTGTATAACCCGGAGAGTAAAAGGAAATATACAGGCACTGTTGCAGTCAACACCTTTGTGCACTTCTTAATTTCAGGTTTGTTGGATTTCAAGTTATTTTAACAATCCCAGAGATAGAAAAAGGTAGAGGCGTTACTTTTCTCTTCGCTTTCCTCGCATCGCAGGCAGTTCAGCAGAAGCTGCCAAGGCTGAACGACGACGAGCTTTTCATGGAGCTTCAGGAGTCGTTTGAGCGCCACGTCAAGACGCTCGACAAAGAACTGCAGGACGAGCAGAAGCTCGTCGACAGCGGAGAGAAGTTGCGCAACGTCCTGGCTCGGCACGAGGTTCGTCACAACCCCTGTGATTGTGTTGCGCGTCTGTTTACCCGGCGAGAAGTTAGTCAGCACCAATGGGTGCCTGGCGTCTCCGCTGTAGAGGAGAACTTTAGCCAGTGCAGCGTACCACTGTTGACCCTGGTTCGTTAACGTGCATCAGGCAGTGGCGGTACATTACCGCACGCCAGTACGATGATCTTCCAGATCTAAACAGGTAGGGGCGGTGATTGAACCCAGGATCCCTGGGCTCTGCAGTGCGAGGTTTTGTTCCACGTGCGAGCCGTGGTCTGCTAACACACTCGGCCACCCGTCCCCACTGAGAGCCATCGCTGTGAAACAGACTTGTGCACTTGTTCAAGTGCTTGCAACGAGTCGTTGGCCTCGATTGTCACGAAATCCGAAATGCGTCGTCTGCATCCCACGGTGGCCCCACACGTCCTAAGCTCGCGACGCACCGTGTCCTTCCAGGAGTTCTTCAACCGCTCTCGGGAGATCGGGGCCATCCAGGACGCCCTGGAGGAGATGGAGCAGCTAGCCCAGAGCTGCCCAAGCCACCGGGAGCCCCTGAAGTCGTGCCAGGACAGGTTCAGCGAGCTGCACGAGCGCATCGTCACCATGAATCGCATGCTCCAGACGTCCAGGGACGACTGGCTCGTGTACTCCAGGAAGTGAGTGTTTGGAATCGCCTCCTCCTGCCACAGTGCATGGGACATGTGTCTTTGACTGGTTCAGTTTGCCGTGTCCTCAAAAGGGGTCCTTCGGTTTCCGTACAACGATGTCACAGTTGTGTCGTGCTGTTCTGCCGTAGGTCGCTCTCCAGCTTGACTGTCCACGAAAGCTTCAGCGGCCGAGAGTGGGGATGCGGCGATGACAACAACGCTTGCGCTCGCCCATACTTTTAAGCGGAGCTTCTATGATTAACCGCCAGCATTGCGACGTCCGGCAGCGTGAGATGCTTGTTCCGGCGACATATTCCCGGCCACTTTGAGACCACTTGCAATACGTAGGGGCTACAGGATGCTAAACACACCTGTCACACGAGTTCTAGGCACTGTACCCGAACTATGCAGTTAGGGCGCAGATTTTTCAATACCGATCTGTCGGAGAGAACCGATCGAATCTATCTGGAGCGCCGAAATTCTCGAGCTTTGTGTTAGAACTGCATTGCGATGCTGGGACCAATGGCTTCAAAATGGCGGCTTCGTGTAATTGAATTGAACTACCCATGACGGGCTGAACTGGCTAAGTCTACTCTACAGTGGGCAAATGGGTCGTCGTTTTATGGCGATAGACGTTATGAGCCCTTCCAACTGCTGGAAATGGTGTTTGTAGTAACTGTAGTTGTTGATGTTGCAGTGGTCATAGTAGGCTATAGGGCGTCCATCGTCGATGTCGCCCAATCCTCGAAAAAGACAGCCCGCCTCCCGCTAGATTCTATCCTAGGTTCTCCACGCTTGAAGCGGGTGCGTTACCTCTGAGCTACGGCGCAGCTTTGACTAGGCTGCCTGCATTGTCCTTCTGTTTAGGGTGTTGCATTCTTTGTAGTACTCAATGCCAACAGCACGCGCCCTCGGGAAAAATACGAAGAGTTAGCCGGTAACAAAATGCCGCCTTAAAACAGGACTGCTCAATCCTTTTTTTTTTTTTTTTTTTAAGGGCTAGATTACAAGTTTTATTATGCAAAAGGCTTTCGCGGCTCATCAAAGTTGCAACACTTTTTCGGACGTAGCACTGGGTAACTGCGGTGTTGCGTATCCTGCGGCATTCCACAATTTTGCCCGCATGTGTTTATCCGAGAATACACAAATTTAACTTTTTGCAAATGGTTAAAAAATGGTCTGCACGTGAAAGACATTGGACTTGCTGATGATTTCTGCTCAGGTTCAACGGCCTGCTGTCGTGGATGGACCAGGTGGACGAACGCATAGAGCTTCTTGTTCAGAGCGACACCAGCTCTGCTTCCGCCTATGAGACCCAGCGCACAGAATTTTTGGTAAGGTCTGATTTTAAATGAACAATGCAGCATGCTAGAAGGTACTCTCCAGTGTGCTCTAACACTGATAATTCAAAAAATGTTCACTTGATCATGAACACTTAAAAAAAATCAGCAAAGCAGTAGAGCAGTAGGTGATTTCATTTGTAGCATTTAAGCGAGAATTGTATATACGTTTTATGAATGGAGCTTGCACGTTTACTTCTTAATTCTTCATGCAGCCCATAGAAGTCAATCACGAAAGGAGACCAGCTAAGATTGAGATGCATAATGTTTAAATAAAAAAAAATGGAGACTTGTTTTTGATTTTGATAGCGTTCACATGCTCAGAATCTCAGCGCAGAGCTCACGTATGAGCCCCAACATCATTGGTGGTTCGTTATTTGCTGCATCCTGTCTGATGATTGGCTTTCTGTGGGCATTGTAAGAAAGGATATGTGCTGGCTTTGCTAAGAAAAGGTTGACCTATTTTCGAATAAATACGGTAGCTTCAATCGCTGGGCCAGATACAATTCACATTGCTTTAGAACTCTTCAACTGAAGTGACAGTCAAGTGTTGCACACTTCACAGCATTGATCTCAGAAGTTCCTTCTCTGCAGTTGTTTGCCACCATAATGTGAGCTTTCCATCTACCATTACTCATAATATGTTTGCTCATTTGTGCACATTGATTTTGTCACCATGTTCCTTAGCTAAAACGGAGCTTTGTGTACACTTTGTTGTTATCATAGTCCAACACCGGACCATAATCCAATGCTTTGTCGTAGTCAAACACTTTATCATAGCTCAATTACTTTATTACAGTCCAACACATTATTGTAATGCAAACCTTTGTCAAAGCTCGTTCTAATCTAGCGCTTCGCTGTAGTCCAACACTTTGTCGTAGCTCAACAGTTGGTTACAGTCTAATGTATTGTCGTAGTTCAACACTTCGTTGTAATTCAAACCTTTGTCATTTTCTAACACCTGGTCATAGTTCAACACTTTCTCGTTATTCAGAACTTTGTCATAGCTCTACACTTTGTTGCAGTACTACTCACTGTCGTAGTCCAACACTCTTTCGCAGTCCGACACTTTCTCATAGCGCACACCTTGTCGTAGTTCGAGTCTTTCAGAGCTGAGTGCCTCTTTGCGATCGCAGGACATCTGTGAGACGGTGGACGCCCGCCGCGGAGACCTCGAGTGGCTGACCAACCGGCTGGAGGCCCTTCTGCCCGGCATGGAGCCCGAGGAGGCCCAGAGGGAGAGCGAGCGGCTGGCCGGCCTGGTGGCCCGCTACGGGGCCCTGCTGCCGGTCATGGAGACCACCACCGTCGTCTCAGAGACTGTGTCCAAGTGCTACCTGTACCGTGAAGAGGTCACCCAGGTGAGCGGCTGTGCACTCGTCACTGAAGGTGCTCGCTCGATAGATGTCTTGTGCAGCCGGGTATGCGTTACCAGAAAACACTGCCCGTCACTTTGGTACATCTTGAAGGCACTCTAAATGCGTAGCATTTAAAAAGCCAGACCTGTAATCTGTAATGTGGCCATGTGTTATGATGTTGGGTCGCATCAAGTGATGACATGATGTTATAGTGTCACGTGATGTCATGGTGTAATGTGACGCCACAAAGGACCCATAAATGATGTGCATTTAGAGTGCCTTCGGGATCTGTCGAAGAGACGGGCGGCCCTCTTTTAATCTTTTCATAGCTCTTGGCATTCAGCCCCCCTTCCAAGTCGTCTCTTTAGCTCGAGGCATGACCTCTCTTTGGTTTTGCAGGTGACCCGTTGGCTGAGGGAGGTCAGGGACTCCAAGGCCGTCACCGAGGAGATTCCGCTGGATAACCCTGAGAAGCTCAAGCAGATGGTGCAACAACAGAAGGTCAGCCGGAGCAATTTATATGCATCCCCCCCACCCCCTCCGCCCCTACCCCTTCTAACACACCCTCAAACCAAGTCCCACACTCCCCCAAAAGTTTCTTGCACAAAGTGTACAAACACATTTCGTGAAACTGCCCAATATTGACCAAGATCAGTATGTTTTAAACTGCCCAGGTCAGTGGTTCTCAACCACTGATTCTGGACCCCTTCTGGGTCAGCAGAAGTGATGGGGGACCCCATCTACCGGGGCAAAGGGGAGTGGTAGTGGATGATTGCTATAACAAGACGGTAAATGAAAAAAACTAATTTTATGTAAATCAACTTTTAAATAAGGAATAATCAGCCATACTCACTTGGCTTGCAGTTTATTTTGCTGTGTGGGACAGTCAATATCAACAAAGGAAAGATTTATTGCTCAGCTCAAGTAATGTTCGAAGGCTTCGTGGAGCCTAGGTGAACAGCTCCTTTGTTTTGCAAGATCAACAGATGCTCGCGAGTGTAAAGTTGTCTCGCCTTTGGTGATCTGGGATTGTGGCCATTTTTTTGGGGGGGAAAACTCCAGGATGTGGTCCAGGAGCTCGAAAAGCGCCAAGACAAGGTCCTGGAAAGCATCAAGTCCGGCAAGGACCTGCAGACGGAGAAGGGTGCTCCCGAATTTGTGTCCAGTGATGTCCGCAAGCTGGAAGAGGAATGGTCACAGGTCTACCGAGAGGCGGTGGAAAAGCTCGACCGGATGACGGTACGGAGACCCCACACTCCTCTTTTTTGGCCTCTCTCGGTCTAATATTTCTATAGTCCCCGCAAGCCTCGAGCATTCACGCACAGCCAAAGCATGGTGAAAGCCTGTGAGTGCATGACGGAGGCCGGACATTTGAATGAGACGCCCCGCCTTTCCCACTCGGTCCGTGACAGTATCTGCTGTATCTCTTCGCGCTTAGGCCTGCTTGCCTCGAACACCTACGTTTACATGGATGCGACTGAAGCGAATATATCAAGAGGAGTCTGGTCACGGGTGCTTGACACTTCTCTTTCCTCTCCTCATGCCCGATCGCTGTTGTAAATTTTGATTCGATGCTCCACAGTCGCATCCACGTAAAAGCAGCCCGTGTTTTTTTTTAGATTGAAAAACAACTTTTACTGTGCGTCCGAGTTATGCAAAATAGCGAGTTGGGTGAAAAATTAAGGGTGCATAGTGAGCAACTTGAGCTGTTATGAGTATAATTAAACATGTTTCTAGCTCTTCGGGACTTCCCGAGCAACCGGTGCAATTTGGAGCTGGTTGCTTGAGATGCAGATTCAATGCAAATTCGTTCCTCTCACGATGCAGTTCTTTGCACACCTTACGGGCAACCCCATTCCCACGGTGAATCTGGACCCTATCTTGTCTTAGAATTCTAATGGTTTAAACGTTGACCTAAGGGCTTGACTCTATCATTTGTTTCTTATTCAACACTGCTGCTCTTCGTTATTTAAAAGCTCTTACGAAGCTTCTTTGATTTTTAACGCTTCTTTACCTCAGTTAGAGAGGCACTCTACTGTATTCAAAGTTCTTTAGTCTGTGTGGTGGCTTTGCTGGCTGTCTCTCTTTCTGCCACACTCTCAAGCCAGTGACATTTCCACTCGACTCGAGTGGCCACACCAAGTTTGGTTTTCGATGAGTTCCGTCTCTCGTTGCAGAAGGACAGCCAGCGCTGGCAGGAGTTTGAAAAGCTGCGTCAGGAGATCCTCCAGTTGCTGGCTCAAGCCGAGCAAGAGCTCAAGTCCATCGGCCTGCTCGCAGACATGGAGCAGAAGAAGCTGGAGCAGTGCATCCGAGAGAAGCAGGTACGTCGTCCGGGAGCTTGCCTAGCTGAAAGTTTTCAGTTTTGAGGAATGTCTATCTCTCTTGAATAGCTGCCAATAAACTCCTCCCGGTTTCGCAGAAAAGCCAGCGTTGGCGTCGATGTCAGTAGCGGACAGGAAAATCCCTGATTGGTCGATAGGGTCATGACGTCACAACCACATGACCTCACGTGGGAATTTCAAACGACCCAAAACGCTCTCGTGAAACTTGACGTCACGCGTAGAGCAAAAGTGAATAAAACATAACATGTAATGCAAATTGAATTTTAGGTGGAGGCGGGATTCGAACCCACGGCCCTTCGGTTGCGAGCCAGACACTCTACCCTCATGCTTGGGAACGAGTGAGGTTTATATTTAGCTATCACGTTCCACTCTTTAAAGGACACATGCAAGGGTAAAAAACATACTTTTTAAACATCCGGGTTGGGAAAAGGAAGTCGTAAAACGAATTTACAACAAAAATGAAATTTTTTAGAGCTATATTTACGGTGCTATACGAATTTGTAGTTGGCACCCGCGGGTGCCGTAGAAGAGTGACCGCTATTTGTCACGTGGTGCTTGCGCTCTTTTGGAAGCTTTCTATGGTCTCGAAAAGTTACTTATTCATCTTCGTTTGAAGTGCAACAAAAAAACAGAGATTAATAAGTAACTTTTAGAGCCCAAAGGAAGCTCCTGAAAAAGCGCAAGCAGACGTGATACGCCTGTGCACTGGTCATATGACGGCGGCGGCACCCCAGAGCACACAAACCTACGTGGCGACGGCGGCGGCGGCATGGAGAAACGCGTTGAAGCAGCGGCGCACCATGCTCAGCGTGCGGCGGCGGCGTGACTTTGTGGCGGCGGGGACACAGCGCGGAGGCGCACGGGTGTACCACATGACCAGCAGCAGCTGCCATGGGCGCGAACTACAAATTCGTTTTACGCCGTAAATATAGCTCTAAAAATTTGTTTTCTTCGTTGTAAATTTATTTTATAACATTCTTTTTCCATCTAGGCTGTTTAAAAAAAAATATTTTTTCCTTTGCATGTGTCCTTTAAGGCAAAACTTAAATGCCCTCTTGTAATTTTTTTTTTGTCTTATTTTGAGCTTGTTTAGACAATACATATTGTGTGTAGCATCAAGCAAAAGACCAGATGGTCTGACAAGGCCTCGATGCCACTATAAAACAGAAGCATAACAATTTATCACTGTTGAAGAAATAAAGTGCAATCCGTGAGTCTGTCCTGATCCTTGTGTTGCCGTGGCGATGCCGCTTTCCAGGAGGCTGCCAAGAGGCTGCAGGAGTCTATGGACGCCATGCTGGCCCGCCTGCGCGGCCTGGCAGACGAGCTCTCCCAGCAGCTGGGCCCCCAGCGGCAGGACGTGCTGCGGGCCGAGCTGGACAAGACGGAGCGCCGGACCACCACGGTGCTCACGACGGTCCACGAGACGGTCCACAAGCTGGAGACGGCGGCCCACAAGAGCACGGACCTGTCGGACCGCCTCGGCCGCCTTTCCGAATGGCTCGCAGGCATCCAGGGCAAGCTGGAGACCAAGGAGGGACCTGTCCCCGAACAGCTTGAGGAGATCCAGGTAAGGGCCTTTTTAATGTGAAAGCATTAATTGTCTCATGGAGCGAGCCGACGTCATCAGCTTTGAAAACACGCCAAACGGCTCTTAAATCCTTCTCCGAGGCAAGCCAGCTCCTAGCTATGAAACTGTAACCACGTGCAAAGCTAGCCACGGCACCATTTACACCGCTTCGATCCCATTGGCTAGCGCGCGTCGACCAGGCTCCCATTCGCCGGTCACGCAGTGCCAGGTCAGCGCCAGTCAGCGTGCCAACATGCGTAGAGCAAGAATGGTGTACATGCTTTTGCGTTCACAACTCATAACAAGTGCTTAGGTGTACCTCGGTCTTTTTTGTACGGCGGTAGCTGTGATGGGCCCCACCCACCACCAGGAACGACGTTCGTTGTCATTGCAGTTGTTGTCGTAGTAAGGCGTAGGGCATCCATCGTCATCATTGTCAAATGCTTGAAAAAGATAGCTCGCGACCACGGTGTTTTGAGGATTCGATCCTGGGTCCGCTGCGTGTGAAGCGGGCACGTTAGCCTAGAGCTGCACCACAGCTTTGAGATTGGATCTCCTTCCCGATAGTTTGTATGTAGTGCATAAACTTGAATAGCTTATGTAGGCTGAAAAAAAGATCTCATCATAACTTTTCTCGGTGGCTGGTGTTCAGTTCACACTGATCATTTTCGAGTAAGAGCCGTGCGTTTGAATTTCAACCTGAAATTATGGATATGCGGCAAGAAGTTGCGTTAGTAGCACACCAGCATTTGGAGCCCGTAGCACGTTCTATCATTTTGCTTTCACTGCTGTGCTTCTTTTTAAAGAAAGAGGTAAAGAGAGGAAACTTGGTTCATAGGTGCCTTCATTGGATGGTGGGAGGAATTGTGAAATTGAACGACATGGTCGAGCGCATTTGTTGTGAAAACATAAAACAGTGTAAGCCTTCCACTAAAAGAGTTTCATGACAAGTGCAGATAATATTTCGTTTTCAGTTTGTGTAAGGGCCACGCCTAAAAAACTGCCCTCACGTTCTGTGAGAATGTTTAGCTCTTAGACTGAATTACGAAAATTAAAAAGTGCAAAAGACAAGGGCAAGAGGGAGACAACACAGGACAAGCGCTTACTCACAACTGACGTTTTAATTCGGAAGATTGCGCTTTTTAATTTTCGTAATGTTTAACCAACTAGGCCAACAAATCATTTTGCTACAGTTCTCTTCGACTAAACCTTAGAACTTTCAGAACACATGATGTCTTTAAAAGACAAGGGCTTCACTAAGTGTATAACAGTATCGTAAGTCGAGAAATCGTTGTTTGGCACTTCGCCGCTACTGCAAGCTATGTTTTCCTTATTTTTGGAACGATCATAATAATAACAAGTTTTCTTAAAAGTCAACATTCCCGGTGCAACAGCCCTTCAAATCTAAGCTGACCAAACAGATCACGGGTCTTATCTAACGAATGTTCTTTGCCGGCAACAGTGCAATGTTAACTTTGTGGCAGAGTGCCTATCGTATTGATCTATGCAGGATAGGTGCCGCCCTACTAGAGTAGGGAGCAAACTAAATCCTCTACCGAATAAATCGACACACAAACGTCGATCTTGGCAGTCGGCCAGGTACGGAGAAGCACGGGATGTGATAAAAACGCTGCAACCGCCGCCCGTCTGGTAAAATTAGCCGTGCGCCTCCATCGCAACATTGCTCCTTCTTCGTCTGGTTCTTTTCATTTCCCATACACGTCGCAGACCGCTCGGAGGCGCCGCCTTAAAACTATGCTTCCGTACGATAGGCCGCAGTTTGCACGTTTCGCCATTCGAATCGGAGCTAGACACGCTGGCAGCATACTTTCGCGTGTATTCACGGACAGAACGAGAGGTGCAAGGTGCTTCTTTTAGACACTCGGCCTTCAGCGTGCGCCCGTTGCCTTCCGTGATGCTCTGTGCACGCACGCTGGAGGCTCACAAGGTGCCCAAGTGTTATCAAAGGTAGGAAACTCAAGCTGGAGCAGGGACGACTGATGGACCTTCCTGCCATTCATGTCCTTTCAGCGATGAGAGCTTGTGCACGTACTACTTTGTAGCTTGTCAGTTGCACGAAGGCCGGGGTCGAGTGAAAGTGTCTTTTATTTAAAGTGTGCGCGTACTCTTATACATTTTTAGCAACCTCTCGTGTCAAGGAATCGAGTTCGCCACCACGCACCACAGTGGACACTATGAGTCGCGTCAGTCGACCCGGCGCTCTATGCGCCACGTGTCTTTGTGCTCTGCACGTCGCTTTGCCTAACCGGAAGGTTATGTGACATTTTTTGAGCTGTGAATTGGTTCCGGCGGCTCGTAGCGTCTGTTGCAGTACATCGGAAGTTGAAATGGAGCATATGTGCCATTTCTACGGCCTGTTTTGCATAATAAATGCGAAGTATTTGTACGGCCAGCTCTTGGAGATTTCGTGTCTCCGGACGGGTCACGTGACACTGTGGCATCTTGCCAAAAGCTCTCTAACTTCACTGTTTTTATATGTCTCTGACGTCACACGGCCTTGTGACTCCATGGTGGCCTGTGGTATGATCTGACATCATGCCACGTGGTCATGTGACGTCGCAGCTTCTCTTGACCGTCTCTCGCGTCCCCGTTCCCGCCTCTCCTTAGGACCTGACCAAGGAGATAGAGTCCAAGACGGAGGTTCTGGAGCAGCTGGAAAAGGAGACCCAGGAGCTCCAGGGCCAGAACCCCGACCTGGCGCGGCTGGCGGCCGACCTGCGCTCGCAGCTCTACGACCTCGGAGCAGAGGGCAAGGGCAAGGAGCAGGAGCTGGCGGAGCGGCAGACCCGCCTCAGGCTGCTCCGGGAGCGCAGCGTGCAGGAGCGCCAGGAGCTCGAGACGGTCGAGGCGGGGCTCGACCAGGGGGTCCCTCACCCGGACTCGCTGGACGAGCTCGCCGCCAAGCGGGAGGAGTTGCTGGTCAGTGCCCTCGGCAACACTTCCAACGTTGCTGGGAACTTGCGGTTGCCAAGCACCCAAATTTCTGATCGTTCCTAAGCTGTAAGGAAGTGTTTTTTCAGTTTAGACACGATTTAGGCAAAATCTTTTGGTCTGGATTAGGAGGACACTGCTCCAAACGGCGAGCTTTTTACCCGCTAGTCTCACTTGTATGATATTTCAAGAGCATATTTGTAGCTAGCTATGAAAGAGGTTGTGCTCTGACCTGTGGCGCCATCTGCCAAGCAGACGGTAGACAATGAGAACTATGCTACTCCACGGACGCCGGGGAGATTGCCACTCTTCAGCCGCTCGCACCGACTTCAGATGCTAGCCATGCGTGTTGTTATCTACCTGTTACCAACTTCTAACCGATCGTATACATACATTATTAATCAGTTATTGTTAAGTAAAGTATTAGTTATCCTATAAACAAAAATAAAAACCATCTGCTAAATTTATTGGGAAGTTTGGAGGTTAGTTTGTGGTGCAGACTATGTCATCAAAAATACTGCATCCTGAAATCAGGTGTACTCAACTCTGCAAGTTGCTGTTGATGTGCAACTGTCCTCTCACTGGGATTGACTCTTCAATGACCACTTTTATTACAATTCACTTTGACTTTAATGAACACGGTAGCCTGTGTTACTGTCGAATGGTACAGGCGTCGTATCATTAGTACCTATTGTCTTACAAACGCGATCAAGAAACATAACTCGGATCCGAAAAGCAATTGCGACGGCACCTGATTGAATCCTTCTTTTAACTCACCGTTGCATCAATTTGCTTACGCAGAAACTCTACGAGCTTACCAAGAAAAAAGTCGAGACCCTTCGAGAACTGGCCGCCGAAGCCGCATCGGATGAACCGGATGTCCAGAGAACTCTGTCCGAGCTCATGGAACGCTGGAAACAAATCGGCAACCTGCTGCAAGTAAGCCAAACTGTCTATGACGAATACATTAGAATCACAGTGCCCAGAATGTGCCTCCAACCGGCATGTTTTGCATCCTATACTGCCCATGCATTGAATGTGATTCCAAAGTAGCAACAAATGTCACAATAGCAGGCGAGTCGTATGCCGTCAGTTGGTCATAGGTGTTTAGGCAAAACGCATGAGCGAAGGCAAGTGTTGGCGGCGTCGCGGCTCCCCATTCCTTTTTTGCTGCAGCTTCTTCGCCGATGCGCGACCTGCAGCAGGTGTCTGCCACATTCACCCCCCCCCCCCCCCCTCCTCCGCTTTTAGGACGTCATTGGGCAGAAGTCGAGGTACCAGATTCGAGGGCTCAGTGACCACGCCAGTCGGCAACACTTTCCAAGCACTTTAGTCAGAATGCGCTCCTGGATTTACGGGCTCACCGGCCCACAATCTTTGTTTTATGCCGACGGTCCGATGCCTTCTCTTCAGGCTTGGCGGGATTCCCTGGGCACGACGGCCGAGCAGTGGAAGGTCATTGTGACGCACGTCGAGGAACTCGTGACCTGGGTGACCGAACGAGAACGGCAGCTGGAGGAACCGGTCAAAGGTGCCACTCCGTCCGAGCTGGAGAAGCAACGCGAGGGACTCAAGGTACGCCGGACAGGCAATGCAAGGCCGTAGACGGTTGGATGCCGGAGTGTTTGACGGCGGCGCTGACCCTTGTCTTTCGTAATCCACAGGGTCTGTCGGCAGAGGTGGCCCAGAAGCAGCAGACGTTGAGCGAACTGCAGGCCAGCATCGAGCGCCTCGGCACGGGGCTTTCCCACTCTGCGCTGGCTGCCCTTCACGCCCAGGTGAGAATGCACTCCAGAACAGAGATACTCGCACCTTCTCATTCGGAATATGGGTGCAACTTCGCTCCCATTGCTGATTTATCCCGATTCGTATCAAACATCCACGTTAAATGCATTCTCAACTTGAGCATGAACACTTAATGTTTTGTAGCCCCACACAGTTGGTGTGACCGGGGTATTTGGAAACGAGATACTGTATTGTTATTGGTCTTTTCGTCATATTAGTAAGTCCTCGTTGTATGTACTGTGTGGCATCATATTTACTAAATGGCACCATCTAGTAGATGCCATGCAGTTAGGATTTACACCACACTTACTAGGATGTCTGTGGCATGCCACGCCCATCCAGTGAATATGTTGTCGATGGCACTGTCGTAGGGAAAGCCAGAAAGACCACTGTTTGTTGAGAGCTTTGTCTCTTCTGGTGACTTACACTAAAGTCGCCGACCGATTTCATGGGCCCTCCACCATCACAAAAAAATTCAAATAGGTATGTACCAACGGCACCTTCTGCAGCTGCACCGGGCACACAACATCGTACTCGATTTACAAGTGCAGCCTATGTTAAAACATATGCTGGAAGTACACTACCCTGCACTTTCCTGCACCAAGCAACAATCTGAACCGATCCACCGGAACACTTCCAAGCAGCTATATACACGGGCTAAAGTGCGCCACACGCAGAAACAGAAGAAGAAAACAAAGCTAAGAGAGAAGAGAAGAAAACAACGACAGGTTGCTACCTTTGGGCCCATATACAGTCACCCGTGAACAAGGAGCCGAGCTGGCTTCGAAACGTCGGGCACATTGAAGAAATTGGTTAGAGTCTACGTAGTACTTTTTCTTGCTACACTTTTCTGCACCGCGCAACTGTAGCCACAGTCGGCTCCAGTGCCCAGACGTTGATCGTTGCCTCTTGCAGGTGTCTGAGCTGCGCCAGCGTGCCAATGCGCTGGCAACCATGCTGCGTCAGCTGGTGAGCCAGTTGTCGTCCCAGCTGTCGGAGAGAGAGGAGCTGGTGCGGCGGCTGGAGCTGTGCCAGGCAGTCCTCGACCAGCTGGGCCAAGAGGCACGGGGAGCCAGCGACCTCAACATGGGCCAGCTGGAGGGACAGCTGCGCAGGGTCCAGGTGCGTGCCCCTGAAGGGGGGTTACCTTCTCGGCCACGTGAGAAGAAGGGAGGTGGGGGACCACGCTCCACGGTGTCTTTTTGGTTTTAGTTTAGTGCAAAATACATTCTTATTGAAGGTAACTCGGATTTTGCTAACGTCCGTTGCACTGTGCTACGTATTCTAAGGGCCCAACCACATGGGTGCATTTATCACGTGCTTCATCGGTATCCACCTGTTTTTGCTTCAGCACACGCCCAAGAAAAGAAAGGGCAACCAACCCCGTGGGGACATTCCAGCGGTGACACCGCTCTATGCAGTGCCGCTAGATTCACTAGGTGGGGGGACACCGGCTAGAGGTTGAACTTCTGATCTACTCAAGTGATTGGAATGAAATTTGCAGGGGAGGTTTAACTTCAGATGTAGGTGTACTGTGCAAACATCCAGCTCTCTGGAACAACTTTACATACGTGCATAAGAAGATATGTCACTCCTCGTTAAGAAATCTAGAATATGCAAATGAAGCTATTAAGCATAATTTTAACTGCTTGAATATAAAGTGGGGGATGTGGGACTTCGGGCTATCTAGTTTTTATAACTCAAATATAAATATTTCAGGAAGAGTGATTACCTCAAAGTAAGGGATGCATATCTGTCCTATGTCAGTTTTTGAAAACATAGTTTTTTCTCAATGAGGATTTTAACTTAAAATAAAGTAGATAGCTCGATTCCCCAGTAAATTTTAGTTCAGAAACAACTTGATTGTGGTATCAGAATACTTTTACTTTCGAACAAAAGTCTTCTTCGTATGAAATTTGCAGCAAAATGTGGAACTGAGAAAAATGCATTCAAACATTGAACTCCTTTACTTTGCTACTGCCTGACAGTGTTGAAAATGCCTGCCTGATGTGTTGAAAATGTGTCATATCAACGTAATTATTTGGCTCATAGTTATGAAATTTAGTGTAAGGGTGTATATTTAGTTTCTGATACCAAAAACCTTAAAAATGAAGAATGAATTTTTTCAAAACATTTTGAAACTTAGGCCCATGTCCCCCCTTAAAGCACGTACGACTCTGATTGGTTTCTGCCCGGCAAGCTACCTCCAACATCGCCGTTGAGATCTGCCCAAAACAGAAGTCTGCGTGACATACACGTCACATTGTTGCAGTTGACCTCAAGTGCCCCACATTGAGTGACACTGTCGCGGATGAGGCACATGAAAAACGTACCATAAATCTGTGCGAAACTTTCTTATAATTTTTTCTTTTGATTTAGTAGTATCAAGACTACTGAATCTTTGTCCTAAACTTTGATTGGAATCAATAATTTCGGGACTAATAATGGATGCAGGTTCTTCGAACACACTACAATTCTCGCAACGGGTGCTTCTTGCACTTTTGCAGACGACCAAAGAAGAGCTGGTGATCAAGCAGACGGAGGTGGAGACCCTGGGTCGCACGCTGACCGAGCTGTCGGACAACCTGACCAGCGAGCCCCTGGAGCAGCTGTCGCAGAGCCTGGAGAAGCTGAAGGAGACCCTGCAGGACCTGCTGAAGCTCCTGGAGAAGCGGGAGGAGCTCCTTCGTCGGGCCATCGAGTTCCAGTCCTGGCAGAAGGACTTCCTGGAGCAGGTGACTGCCCAGTTGCCACTCGAAAGGGGGCTGCCTGGGCTGTCTGATCGTACATCTTTAAGATACCATGCCAAAGAAAAGGAACTGCCTGTTTCTTTATGGTATCCCAAAGTGGCTTTAAATGCCTAGCAACTATAGGCCTTTTGTGATTGTATGACGTCGCCTGGAGTGACGACAGGTCACGTTTTGTGACACTATGACGTTGCAGTGTCGTGAGACGTCACTAGACCATCAGGAAAGCAAGTGGTCACTCAACTTTTTGCCTCATGACTACATATGTCACAAGACCATGGGACGTCAGGTTAATGTGACTGATTGTTAAAATTTTCTTGCTTATTTTATAACAATGCAAAAGTAAGGGTTGAACCATTGTCAAGTAACTACATTGTAGAGGGTTTGTTTGATCAAGTCGAAAGTATGTAACCTTGCCGAGTTTGATTTAATGACTGTTTACTCTACTGTATCGTGAAATAACTATATTAGACCTCGCAGTTTTTGGACAATTCTACAGTGAGGCAACTTGACGAATGCAGGTGAGGCTGCTGCAACAGCACGCGGAGTCGCAGCGTGCCAGGCCGGACAGCCTGGACGGGGCCTCGACGGATGCCAGGAGCCTGGCCTCCCAGCTGAAGCAGAAGCTGCCCGAAGCCGCCAGCACGGACGAGCTGGCCGTGGAGGTGGAAATCACCTTCAGGGACAGCAGCACCAACGAAGTGACCAGCCTGAAGGGTCAGGCGGACAAGCTGCGGGACCATCTGGACAAGGTGGGGCGGATTTGCGTTGCCCGGCCACGCTACGCAGCTTGTGTGAACGGACGTTCTGAGTCGTGGGTTCTCAGACCGGGTTCCTAGGGACTCTGGTGGTTTTTTTTCTTTGAGGTTCTCCAAGATCCAAATTTTCTCAACCGTCCCTCGAACCTTTAACGTCAATCAACGGTTCCCACTCTTTGTAATAGGAGGCCTTTATCTTTGCAATTAATGAAAAGGTTCAAGCGAACTTGATAAGAATGACAATAATAATCCCTAGAGAAGGGGACAAAGGACAAAGGTTTGGAGAATTGTGTTTGTCCTTTGTCCTCTTTGTTCCCTTTCTCCAGGGATTATTATTGTCAGCCTTTATCTTAGAACTTTGAAAGACATTTTTAGGTGTAATTGAAATGATCTCGTGCACTCAAATTCTTTCGTGTTCTTACCAAGTAAACTTCAAACATTAGACGCTATTTTCTGGTGAGATTTCTTATAAAAGAGGTGGCATAGGGGGATGTTGAAATATGGGAAAAAGTTCAGTGCCCATACATACAGAATATTTTTTTTTTCTGGTATAAAAGTGCATTGATAAAGAGTTGCATACTGTCATAGTATTTCTTAATTCGTAATAACTCTCTCTATTTTTGTTTCTGGCAGCTGGAACAGGTGCTTGAGCAGAAGCAGCAGGAAGCGAGCAACCTAGAAGACCAGTGGGACCAGTTCAACACGAAGCTGGAGTCCTGCAAGCAGTTCATCGAGAGTTGCTCGGAGAAGCTCAAGCGCCTGAGGCCACAGACGGGCAGCCCGGAGGCCGTGGCAGCCGTCGTCAAGGAGCTCGAGGTCGGTCGAACGTTTGCACCGCTTTCCTTTTTGCGCGTCAACTCTTTTCGTTCGGGTCCTCTTTCACACATCACCGCGGTTAAATTTTAGATTTCTAGAAATACGAGGTGGGACCCGAAAAAAAATTTTGCGGTGTTCCTTTCACCGCGAAAATAAACTGCGCATTGCTGAACGCTCAGTCTCCCCCCAAATGTAGCTTGAGTGGTCCCGACCAGATGCCAAAGTTTTAGAATTTACCGTTGTCTTATTCAAAAGTTACGAGCAATCTTTTAGAATATTTGATAAGAAAATGGGGGCCGACAGAGTGCACGAATGCGTGGAACTGAATGGCATCAGACGCCCAGAACATGCCCCATTTTTTCATTGAAATTTTCAGTAGATCATTTATAAGTTTTTAATAGGATAATGGTTAGTTCCGAAATTTCGGCATCTGCTCTGGAGTGCTAGCACTACAATGCATCTGGGCAGGGTTGGTGTATTTGGCGAGGCACAGTTTATTTCTGCAGCAAAAAAAAAAAAAAAAAAATGGTGTGCATTTGTTTTTGAGTTTTTCTCGAGGACATCCTGTACATTGTTTCAGTACTCCAGTGCTATGCGCAATTGTTTGTTAGCGTGTGTCTTATTTATGTTTACGTAGAAACATTCACATTACAAACTGTCGGGTATCGTCCACTCGTCGCTGAGCCTCGATTCTTCTCACGTGCCCCCCTCTGTCCCGGCCCTGTCCCGGACGAAATAAGTTTCGACACTCCGTAGACATCTACGATCTCTTTATTCGTAGGAGTTGCAGCAGACGCTGACCAGGGAGCAGGGAGCCCAGGAAGCGACGCAGCAGCTGGGGCGCTCGCTGATCGAGGCGGACGCGTCGTGCTTCCCCCGCGTCCAGGGCCCTCTCGGATCCTTGGCCTCCGACTGGGAGTCCCTCTCCTCGGAGACCACCCGCACCCACCGTCTGCTCACCTGCACCCACACGCTGTGGCTCGACTGCCGCCGACTCGAGGTACTACACAGGGCGACAGTTCTTCATAGAAACATCCGCAGATGTATGAGCCTTTGAGCGGCTCAAACGCTCCTATTGGGTGGATCCAAATCCTGGCTAGGGCAACGTCATGCTGAACGGTGGTTCTCGACCACCGATCATTCATGCACCCCTTCTGGATTGGCATAACTGATGGGGGACCCCATCTGCCGGGGTGGAGGTGCGGTGGGTATTGGATGATTAGAGTGACAAAAGGGTCACTGTGGGTATACAGTGACAAAAGGGCATGCAAACCAACTTTGATGCTCTCAAACGGAGAATAATCAATTCTACTCACTCGGCGCACATGGTTTGGTCTGTTTAGCTTCAAAAGACAGCCAGCGTCACTAAAAGAAAAGAAAAGTTTTATTGCTTGGCTTGACTGGCCTTCAGGGACGCCAATGGTTCTGCGGATTCCCATTTGAGAACCGCTGACCTAGAATCGTCGGAGCTCGCGTAGACTGGCATTCCGACCTCATCACATTGAGATCGAACATGCGGGACAGAGACTGGACGGGAGTGCTCCTTCAGCGTTTGGTTGGGCCTGGGGCCGGGCCCCGGGTTTGGGCCCAAATGCCGAGTTGGTGACATCGGAGTGTGACGATGTTGTGTTGAGGTAGAGCAGACTGTTCACAAGCTTTGATTATCCTGGGTGGTGTTTGATGTGGTGCACATGACCTGTCTGCAGTCTGTAGTGGTGTAATCTCCACGCATCTGCGACTTTGGTTACTCAGTGCCCAATGATTGTTAGAGGGTCTAAAATAGAGCCACTCGAGCTTCTCAACGTACCGTATTCAGGATCGTCCAACTGAAGTTAAACTCGAGCCACTGCGCTTTGTTGTGGGCAGATGTTGGCTATCTGGAAGCCGGGTCAGAAAGAAGCACACTAAAGCCTTTATGTTAAAGGTTTGAACAGCTCATGAGTTGTGATTGGTCGGAAAGTCATAAACATGTTGGTTTCTGCCCAAGGTATCTTTATATTATATAGCTCGTAATCTACTCGTCTGCAAAAGTATGCGGCCCACTGGCGAGTAGGCTGCACCTGCTTTGCCCGCCCCTATTGAATTCGATTGCGGAGGGACACCATTTTGGAACTGTTGACTGCAGTGCTGAAACTCATTCTGAAAGTTAGCTTAGAAGTTTCCGAACTGTAAGAACATTCCGTGGCTCTTGTCCTGTTTTTTCTTTGGACGTCCCAGTAACCCATTTTTTTTATGCATTTCTAAGGAATTGCTCTAGGAATGTCTATCTCAGCAGCTCAACTAGCTATTAGGACAGATTTTTGTAAAGACCTTCCGGTGCTACGGCTTGTGTAGCTATATCTAATTGCCGTTTAATGTGACTTTTATCACCGATGCAGAGTGAGATTGACAAGGTTCTGGACGGGGTCGAGGCTGCACTCCGGGATGCAACAACTCCTCAGGACGGAGACTCCCTCACGGCCATGGCTCAGAAGCTTGGGGTGAGAATGCCCAAATGGGTCTCGCATATTTTTTTCAGAAATCGAAACACCTCGAAAGAAATACCGAAATAACTGCTCTAAGCAATAATTATAGTACTTCCCTTGGGCTATGGTTAACAGTGCAGCCTTGGCAGTGCATTGTTGAGCACCCTGAAATACAAACACGACATATTCTAATAGGTTATTTGTGCAAACAATTTACTCTTAAATTTTTATTTCAGTAGTTTGAAGCTAGAGTGATTGACATACCTTTTGGGGTCATGTGAGTTTTCCCCTTGTAGGCCCTTCTAGTCAGAATTAGCTTAAGCGGAAAAATATTAAATCGATAAGTGACCTGAATTTCAACTGTTTAATATACTATGATCAATATGTTCAGCTGGAAATAACTCTGCATTGTCCTGAACGTTTTCATGTGAATTAGTGAACTATGCTAGCGGTATTTGTGCAGTGTACGATACTTTTCAAAGCAAATGCCGAGGTTCAAGAAAACAGTGTCATGTCTTTGCCCTCTGACTTCCATGTCACTGCAGACTGCACAACCTGCATAGTACACAGTCCTTAAAACACGGACGGAGTAAAGGCTGCCATCTCGAACACCTTTAAAGCATATGCGAAGTGCCCGCTTATGCGTATTAAGAAAAAAAATGTGTCGCACCTTTTACATCACTTGTTGGAGCGACAAAAAACTAAATATGTATAGTTTACATACCCGATAAGAGATGGCACAAGTTTTGAGGCGCCCTACGCTTGGCCGCAAAGCAGAAATAGGCCTGTTGGGGGGCCCTCACACTTGCCCAGAACGGGAATATTTATTTTTCGGGAGACACCTGACAGATAACCCCAAAGGGTTAAGGGGGGACACTACCCAGAAAAAAAATTTTCGGCAAAAAATGTAGATTTTAAAAAAATGTCATATTTACCTCCACCAGTACCTAGAGAGTATTCTCAGAAAGTTTCATTAGTTTACACTGCATAGTTAATTTTTTATAAATTATTTTCGGTCCTCCGATGCTAAAGAAAAGGCAGGGGCTGGAACACTTCGAACTCATTTTTCTCCGTTCCGCTTTTTGGGATAAATTTCATTTTAGGAAAACCTGTTTTGTTATTACATAACTTGGATTCATTTTTATGAGTTCTTCTAGAGTGAAATTTAAAGGGGAAGATAGCTGTGAGCTTGTATTTTTTTATTTTTGTCATTTTTCATGCTCAGGAATGAAAACTTTGGACAAAGAATGGAAATCTAAGATACAGTTTCTGAGTTTATGTGGCTTTTTGTCATGAAAAGGTATAATGTAGAAATATAGCTCCATAGCTATCTGCTCTGGTCTGTCCTAAAGCAATATAACACATGAAAACGAGAAATTTATAAGTATTTTCGAAACGATAGTTTTCCTACGCAGACACGCCCACTTTCATCTTTAAACATTTGCAATTTTTTTTTGTACTTCACCCAGGTTAACAAAATTTGGCAGAAATGTTCTCAAAATCAACAGAAACAAGCCCTGTAAATGTCATTTAAGTCAGACAAGTGGTTAAAAAATTTACTTTTTTGGGTAGTGTCCCCCCTTAAGGGAGACTGTGTTTTTGTTTTTTCAATTGGCATTCTAATTTGGATCCTAGATGAATGGGTGAATGCACACATTATAAATTTTTCGTGATTTTATTGACCGAATTCCCCTCTTGAACTACACAATGTGTCAAGCTGCAGCTCTTTATTTAATTTTTATCGCTACTTGTGCTTTCTAGGTAGAGCTATTGTAGAAGAGTCTTCTGGGATTCCAAATATAAATGGCAAAGTAATGAATATCATTGATATCATTGCAGCTATCAACTGGTCTTAGGAAACCAACAAGAACCATCAAAATACTATCCGATACTGACCACACCCCAAGTGAAGACAAGCCTAAGGTCATTGGGCTTCGGTGCTTTCCAATAGAGACAGAAGTTCTTAGCTGGCGTGGTCATCTCTGCGCAACCAATCTGTAACCACTCCGCGTCTTTGTCCCGCCAGGTTCACCAGGAAGAGGTCCGTTCCCACCAACCCGTCCTGGACTCTTACCGGCGCAAGACGCAGGAGCTGGTGGAGAAGACGGAAGCGCTCGAGGGACTCTCCGTCGCTGGTGCCCAGCTGAAAAAGGACCTGGAGTCCCGAGAGAAGCGCTGGACCGAGACCACTGAGAAGCTGCAAACCCGTGTCCACCAGCTGGATAATGACCTGGCGCTCTGGCGACAGGTGGAGACGGCGCGGGAGGAGGTCGAGGCCTGGCTGGAGGACATCTGCGAGGCCATGCGTAACGCGCTGCAGCATTTGTCGCAGGGCGACCAAGCTCGCGCCGTCCTCGATCGGTACCAGGTATGTACGCCATCTAGGCGTCGTGTTCGTCGATTTGACTCGAAACCAAATGCTTTTAAGTTTTAATGCATTCCTTAGGCATGCTCGCATTTAAATTTTGTGATTTTTTTTAAAGTCAGTTTTGTAATTTTTGAGAATGGGTCACGTTGAACAACCTAGAGTAAAAACCAGTGTCGCTATACCCCAAAGGCAGACCGGCCTTACGCTGTCTAGACATGAACGTCTACCTAATTGGTATTGGTTGGTTACAACTCTAGATGAGACTTTGTAGCCACCTTCTTGCATGCGTATTGACTTCTTGATAACACTTTTAAAGCAAATTCATGCTCTTAATTTGTTACTCTTTACTCAGAGGTTAGGAAAGCAATTAATGTGGTCCCTTCGAAGTGCCAACGATCCCTTTCGCCCACGTGGTACTAGTTCCTTTTCGTTCTCCGCCAAACTGATGATTGCTGGTTCCGATCTCCCAGTTTCTCGGGTTGTAGTCGACCTTGAAGACCATTATCGGTAATGGCAACCAGCATCATTTCTTCCTTTACTCTTCTTTCGACGCAGACGGAGGTGGAGACACAGCAGAACCTCTTCCGTCAGTTTGTGGAGCAGCTGGAGACGCTGGGCATGTCGGCCACCCTGGAGGCGGTGCAGAGCGAGACGCAGTCCCGCTTCGAGGAGGCCGGGGACCTGGTGGAGCAGCTGCGCACCCTGCTGGGCCACGTGGAACAGCAGGAGGAGGACGTGCGCTCAGAGATGCAGCGCTTCTCTGACTGGCTGCGGCAGCAGAAGGACGCTCTCTCCCGCTGCGACAACACCGCCGGCTCGGACGACATCCTGCTGCAGCGACTCGACGACTGCAGGGCAAGTGCTCCTCTTAAAATCCAGTAGATCTTCCGGGAAAATTTTGTTCTGTCGTACGAAACGAGTGCACATGCACTGGAGAGCGATAGGGATAGTATTTGTTGCATTTGGGTCACAGCGCCGCTCAATGTGCGAGTGAGCAGGGAAAGGCATTGTGCCCATGCATGACAAGTGCCCCTGGCACCAACTGGGTGACTCCTAGGTAAGTTATGGAAATGAAAACTCGCAAATACGAGAGTGGCGAGTGGATAAATTGAGAGGAAAGAACGAAATTTCGAACATCATCGGAGTATTGAACCCGCGAATCCAAGATTGCGTGCCCAACGCTCGACCACGGGGCCGAAGGTGAGACGCGAAATAATGGTCGTTAAATGCAGTCATTATGCCATCGAATCAGAATTTTTTCAAACAATGGCCGGTATAGGAATTTACCAGGTACACTCACGGCGTTGGCGTCGTGCCAGGACTTTGCTTCACGTGCACTCGCGCATGCACTGCACCACGACGCTAGGCAAAGCACGCACATTTGACTCTTGCTGGACGGCCTTGTCTTTAATGGTCGGTGAGGGAGGCCACTAGATACTCCTCGTCACGGAACACAATTTGCATGTACTATGAGATGGAAAGCAACCCGCCATTTGTAACGGCTCCTGGCTCAATTTAAGCCCGGCTCACACGTACATTGCAGCGCCAAATCAACGCTAGGAACAGTGCTAATATAGTGCCGACTTGGACGAAACTTGGCACCGATGCAGCACTGTATCGCTTATAGACCATGTGAAGTTAGCGCTTTTCGTCGAGTTCAGCACCTTTTCCAGCACTGACTAATAGCACTGAGGTTGTGCTGGTGTGTGCGTGTGAACTGGCGTTACGCCCTTGACAGGGATGTTGACTCACATGTGCATCGTGTTCCCATGTACTTCAGTGACCACAAGGCTGTGTCGTGTGTGAGACACTAAATAAAGAGTGTATGTATGCGTAAAAGTGCTTTATTGCACAAAATAACAGCTGTCGCTGTCACTTCTTTGCATGGACTTTAAAAGTTATGGCATCAAATCGCCTGTCTGTCTGTTTATTTACCTTGGAATGTTGGCCAGTGCCCGCTGGAGGCAAAGCTTCCCCTTGGGCTCAAAAGGTGGGCACTGGTCGAGGAATTTGGTGGGGTCTCGAACTGCTGTGATCGGCCAGCGCAACGCTTGACCTGGGTGTTGGCCAGTCAAAGTGTAGTGCTGTCCCATCACGGTGGTCGACGATCTTGCCTACTCTCTTGCCGAGTGTCCAATTTGGAGCCCTGCATATCTTCGTTGCAACAGACCCCAACCCTCCTTGGTTCAAAGAAAGATTATTATTATTATTAATATTGTTAACAACGTGTATGGAACTAAAACAATGTCTGGCAGCATTCAAACTACAATGCATTTCATCCTGGATGATTCGTGAAAATGTGCAGAAACTGGAGGAAGCCCTGAACTCTAACGTGGGCCTGATGGTGGTCGAGGACAAGCTCAGTCAGCTGACCAAGAGCCAGCCGGACCTGGAGGTACGCCATCTGCAGAGGGAGCTCGAGAAACTCAAGACAAGGTGGGCCCACTCTCCCTCATCACGAGTTACAACAGCTTCGGAAATTGTGGACATTTAGGTCTCGGAGAAAAGATTGATACGGAAGATGCGTCCACTCAAACTACTTTACACGCAGAGCATTATAGGGCTGGTTTCTATGAGATGAGCATAATGTCATAAAAGAGCGTCGCAAAGAAAACATCACATGGTTCCTAAGTTAGTGGTTTTACATCCCGCTAGATTTCGCTACATTTAGTAAGCCCCGCTAAATAATAATTATTTTGTAAGAATGATAGTACGATTAATTGTAAGGATAGAAATTTATCATAATGTAGAAAACCCGAGACTGTGGTAAAAGCAAGGAAACGGAGTCGAAGAAGAAAGGAAATAAACGCAGTAGCTGAGTTTGAGACATTCTTTTCCCCTATCTTTCTTCTTCGACTCCGTTTCCTTGCTTTTACCACAGTCTCGGGTTTTCTACATTATGATCAACATGCACCAGCTCACCTGCGCACTCACAGTTTTTTCATAGGAATTTATGCTTCCTTCTGCTGCATGTTCTGTGTCACCTGACTTTATGCATTGAGTGAAGATACAATTGATTTTTCTGCATGCACTAGTGTGCAAATCTTTTTTAAGCGATCAATTCAGGTTCATTTGGGACTGATATTTTTTGAGACACAATAAAGTACTTTGTGGACAACCCTGTTATGCTTCAATATCCCATGGTTGTTGGGAAAGAGGGCAACTAAACTCTGGCTTTGGTGTATTATAGAAACGATTTGTGGTGTGGTTTCATATGTATGTTGCACGGAAAACAAGCAACAATCTAAACTTTTGGATCAAAACTTTTTTGACAACCGGCCATTAAGTGCAGACATCTTTGTGTTGAAGCGGGGGATCTCTTCCAGGCTGGAAGCAACCAAGAGCCAAGCTGCGAGAGCTGCAGCAGCCCTGCTTTCAGTGCTGGAGCGCCACCATCAGGGGGCACTGACGGAACTGCAGCACTGGCTGTCCACAGCCAACGACAAGCTGGCCTGGTGCAGCGGGGGCACCGACGGTTCTGCCAACGGCGACCGCTTTGGTCTGGAGGCGCGCCTGGTCACCCTGCAAGTATGTTGTGCCTATTCTGTTGTTTTTACAGTGTAGGAGCACTGTAGCTTGCAAAGTGTCGGAGCAATGTAGTTTTCACAGTTTCAGAGCAATGTAGATTTTGCAGAGCTGAGACAACATAGTTTCTGCAGTGTCAGAGCACTGTAGTTTTCACAGTGTTGGAGCACTACTTTCCACAGTGTCAGCGCTGTAGTTTCCAGAGTGTCAGAGCACTGTAGTTTCCACATCATTGGAGTGTTGTAGTTTCCACAGTGTCGGTGCACTGTAGTTTTTCAGTTTTGGATCGCTCTAGTTTTCACAGTGTCGAGCCCTGTCGTTTCCGCAATGACAGCTAGAGCACTGTAGTTTCCACAGTGTTAGAGCACTGTAGTTATATCTCAGTCTCAGTGCACTGTAGTTTCCAGAATGTTGGTGGACTGTAGTTTCCGCAGTGTCGAAGTGCTGTTGTTTCCAGTGTTGGGGTACTGTGGTTTCCACAGTGCTGGGGGGGAATGTGGTTTCTGCAATGTTCAGTGCTGTAGTGTCTGTACAGTTGGTGTGCTGTAGTTTCTGCAGTGTTTTTGCACTGTCGTTTCCACAGTGTCAAAGTAGTATTGTAGTTTCCATGGTGCTCCCACACTGGCATCTTCTTTGCACAAACTCTTGTGCAAAGAAAATACAGGTTCAAAGAACATTGCATAGTCAGTTCCAACACGCAAAGCTTGATACAGTATAGACCACTTACAACGTAACCGCTTATAGTGCAGGACCGGGTATAACGCGTTTTTTTTAAACCACCGGTTCACCTCCCATAGAACTCCATGTAATTACATACCGCTTAAAATGCAGGCGCGCGAATGGAAATACCGGTTATAGTGCGGTTTTTGGCACAGCCCGCCGACCGCGCCGACGACCGGAGCAGCGAGCTCGCTTCCCTGTGCGACACTAGATAACGGCGCTGACGGCGCGAGCCGCAAACTGCACTCGCGGGGCAAGGAGGTTGCTCAAAAACGTGGGGAGAAGCGAAGAGAGAGGCTTCAGTTGCCATAGCAACGGAGGGACGCACGCACGAGTCGTTCACGTGCGTGCATCCCTCCGCTGCGTTGGAAACAAAGAAACAAACAACCGCAACGACAGACCAATCGCAGGTCGAGGAGAAGTGTTCGCGCGCGTTGCATGCCGGTCGCGGGCCGGCGGGCCGGCTGCTTCTATTCCGCAAACATGGCGTCGGTTGTGATCGTCGTCGTAGACGGCGTGCATCTCATCGTTCTGCGTAAAAGCGCTATCCTTGACTGTGAATTTTCGTTGTGTGTCGCTATGATAACCCAGCACGTACTAGAAGGGAAGATCCACCTACTCGTGCGGCGATGTCGTGGCAGCGCTCTCAAGACGGCAGAAACGCCCGTGTTGTCGTGTTTGTTTACTTTGACTACAGTGGTGATTTCTAAGCATTTGTGTCCTCGAACATCGCCCGGATTTCTTATTTGGCGCATTTCATGCGTGTGCTCAAGTTCAAGGTATTACTGGCGCGTACCGTATGAAGGATGCGAATTTTCACGCGTTTTCATCTTCGGAGAAAAGTGATTAGGGTTAGCAATCCTGAACGCTCGCAACGTCCGTCCGCAACCCGCGACGCCGTTAAAAGGCTGCGCCAGGCAAAAGCCGCTAATTTCTTTTAAAATGTGTGACACACTTGAGACATAACTGTGCTAGTCTATTGAAATAAAGACTTTCCTCAAACTAAGCTTATTTTTTCATCTAACATAAAATAAATTCTTTTACAAAGGTAAGTTGTCTCATGGCATGTATTTTGGCCTGAAAAATTGATGTTTTGGTTATAGTGCGGTACTGCTTATAGTGCGGATTTCCGCGACTCCCGAGACATACGTTATATGCGGTCTACACTGTATTCCCCACTTTTATTGCACGACAAAGAGGCTCCCATTGTGCAATGGGACCTTTAAAGTTCACTGTTGGAGGCTAACCCGTACAAGTCAGCTTTGACAAGATGGTAGCACCACTCTTTCTTCTAACAATGTCACTCACTGCACCGAGAGTATCTTCCACAAAGTCTTGTTGCATTTGCAGGAGCTGGAGTCCACGCTGGAACAGGGAGAGAAGCGCAACGACCAGTACCGCAACGCGGCATCCCTGTTGAGTCAGGCGTGTCCTCCAGAGCGCGTGGCTCCGCTCCAGGACGAGTGCAGCCGCATGGCGTCGGAGTGGTGCGCGTTCACGTCTGCCCTGGCCCAGACCCGTGAGTCACTTCAACGCGGCCTGGGTCAATGGCAGCACCTGGAAGGGCTCTTGGAGAGCCTCTCCGATTGGCTGAGGGACGCGGAGTCGCGCGCCAAGAGCGAGGCCGCCCGACAAGTGGATCTTCCACTGGTCTCAGAACAACTGGCTAACCTCAAGGTAGGTGGCGTGTTGCAATTTCTGGGATAGAAAAAATTTTTTGAAAGGTGAACAACCTGCCTTTGTTGATGGCTCGTACCAGCTGCTTTCATTGGTGCTTTTCCTAGAGCTAGCTCTTGTCGAACATCTGAAACCGGTAATTTCTCTTGAGTGAGCTCCGCAGGACCTAGAAAGGTTGCTGCTCTCTAAGTGTAAACTCTAGCAAAAAGTTTTCTCAGGGTGATCTTTACAGAGAGCTGTTATTCTGGGGTCATCACATTCATTCATGTGGGCTTTAATTGCAATCTGGATCTTGTAGGTTTTGGCCTTCATCATAAGAAAGGATTGACTATGCAGAATGTTCGGTCATCCTAAGAAAATGTGCCAGCTTACGAACCCTCGTTTGAAAGGTCGTAATTTCGACTAATTCCTGGGGTACTGGTGGCGTATGACTCGGGAGATCTGGTGCCTACTAAAGATCCTTTGGCGTTTTAGACACTCCTAATGAACTCTCTGTTTTTTGTTGCAGCATCTGTCATGTTTATGGTTGCTTTGAAGAACCTACCTCACAATATTTAGCCCACCCAGTACATCATTCAGGTGCCCCTTCTAAATCGGCAAAAGTGATAAGGTACCCCATCCACCGGGATGGGAAGGGGTTACTTGATGATTACAGTGACAAAATGGTAAATAAGGAAAACTAACTGAGTTCAGGCCAACCTTGTAGCTTTGAAACAAAGAGCAACCGTCCTCATTCGACGCACATGGTTTGATCTGTTTTGCTTTGTGAAACAGCCGGCATCGATGAAAAATACATTTCATTGCTCAGTTTGACCGACGGTCAAGAGCTTTGTGGATTTTTAAAAGGCCTTCGGGGACCTCAAAGGGTCCCTGGACCCCATTTTGAGAAGCACTGTGATGGGCTATCTGTTCTGTTCATCAAAACCTTTCTTAGAATATAATAATTTTTTTTTGTTTATAGAACAGACCATACGAAAAAACGGACCAAAGGAAGACACATACGGTAGACAAACGCTCATCTGTTATATGTGTCTCCCTTTCGTTTGTGTTTTTCTTGTGCACTCTGTTTTCTATGACTCAGTACCAACTAGGCCTTTTTTGAGCAGTTCCTGTTGTTCGCAGGCATTGCTGAGGGAGGTGCAGAGCCACAAGGACGGCCTACAGCAACTGCAGACGACGGCGGCGAGCGTTACGGCCCAGGTTCCGGAGACGCAGGTTCCCGGCCAGGTGTCCCAGCTGTCGGCCCGGGTGCTCCATCTGGACTCCGTGCTCCAGGCAAGCAAGGCTCTCCTCGAGTCTCTCTGTTTTGCCCATGCCGCGGCACCAAGCCGGGTCAACCCGGTTCTTTGCTCCGCGAGAGGCCCGAAAGAAGACCGTCAGACGTGTTTGAGAAGAAGTCGTCTTCCATGTCGCAATTGTGAAACGAACGGGACAGGCAGCCGAGCGTGTCGGCGCTGTGCAGCTCGTGGTGTGGGACTATTCTGGGCTCGATCCTTGCTTCTCCCCCGTTTGCGTACTCGCGTGCAGTCACCACATAATCGCAATTGCACTATGGACTTTAACCTCTCGGGGTCGTGTGACCTTTCAGCCTGTTGGCCCGTTGGGCCAATATCATTTTACCCTAAAACAACGCAATCACTCGGTGGTTGGAAATTAAATCTGTCATCAAAGCGTCCGTGAAAAACAAATGAAAATGGGCGATCTTGGACTGTACGAGGAGTTTCGGAATCTTGGCGTGCATCCTTGTAGGATGTCCATCTTTGAGAAACGGCAGTGTCCGTAAGGCTCTTTTCATTATTCTCGTTCTTAGAACTGTCACAACAATTCCCCGAGGATTTATCGCAGAAACTTTCAGGTTTCTCTTCAGGGTAGTCGTCTCCTCTAAGATCACTTTCACCGTCACCTGAATCGCTAAGATATTTTCCGTAAAATGAGAACGGAAAAAAACTGCCACGATAGACAGTGCATGACCGCGCGTGCGAACTTCCGCCTGTTCAGAAAACACAAAGCAGAAAGAAGTCTAGCCATCTAGCGTAAAGCTAGAAAATGAAAGGCCTGGTGCTTATGCTCCCGATGATAGATGGCGCAAGTCCGTCTATCATCCAAATTGTGACCCAAACAGACTGTGCGACCGGCTCTTTCTTTGTCAAGGGTGCATTGGCCCAGCTAGAGCAGCTGCAGAGGACCCAGGAAGCTTTCGAGCGTGCCAAACGGGAGCTGCAAGACTGGCTGGCGAAGATGGAGGCAGCACTCGAGGGATGCAAGGAGACGCCGGGAGAGCGGAAAGCGCTGGAGGACCACCTCAAGCGACTTCAGGTATGCCGCAAACAAGTTTGGACCCACCCGTGAAAAGCTTTATCCTTTGATTTCGAGCCAAAATATTGTAAAGTTGAAGTCGTTTTGACAAACAAAGCAAAATGGCCTCTTTGTATTATGTTTGGTTTATTTAAGTCATCATTAATTTAAAAACTCATTACTGTTGCATGATGTTTAAAATTTGTTTCAAATTGAATAAAATTGGTTGTATTATTGTTTTGGGCTTGCTGTAGAGAAATCTCAAGCTATTATAAAAAGTTACATTATAGCAAAATTATTCACTTCAATGTAGCCAAATGGACGTTTTTTTTGTGTAAGCCTCTCCACATGTCCACAGACTGTCCCTTACCCTTGCTTCCCGCTGTCACCATTTTTTGAACACGCCGTCTTGCTTGACCAACATTGTCAGCCCCTATTTTTGCATGTATTTCGTCCTTTTTAACTATTTATTTTTAGCATCCGAAGTATAGCCTATAAGGCTAAGCAATGAAAACCTATAGAATGGCACAATACCAATCTGTAATGGTGAGTGGAGGCATGCTGGGCTGCCCTCCATTTGTAGTTTGCAGGCAATCCCCCAGCCGACGCTCATTACTCGAAAAAAGTATGTTGTACTGTTACCAAGCTAGCATCATTCAGATTGATCAACCTTTCCGCCTTTTCAATAATCTAATTCATCTTCCTCTTTTTCAAACTGTGAACAACTCTGTGCTTTAAAAGAGACCTACTACTCTCCCCACAGGAGCTCCACAAGCAGAAGCCCCACGGCCAGGCCCTCCTCAACTCGGTGGCGGACAACGGGGAGGCCATGTACCTGTCGCTGAGCGTGGAGAGCAGGGACCAGGTGCGCATGGAGACGAGAGGCCTGCGGGACGCCTGGGACGCCGCCTGGGACAAGCACACCGCCCTCGTCAAGGGGCTCGAGTCCTCCCTCATGGCCTGGAGCGGTTTTCAGGACAGGTACGGGTTTCGAAGCGATAACACTATACAAATGAACAGAAAGTCGGGGCACAAGCAAGCCGGTAAAGATTATGCATAACGCGACCCCGACACTGCAGCTAAGCAAAAGACGACGCACACACGTGGAAAGTCTCAAATTTGAGGCTTTTCGTGCGCGTTTCTTTCTTTGCTTGCTTGCTGTCAGGGGTTGTTTTATGTCTAAGTTTTATATGAGAACCCTGCTTGGTACCTTGCTCGCTCCTCGTGTTGGTTGCACTGTGACAAGGCCATGGGAGAGAGTGCCAGGAACGGGGAGAGAGAGCTCTTCAACTTTTGTCACAAGCCAACATTTCCTCTGGACAGCTGCGGCCGAGTGGCGTCATGGTTGTCCGACATGAACTCCGTCATCGGAGCCGAGGTGGAGCTGCGGCCAAATCTAGCCGAGAAGCAGCTACAGCTCCAAAACATTAGGGTGCGTTCCTCCGTTTCTGAAAGACGTCTTCGAGTATTTATTTAGTCTGGCACGTAGCAACCCGGCGTCCTTTTTTTTTCCCGCAGGCTCTCTCCCAAGACGTGACTTCTCATCAGCCCGTTGTCTCCAAGCTGCAGAAGAAGAGTCAGGAGCTCAAAGAAACTATGACAACGAGTCAGGTGGATGCCCTGGTTGCTGACTACGAAGCCCTCTGCTCCAGGACTAAGGTGAGGGCGGTGATTTATTCACACACCTCAACAGCCCCCCCCCAGAATTTGCTACACAAAGCACTCGAACCTCCAATATACAGCTCCCCCCGGAGCCCCTCTCGTAAATTTGTAACAGTCCCCTTGACTTGACAATCCCAGATTGAACCCCTTGAGGGAAGGTGCCCAATGGCAGTTTTAACACTGAATGTTAAGGGGCTGGAATCCCACGGATACCGTTGCAAAACGTGTAACAGGTACTTCAACAGAAAATGTGTACAGAAGAATGCATACCTAATTCGGTAGAAATAGCAATAAATTTAGATGAAAAACAAAACTTTAAACACGCCCCATTGGGAATCGAACCCACGGCCCCACTTTTTTGAGCCCTGCAGTCTACCACCGTGCTAGGAAGGAGCCTTGCGGCGTGTACAAATTCAATCTTTCTCGAGGGCAGGAAGCGCGTGAGCAACCGCCTGACCGTGTCTTGCGACCATCACGTGATTTGACGTCACAGGAAGATGGAAAAATAACACGCTATAGAATGTTGTAAGAAAAATAATAACTCCAAAGTCTACCATAAGCCATAAAGAATGCCGTGGAAACAGATTCTGTGTATACCGACCTTTTCCATAAGATCAAGGTAAATTTCAGTGTCCATCTGGTTGTTTACACAGCAGTCGTACGTTAGTATGGAGAATGACTACCTAGGCTCTCACGTCTCGTCCACGCATCTCCGCAGAACAACATTGCCCAGTGCGAGCAGCGCGTGAGCGAGCACGAGGCCTACCAGCAGAGCCTCGAGCGGTTCCTCGACTGGGTCAGCACTCTCAAGGTCACGGTGGACGGTCCCGTGGAACAGGGTGACATGGAGGCCCTCAAGTCCAGGACGGCGTCTTTCTCGGTACGGGGGCGGTGAATTTCTCGGCGATAGCTTTACGTGACAACCCTTTCTGCAACTCGCTAACTCGTGTCTGTGCTGGTCACGCCGTAGCAAGGCTACGAGAGAGACCGTCGGATTTTGCCTGTCATGACTGGCAATGGTACGACACTTTTGTGACGTCTTCGGGTGGAAATAGAGATACCGCTTTCAAGGGCGCCTACTGGCGATGCTTTCCAGGCACCATAGTTTGCACTCGCAAGTTTCTCGAGCGACCAGTTTGTTCTTTCTGCTCTCGTAGCTGCTGCTGGAGAGTGAGCAAGAGGCCCGTACCAAGCTGGAGCACCTGGAAGAGGCCCTGCAGAAGCGAGTGCTGCCAGGCACTTGTCCCTCGGGGCACGGCGCCCTGCAGGAGCAGCTCGCGGGAGCTCGAGCTCAGTGGGAGGCCCTGCTGGAGCAGTGTCGGAGCGGCCACGACCAGGCCTCCGAGTTGCTCGCCCGCTGGAGCCGGGCCACGGACACCCTGGACGAAATGGAGCGCTGGCTGGCCGCCCAGAAGGCCCGCTCCCAGGACCTGCCCCTGCAGGCGTCGGCCGCGGCCAAACGCCGCCAGCACGAAGCTCTCAAGGCAGGTCTTGCTTAGGAGCACCATTTGAATAGTTCTTGTGGATTGGAGTCACTAAGATTAGCCTGATTGACAGCAGAACGATTAGTTTGTTAAACCATGGGCTTTGCACTGGGCACTGTTACCTTTTCCGCGCTGCCCAATACGAGAGAGAACACGCTGCTAGCCATGAAACGCCATCTTTTATTCCGTCTTCATTGTATGTTGATGATGATGATGATTGCCTTCAAATCGAAACTAACGTAAACCAAAACTGACAATATTCACATATTTTAACACTCCCTACAGACGATGGAGCAAGAGGTGCTCTCCAAGGAGGAAGACTTTACGTCGCTGTCCAAGGGTGTCCAGGCAGTCCCGGCAGACACTGTCCTGGCTCCCCGCATGGACAAGCTGCGCAGCCGCTACCACCTGCTCAGGAACAGCATCAAGGTGCTCTTCTTTTTACGGCTACAGCTGTTGGTTTCGCAGTGAACTTCCAGGCGTGTTTCCCGTGGGTCGTCGTGCCTGGGGAATTTCCCTGTTGAATGGAGCGGGCAAATTTCTCTGCAAAATATCACAGTGTCTCGTAGCATCACGTGTCATCATGATGTAAAGTGGCACCGTGACGTCGTGTGACATTCTGATGCCACAGCACCTGATACAGTGTGATCCGCTTATAACGATACCACATATAACGATGTACTGCTTATAACGATTAGTTTCTAGAGTTTCTAGTCTGGAAACAATCAGGTTCTAGTCCAGATACAATGATAATCGGTTATAACGATTGAAATTTTGGGTTTTCTCGTTGTCATTATAAGTGGATTACGTTGCATGACGCCTTGACACCACTTGGCACCGTGATGTCACGCAATACCGTGACGTCAGGTGACGTAGAGACGTGACACCATGGCATTATGTGACACCTCGACTTCACCTGACACTGCAACGTCACATGCGATATATTTATATATTGGCCCGTGCAGCGTGCGGGACACATTCTGCGTTTCCCGGTCTCTGTCATCATGACGAAGCAAACAAACTTTTTATTGAATTGTGCTTCCAGGAAGCGGTGGTCAAATGGGAGAAACTGGCCAAGCAGCACGAAGCCTTTGATGCGCTCCTGGCCGACCTGGAAGCCTGGCTGGAAGAGCCGGAAGCCGAACTAGACCAGATCCTTGTGGTCAAGACCGACTTGCCCTCGACGCATCAGCAGAAAGGAAAATTGGAGGTGGGCTCTTTTTCTGAGCTCACGATATCCTGGGAGATGGCTCACCCACAGCTTTTAGAAAACACTCGTACGAAAACTTTATATTCAGGCCCGATTTTAAAGTTGGATAGGAAAAAGTTGGTATCCTCGATGCTTGTGGCCATCTACTCTAAGCATTGCAGAGCACTTAGGTAAAAGTTTGTTGTTGGTGGCAAATTTGTTACCAAGACTCATCAGATCTTTTTTTTAGCAGCATGGGGTTTAATTTTATATCAATAAATCTATACTTTATCCAGGCCAGCACCAGGCTACAATATTTTATAAAAATTTTATAAATAAATTTTTTTCACTTTTTTTTATTGCTAGTACATTGTAAAACCTGCGGCCGTCATCAACATCATGCTCACTTTTGATTAGGGTACCATTTTCGGCCAAAGCTTTTGCGTTTTACATTCATCAGTACTAGGGCTCCTTTCGGTTAGGTCTGTTGTGTTCTTGCTCGTTGCTTGTCTGGATGAAGGGCTCGAATCGTCACAAGCAGACGTTCATAGCGGCTATCAATGTTTGGCAGCTCGTACAGCCGTGCGTGTAGCACTGTACCCCCAAAGTTCGAGGCTTTTCTACATTCCTGTGCCCTCCCACGTTAAAAGTGCACCCCCTTTTTTTTATCCTTGTCATCTATCACCAGCTGTACCTTAAGTCCCTGCAAGCTTCTGCATTCTCCAACGCACAGTTCATTTAAGCGCTGCTGAGAACTTGTGGATCACTCCTTTGAAAGACCCCATGCATGTAGTCAAAGCTCTTTAAAGCTTTCTCTGAAGTATGAGATGGACCTGCTAGGTACTTAGTGCTTTAGGTACCATCTTTTCCGGCTTATAAAGTTGCACTCATTTGTGAGGCCGGTGCACCAGTCGCTCTAGCCACAGACCTATGCCGCCAAACTTCGAACCATCTTCGAACCTCCAGAAAAGCGGGCCATCGACGAGTCCTCTGCCGTGGCTGCATTGTCGTAAATGTTGTTGAGGCCTACGTCTTGCACAGCTAAAATCCATACTTACAAAGAAAATGAATGAATATAAGTTGCAGTATTACATAAGACGCACCGGCAAACGTTTGGGAAGGAAACCGCGACTCGTACCCTGGAGAATATGGTATTACCCACTTACATATAGTTTACGGGACACTGGGCAATTCATTGATGTTCCAAGAGAAATTAAAGCGGGGCATAAGACATGTTGCCGTTGCCTCGGTCGCTTTCTTTATGGTATGGTTTTGCCTTGGCGTGCTCCCACGAACAGAACCTGAGTGACCGGCTGGCCCAGCGGAGCAGCAGCATGGAGGAGCTGGTGGAGACGGGCGAACGTCTGTACTCCCACACGGCACCCGACGGCAGGGAAGCCATCCGCCAACAGCTCAGGTCAGCGTCGACGATGCTTGGCTTTACATTCGCATGTTTCTTGGTACTAGCTTTTACGGCAGCAACAATATATGGATGGTTTTCACGTGACACTGCGACATCACGTGACATTGTGACGTCACGTGACACCACCTTTTTACGTGAAGTATGGGGTCATGTGATGGTGTGGCATCATGACACCATAACTTTGCATGACACTGTAATGTCAAACAACACCAATATGTAAAAAAAAAAAATTAATAAAATTGACTTTTGTGATTAGACAGCGTGAGATTAGTCTTCCTTTGAGATATGGCAGGACTGGTTTATGCTGCGGATAAGAAATTTATCTGGTGCAGTACCACTGCCAGCCTGACGTGTTTAACGTGCATCATGCACTAGTGATTCGCGGCCGCACACCGGTACGGCACTCATTCGGATCGAAGCGGGTAGGGGTGGGGGTTAATCCCAGGATCCTTTGGTTCCGCAGTGCATATTTTCGCTCCATGTGCTCCGAGTAGTGGTGTGCTCGCTCTGCAACCAATCCCCCTGCCACCGTTAAGTCACGTGACATGACGTCAGTGTGCCACATCCTTGCGTGACTGCCCATGCCGTTACGATCCGTCGCGTGCCAACGGACGTCCACCGTGTCTGGCAGGCACGTCCGGGGCCGCTGGCAGTCCCTGCTGGACCGGTCCTCGGAGGCCCTGTCCCAGCTGGAACAGCGTCTTCAACAGCTGTCGGGGCTCTCCCAGAGCCAGGACCAGCTCAAGCAGTGGATCGGGGACGTCAACGCAGCCCTGGACAGCTGCGCACAGCCCAGGGCCACCCTCCAGGAGAAGAAGGCCCAGCTCCAGACACACAAGGTGGGCCCTACTTGTGCTCCTAATACTTAATGTCGTTGTTAGTACCTGACGTCCCACATATCACGTTACATTCATAACATGCCATGCGGGACACCTGTGCGGTATGAGTTATCGTTACAAAAGACCATGTCCCCCCCGGCTGGAACCATACCACTGACTTCTCGCTCAGTGATCTGGTACCCTATCTTCTGAACTAGCAGAGCAGCTTTGGTCATCATGGTTTATTGTTGGTATATATGCACCCTTGCCGCTGCAAAAATATTTCCCTTAATGGTTGGGCGGGCTCAAAACACGCTGCAAATTTTTGTGTTTCCCAGTGTTGTCCAAAAGATCGAAAGCCATTTAAATATCTTTTGTTGTGAATTTGTCTAACTTTTTGCGTGTGAGGGAGGAGTTGTGGCAACTGATGAGCTATACTCAAACGTGCAGGTTGTGCACCAAGACATCCTGTCCCACCAACCGGCGGTGGATGGCATGTGCGAGCGTGCAGAGCAGCTCTCCAGTACCACTGGCAAGGATGTGCTCGGGGACCACGTGCAGAGCACCAAGAACGCCTTCAAGGAGCTTTGTACAAGGTCCCAGGCAAGTTGTCCCTGAAGCATCTACATGCCTCTCCCCAAGTACACTGAAACTGTTTCTTTCAAACAGTGTCAGTGACACTGTTTATAAGACTCGTGAAATTCGTGCTAATTTTCTAAACACCTCTTAAAATAAAAAATAAAAATGTAGCTTCAAGATATGGTTATATAACAGTGAATATGTGAAGAATTGTTGTTTTACCAACATTAACAGAGGCGAGGTGTGTAAGTGTGTGATAAGTTTTAAATTAAAAATTTTCTGTCGTAATGACATGTGTAAGTAATATCATCATTTACCTTTGTGTATCCATGAACTAAAAGTTGAATCTTAGGAATACTTTGTCACACATTTTTTTTTTTTGTGGTTAATAATTTCTTTAGAGTGCCTATTTTGGTGCCGTAGCCTTAAAGGCAGTTATATGTGCCAAACTGATTTCTTCATGGATCAGTTAGCTGGACAGTGTACAGAATTGTTTATTGCTGACTTTGACTTTGACTGACTTTGGAAGAAAAACTGCTTATTACAGCTTCTCAACATGGTGCCCTAGACGGCATAATAACGAGGCCACTGACAGATCAGCTCGAATTTTACAATACCCATGACAAATGTTGATTCCCTAGCTTCAATAGGCCTTCGAAATGCTTGTGTAACGCAAGCATTACTCATTGACTAGTGTGTTACGCAATGTGCTGTCAAGAACAAAGCGGCACAGTGTATGTGACACCCAGACGACGAATGTTCTGCTCACGCTCGTGACATCAAGACAACAGGCATTTCACTCATGCTTGTGGCACCCACAGAAGAGGAAGAAGCAAGAAATGAAGGACAGGCTTTATTTGAACCTGACAGTGCAGTGTGTGATTTCATGTCGAGGAGCTCTTAGGAAGGGATTTTCCACTTATTACAGGACCTTGCTGGCCAGCTGGTGTCAGCGGTGGACGCACACCAGGCGCTCGTGGACCGGGTGGCTGCCTTCCAGGACTGGCTCCAGGGCTTCCAGGACCAGCTGCAGGAGCACAAGGACACAACGGGGGAGAAGAAGGCCATCCAGGGACGCCTGGCACTGCTGGCGGTGAGCCACGGCACAGACACCGCCACCCGTTCACGGTCGCTTGTCCTTGGAACCTAGCTCCGTGTCAGATTGCACAAATGCATTGTCCAGAGCTATACATTGCAAGTTTGGTTTCGTTGAATCATTTATTGGCGGATCCATTTCGTTCCTGAAAGAAGTCTAAAATCACATCACCACGCGATTTTTGGCACAGTGGGACATCTGGCATTTCTCTAAGAATAGAAAATATTTGAGAGAAGTCAAACGTTGACTCTATTTTAGAGCTGAGCTCTCTTTTGGCATATTACAGAAGTTCCGTCCATTAGCGTTGCGAGAATATTAAAATTTTTAATAGTAGTTTTGAATAACATATTATTCGATATTTGCTTTGTGACGAACTGCGATATTCATGTTTTTCGAAGTGTTGATCATGGTGGGTTAGCCCCACTGAGGGCACTTCTTACGGAGCATCGATGCGTTGCAGAGAAGCAACACTTGCAGATCTTGCTTCCATGGGTGTTGCTTTTCCACAGCGCACTAGTGCTCGAAATGAAGCATGCTCAACGGGATAAGCCCACCGCAATCATCACTTTGAAAACTACAAATATTGCAGTTGCATGCTCTGGGAAAAAGCACGCTTTCAAAGCAAGATATTGCATGCATGTGTCTGGTGTATTTAAAAAGAGACTGGACCTTTGTGAACGTTGATATTTACACTACATTAAAATTTTCAAAATTAAACTGTGGCTAATATGTAAAAGTACATGCTAGGCAGAGATGTCCTGACAACCTGCATCCATTATTCATGAATGTCTTTCCTTCTTTTCTCAAATTCTAGATTTAAGATTTTTATCTGCAAATAGCAAGAAGATTTATAGATCTCCTTGATAAGGTATAGCTGGGCGTCTCTAGATTTGGTGTTATGTCAAATGTGTCATATTTATTTTTGCTATCCCTGTGTAGGTATTGAACTTTCTAAGGCTGCAATTTGTAAATTTAATTGGATTAAAATTACCTAGGTTAGAAATGAATAAGTGCAAGCATGGCTGCCACCTTCGTGAGTTTATTTGGGCATTCGTTTAAATTAAGCATGGTGCAGTAATGAAAAGGTCTGAGAAACTATTCAGTATTCCATTTGAAAATATTCAGCCAAAATCTCTATTCACTTCAAATTCGCTTTGAATTTGCTTCGAGCTCGAAATCTACTATTCGCACATGACTAATATCCAGCCATTGTTTTGATTAAACAACAAACTGATGGGAGCTAAAGTTAGTTTCACTTTATGTGTCAGCAAAGTCAAAGCTACAAGCACGAGTATGTCACCCTGAACAATGCTTTCACCGCACAAGCATGCATGATCAGTAGGAATGCTGAAAGTCCAGAGTTTGCCATTGTAGCTTCTGCTATGCTTGTACTCGAATTGAAGCAGAGTATCGTGTTGGGGACACTGTACTGCATCTCAGAAGTTCCACGCAGTGCTATGGAACCCCCGGGGGGGGGGAGAGGGAAACAAGCCCCTTTTGTACATATTTTGAGTGGCATGCTAATCTCCGATGAGCACAAATGTTGAGCATACGCAGAAAAAGGTCCCGATCTTCGTTCTCTTTCTACTCGACTGTTCGTCTTACGTTCTCACCCCCGTACCTTTGAGGCTGCGACAAGAATCGACCAAGGCGTCAGTCAACGCGTTGCCCCCGCAGGAGCTGGCCGAGAAGAGCAAGGAAGGGGAGGCCCTCCTGACATCCGTCCGTGAGCAGAGCGAGGCGGTGTCCGCGGGCAGCTCCCCCCAGGGCCAGGCCCTGCTTTCCCGGGAGCTGCAGGGGCTCCAGGAGCAGCTGGGCAAGACGCTGGCCTCTCTACAAGAGGCACGCCGCAACCTGGAGAACACGCTGCAGCAGTGGGGCGCCTACGAGGGACACCTGGCCGCCCTCACCCAGTGGCTGGCCGACACCGAGGCCGAGCTGCGCAGCCCACAGCTGCCCTCCGGCCTCGGCGAGAAGGAGGAACTCTCCGCCAGGGGGAAGGTGGGTGTGTGGCAACCATGCCGACTTTCGTTTCATTTGGAGTTTTAGCATAGATCGTGCTTTTGCTCGGCTCGAGATGGGACACGTTATGGAAGAGATTAACGTCAGAGACAGATGTAATGCCAAGGACAAGATTAATATCAAGGAGGGATGAAATTTTATGGACAGATGTAAGGTCACCAACGAGATTAATATCGCGGACAGATGTAACGTTATGAACGAGATCAACATCACAAACAAGATCAACATCACGGTCCGATACAACACCACGAAAAGAGGTGTCACGAGCGGATGCAACGTCACAGAGAGATGTAACGTCACGGATCGGTATAACATCATGGACAGGTATAACATCACAGACTGATATAACGTTATGGACAGATGTGACATCTCTACATATAACGTCACAAACAGATGTGGCGCCACAGACAGATGTAACGTCACGAATGGAGCGTGCATCCCTTTTCCCGTAGCTTGGATGTGGAAACTTTCCTGCCGCGGGTTCCTCAATCACCGCTTACGCAATTATTGCGCTCCCCGCTGCCTCCCTGCAGGAGCTTCGCACTCGCATCACGGAGCAGCAGAAGAGCGTGGACAGCTTCATCGACGAGGCCCACTGCCTGCTCCAGGTTTCTGGGGTGGAGCTCGTCAGGGCTCAGATGTCCCAGTGCAACGCCCGCTACCAGGCCCTGCTTGCCTCCATCAAGGTGCCGCGCCCTTGCCGACTCAGATGCTCTCCAGAATAGTAGAAGGTCGAATGCATGGTTTTTTTGCAGGTTAAGAATAGCGGGACAAGCCCCTCTCACGAAGCCCTCTGCTCGTCATGATTGGAGGTTTCCTTCTTTCCACTCCCCTCCTCCCTAGCGTTCGCTCTACTAAAGTAGGAAGAGTCAACGGCTTTGTGGTAGGAGCCTGTCCTACTATTCCTGACTTGCAGTGGTCCGTAGACTGCTAAAGCAACCGAAAGTGCAAGCGTGGAAGTAGTTCTAATTTTCTGAAACCTAGAAAACGTTTCTGTCGGCATTTGGTAGCCTTGTAAGTTTTCGTATCCTAAACGTCTTTATATTTAGATTGTTGGAGCATTTAAATTTTAAAAACTTTGATTGCTGCGTTGTCACCTTGGACTGGTTGGAGCACAGGTATTCAAAGTTTGCAGTGTCGCCACGGGATGGTGCCACAGCCCCATGTAACGCCTAGCAACCGAGTATCGCTTACAACGTCCCCCTTCGTCAATTATGCTGTCGCACAGCGGGGACGGCGGGTGTGTCACTGGGACGTGCGTTAACCCACCCCAGCCTCCCCTGTTCACGTCACTTCGCGGCTACAGTCTTCAGATGATTCGTTACGAAATATTAACCCACCTCAGACCACCCATACACGCCGCTGGCAGCCCAAGTACCCCTTAGCCCCGCCGTCCCCCAGTGCACCTCGGTTGCAAGGTGTCGCGTCACGTAGCCGGCGTGCGGGTGCGTGCTTTCGACGCCCTCGGAAGCTATCGCCGCCGTTTTTGGAGTACCGTGTGCGCACACGGGCTGCCGTTCCGTTCTTCGGCCTGCCACGCCATTCTCGACGCACAGTCGTCTTTCCACGTCACCGGACCGTAAGCGCACAGTGTCGTTTGTCGCCCTTGTATGCACAACATATGTGCACAACAACGAAATGACTCTTTCGTTTTCCACGCATTGCGTGAATGTTATTTGTGCACGCACTAGGTGACCCGGGGCCCTAATCTACATGGCGGGACCGGGCGGGATGAAGGCACCGAGTCATCGCCACCCGCTGCAACTGGTCGGTGTTGAGGTGCCGGCTAATTCCAGCGGGTGGCCGATGTTCCGGTCCCTCCGTCCCGCTTGGTCCCGCCGTGTAGATTGGGGACCCTGATCTGCTTGCACCAGAGAGAAGAGGGATTTCGGGAAGGTTTACCTTGCAGAAAAGTGCCGAGAGGCCGCATTCACCACGCTTACCTACATATAACCGCTGCACGAAATACTGACGCATATCTTCGAGAATCGGCGTGGCGGCACCAGCGATTTCGGCCCACTTTTGTTTTACCATTGCGGTTTCCACGGACTGTCTGAACCGGAGTGTTTCATGACGCCTAGGATTTGGCGTCTCGCTGGGAAGGCATGGAGCGGGACCAGCGGGAGTATGAGAAGGCCCTGGCCAGCTGCACCGCGTGGATGGACGAGACCGGGGAGGCGCTGGACCGCCTGCAAGAAGCACAGGGAGCTCCGGAAGACAGGTTGTCTCAGCTGGAGGTACGACTGAGGCGCTTGCGTCGCTTTCGTGGCTCCCGTAATGTCTTCTCTCATGAAAATCAATCCATTTCCAGTTGCATCATGAAACTCGTCCCGAGTGTTTCCATAAAAAAAAATGAGACAATCCAGCGGAATTCAGTCAAAACCACTTGCATAGTCCAGCTGGAAATTAATTGATTTTCACGTAGGTTGTTTTCACCATTGTACCAAGTTCTTGCAAAGGGAAGACTTGGTTAGGAGAAGGTACAGTCAAAGAGACTGAACGTTGGTATGAATATGGTTTTTTTTGTTCATGCCAACTCACGTTTTTTCTTATGAGCTCCGCTGTACGGTACTTTGAAGTCATACTTGTTTTTGTTGCATCTTTCACTGCGATGTTGGATTAAAAAAACAGATTTGGTTGACTTCAAGGATGTTCGAGGCATCTGAATTTGAGGGAAAAGCTTTCCCTTTTTTTAATTTTATCGTTGGTGACGCCTTCATTCCCTCGGTGGTTTGCAAGTCCCCATAGAAGGTTCATGTGAAATTCTGAAAGCTGCTAAAACCAGTTCGATAGGTTTTATATTTCATTCTCGAATTAATGGTTGTAAAACATGAAAGATTGTGCAGATTTTTTTTTTTTTTTTATGTGTCTGATAATTAGTCTTTTTTTATATTAGACTATTTCTAGGTTTAACCTGTTTCTGTTTTGTGGATATCAGGCCTTGATCGTTGGCAAGCTTCATGGACAGCAGCAGCTGAACCTCGCTTCCCGCCTTGGTGAACACCTCTACCAGGACACAGCTGCATCTGGGAGAGAGCAGGTTCGTATTTGCTCCCCGTAACTAAAGAGCACATTTAGCACTACGCCTCCGTTGTAGGAGAGAAATAACAAAACCAAATGCTGTACTGTTCAAATGACATTGCAAGAATTAGCTTCCATTATTAGATTCACATCCGTCGTACGAAATACGCGTGGCAGCACACGTTGGTTGCACGCTTTGACCACGGGGAGCAGGACTGCTAACGCAGAGTTTCGGTTTTCTATCGGAGCACATTTTTGTGCCGGAGGTCCTGCTCCCCATAGCCGAAGTCTATACTAACTACCTAACTTCAATTTGTTCTGAGAATCTATACCTGGGATTCTATCCGTGCAAACTTTGTGGCATGTGAGAAATGTGTGCATGTTCACACGCCCAAAAGGAGTGCTTCTTTCTCCTTCTTGTCTGAGCGCAGTGCAGCAACAGAAGCTTCCTGCACGAATCAGCTTAATTGCGAAGCTTAATAGAAAAAGCCCCGACATTTATACATGGCAACATTGTTGCATAAACAGGTGCGCCTGGAGCTACGTCAGCTGCACGATCGCTGGGAGGCTCTCGACTCCAGACTGACACAGCTTCAGAAACAACTTCAGACGCAGAGTCAAGCTCGAAGCACCTTTGTGGATTCCCTGAAGCAGGTAGAGACCCGCGCCATTCCTAACCATCCGAAACCAGCATTTATACTTGTACATTTTGCTGATATCATTTCCGTAACATCCTTTCAATAGGTACAGTCCTGGCTCGACAGCGCAGAGAAAACAGTTGCCGAAGCCAGAGACAAGCTTCCGGCGCTGCAGGAAGTGCAGGGAAGGCTACAATCACTCAAGGTACCTGAACAGTGGACATCCAAATGGACTGTTTGCATATAAAATGTGCTCATTACGAGTCTCTGACTAATTATCAACAATCATCAGACTACCAGTATTAGATTAACGCAAGTGATCTAATTCCACATTGGAGTAAAAAGGGTGGGGGGGGGGGGGGGGGGGGGTGAGGCATAGGCGGTATGTTGGTGTTTAATAAGAGTGCCTCTTTCTGTCAGCTACCCTATATATCTACCATAAAATACTGTAGAAGCACCCGCTTCGTTCAAACGCCCATTATTGACATTTCCTAAACTTGGAGGAAATTCTGAAAATTATATGTTAGCCGCTTGATTTGACAAGACAAGCGCCCATATCTAAATTAACCCAGTTTTCAGTGATAATGGGGAGGGTGCTTCCTCAGTATTTTACTATAGTGGTACTGTTTAGTACAGCAGTGGAATTTTCTTGATACTATCCCGCAAAATATGTTTTTTTATATAATACTTTTTTTTTAAAATATTCTTAGCCAAGGTTTTATATGAACAATGTATTTTGATATGGATAGTGTGCGCAATCATTTTCTCTTGAAGTTGCATAATACGACTGGTGAGGTTTGTTTTGACAGAGATTTAAAACAAATTATATGGTGTATAATTAGGTACTATATTTTTCGGTTCCCCTCGAAAATTGTGTCAGAGATTCCACTTATTTGCTTTAATCAAAGTGATGTTCTTTGTATTGGGGTAACAAATGAGTTGACGGCTTCTTGAAATTCTGAACTAGATCTTGTGGACGCAAAGCTTGACATAGCGTCCATCTAGAAGTGCTTTCGTCACACTATGGATTTCTTGGAAGGTAATTTTATGGATGCTGGCAGAAAGAGATAACCTAACTGTGGGATGGCTTTCAAGAGCGTGAAGATCTCGCTGCAATCAGAAGTGGGGGAATCTAAGATGTGTCGTGGTTTTGTCACAGCTTCTGCAACAGGAGGCAATTCTTCAGCGGCGTCACCTGGATGCGCTCGAGGAAAACGCCAAGAACGACGCCGCCTCCGAAGAGAGCCTGAGGGCAACCTCTGCACGGTTGACCAACGTCGCGGATGAGCTCAAGGTGTGTTTTTTTTTTATAGTCTGCTTGCAAATGAAGTTAACATGATTGCAAAAGGATATATTTTTATTACTTGGGGCATCCATCCTGTAACCTCTTCCCTTTGTTATGTCAATTGACTTGGTAGCAGTGATTACAGGCTGTACTTCTCCACATTTCTCGAATGATATCTAACTGGATTTGTCCGAGATGTTGCTGGATGTGTGTGTGAATACTTTAAACTTTATAATGTAATTTTGAATAACGCTCTATTTGAATGATCTGTTTATTAAATTAAAGTAATGGAAAATGTATACGTGATTAGAGAGTATTCATATTTTATCATTATATTTAAAATATTTTTAGAGTTTTTCATAATACAAGGTGTGATCAGGAAGTTCCGGTACTGATTTTGTAGCGTAAAGAGAGAGGGCAGCACAGTGATGCGCGCTCAGCAGTGTCTTGTTCGTGTCTCGTTATACCAAAGGGCGCCGCTCTGTGAACGTTTGGAGCTGCGTTTCACGAGTTTTCGTGACCACATGCATGGGCACAATGGCGATTTTACTATAGACTACAAACCAGAGCGAGAGCGAACATCACTTTTGCGTCAAACTCGACAAATATAAAACAGAGACCTTCAATATGACTCAGCAGGCTTGTGTAAAAAAGCAGCAAATTTCGCGAAGTTTTTTAAGTGGCATTCGCGCTTCAGGAACGGCAGAACATCGCCGGAAGACGAAGAGCGGTAGGGCGACTTTATCCGACCTTTCCTTGACTTCGGTGACGTTCTGCCATTCTTGAGGCGCGAGTGCCACTCAAAACACCTCTAACACCTCACTTCTTGTTTTAGGGGCGAAGCTCCTTAGGATCTAGCCTTGTCCGTCCGGCGTCCGTGCTCACATCGATCTTGCTGGTGCTCGTGATCGTGCTCGTGAGCTCACGTGCTCGTGTAAAGAAAAAAAAGATGATGAAAAAAGAAAGAAATGTTTGCGCAGTCGACAGGATTCGAACCTGTGCGGGGAGACTTTAATGGATTTCTAGTACATCGCCTTAACCACTCAGCCATGACTGCGGAACGAGTAGGGAGCTCTGAGATGTGGCAGTAACTCAAGAGCTGGGGATATCATGGATGAAATGTTGCATGGAGCCGCTCAACGTCTATACAGGAGAGGGCGCTGCGGTCAAATGCATATATAATCGCGTTAAACTTTGCTCAACGTTTATAGGCGAGAAGGCGCTGCAGTCAAATGCTCAAATGCATATATAACCACATTCCATACCACACATTCTCTTTCTCACATTGATGAAAATGAATGAAAGGCTCGGCATGCTGCGGCTCAGCATCTACGCAGACAAGCACCACCAGAGCCCCAATCAACATCATTCACCACGTGGAGATGCGGTCATCTTTTTACATAAGCCTTCTAAATCATTTTAGAGGTCTCTGTTTCATGCTTGCTGAGCTTGACGTAAAATTGATGTTTGTTCTCGCCTTGGTTTGCATGCAGTGTATGGAAAGATCACTATCATGCTCGTTCATGTGGTCAAACAAACTAGTGTAGCGCAGCTCCAAATGTTCACAGAGCGACACCCTTTGGTATAATGAGACACAAAGGTTCTTTACTTTGACTGCTGCGCGCGCATCACTGTACTGCCCTCAGTTTCTACGCTACAAAATCAGTCCCGGAACTTTTTGATCACCCCTCGTACTTCTTAGCTCCGTCACACGTGCTTCCCTGCTACCTGTGCGTCAAAGTGTGTGTCACAGGTTCTGTTTTTCTGCATCACTTCATGCATGTGGGAAGCATTTCTTACAGGGAAGATTGTACACTCACATGTTAGGTAAATTTTTCTTTTAATTCCAACTTTTTCTGTTTTGTTTGTACAAGTTTGCTTGGCAGTTCATAAAAAGAAAAAGAGCCACATAGAAAAACATTAAGTGAAATAAGGCACTTTCTCCTGGTTTGAGGACGCCGAGGACCATTATGCGCATAAATATGGCAATTTCATTCTCCTCTAAGGTGATAGGCCAAGATGGGCTGCCTCGTTACGATAAACCCCCGCATCATGTCAGCACATCAATGCTCATCAGTTTTTTTTACACGGTATGAAGACAGAGAGACGGAAGTGACCAAGCACCTTAGCTGCAGACTGAGCGTTTCCGGTGCAGCTCTCCCGATCTCCCAACGGCACTGGAATCCGTGCTAGCTGACTCGGGGAGACATAATATGGACGACGGAGAACAAAGGAGGGCGCGGAGCGTAATGGTCTCGAGTGTCATAACCCTGGCGAAGGTAGCTTCTGACCGCAGTGCGATCCACTTATAACGATACCGCACATAACGATGCACCGTTTATAACAGTCAGTTTCTAGAGTACCTAGAGTAGAAACACAGTTTCTAGTCCATATACAACGAGAATCGACTATAAGGATTGAATTTTAGGGTTTTCTCATTATGGTTATAAGAGGATTGCACATTAATAGGACACAAATGGAGCGAGGCAAATGGCCATTGCAGGCTCTGGTGTCTGGCCTGGAGAAGCTGTCGTCGCTCGTCCAAGAGCAGCGGGAGCGGAAGGAGCACCAAAGCCACTGGCTGGAGCAGATGCACGAGCGGCTAGACCTGTGCGGCGACGTGACGGGCAGCCGGCCCACCCTGCAGACCCGCCTCGACAAGCTCCAGGTGCGTCGCCGGGAAGTCTTGCCGCGTCCTCGAACATGGTCCCTTGATTTCTGCTTGACGGCATCGTAGAAGCGTCGTAAGCCGTTTGTCGTGGGCCGTCACCATCCTGGTGGCGGCACAGCAGCGGAGGCAAATGCAGCAAACGCCCGTTCCGCTGCGGGTCGTTCTCTAGCGTTGACGATCTATGAAACTTCTACGACCAACTGCCAGGATTGCTACGTCTAACAGCGGGACGGTCCGTCTCCTGTGATACCATTTGTTGCAATTTCGCTACAACTTTCGACGCACGGGCGGTATAGGAAGCTAAACGCACCTGTCGGAGATGCGTTCTAGGCGCCATAACGTTGTTATTCGTTTAGAAACTTCAGTCCAGCGGTCTCGGTCTTTGTCTTCCTATGCTGTCTACACTATATATTAATGTTGGTTTGTGATGGCTGGTGAAAGGAAATGGATTTTTAGAAAAAATCAATTGCAGGTAGAGTGTGTAATGAAGTGCCATGTAGCCAGAGCCATCCTGATTTCTTCGGATGAAATCTTTCCATTTCATCCACGGGGAAATGGGAAGATTCTCTTTATGTTCGAACTTTAGCGGACGATGTGGAGCTTGCGCAAAATGGGGAGAGGGCGCCGAGATAGAGTTGTGTTTCTGTGGCGAATAGACCTCAGTACTCGTGTTTGAGACGTTTGCGTTTGTCCTTCTTTCTTGCACCAACTTGCCTGCTTAGTAAAGTTGTCTCAAATCTTCCGTGCTCGTTCTGACGGTTGAAAACTATACAGAGCCGACCACTTCGAATCCTTGTAACTTTCGTGGTCCGCGCGCAGGAGCTGGAGCGACAGTTGCCGGACGGAACGTGCCAGGCCCAGTCCCTGTCAAAGTGCACGTCCAGCCTGGTGCAGCTGCTGGCTCCGCGGGAGCGCACGGCACTGGAGGAGGAGTGCAGCAGCCTGGAGACGGACCTGGCGCGGTTGGGCACTAAGCTGGAGCAGGCGCGCCACTCCCTGGCGGCGCAGCTGCGCCGCTGGGACGCCTACGAGGAGCACTATGGTCGGCTGGCGAGCGGGCTTCTGGGCGCCGAGCGCAGCGTCAGGGAGTTCGCCCTCAGGGCCTCCCTGGACGACAAGAACGCGCAGCTCGAGCAGTTCCAGGTGAGCTCTCGCCGCCTTCTCTCAACCGCCGTGCGTTAACGCGAAAAACGTTTTGGGGCTCGTTTCTCTAAGATGAGCTTAATGTTACAAAGGGTGTCGCACAAGACCATTACATGGTTACCATAGTGACATAAATTAATTATTAATAATAAGAAATCATAATTAGTATTGATAAATATGTATAAATGTAAAATATTACAATAATTGATAACGATAACTGTGAATAATTATTTTATACCATATTAATTAATGATAAAAATAATGTATGAATATTATATCTTAATTATTAGGTAATGATAATATTCACTAGTTAATTATAACTAAGTTAATTTCTTCAAATTATGGTGTCTGGCTCAGAGGAGTGCATGTATTTTCTGAGGCGCAGAAATTGCCCGAATAAAAGCCTGTTTTTAGGGCTACCTGATCAATTTCGCTAGTGCGGTCCCTCATAAAAAATAATTGTGTTGTGTGTGTGTTTATACAGCCATAAGTTAGTTAGCCTCAGTGGGCATCTGGTGTCTCAGCTCTAGATGAGAAATTTAGCCAGTGCAGTATAACCGCTAGCCTGGGTTCTTAACTTGCACCACGCAATAGCAATACACGATTGCACGCCGGCACGATGCTCATCCAGATGGAAACGGGCAGGGGTGGTGTTTGAGCCCAGGATTTCCAGGTTCCGCAGCGCGAGCTTTCGCACCACGTTCTCCGAGCCGCAGCGCATTAACACACGCAACCACCAATCCCCCTTTGTTCCCTCGTAAGTGGTGCGGTTACAACGCAGTCGAACATACTTAAATAGAAACGTTTTAACTATCCTTTAGTTTTCTCGTGTGAGCAACTTCATTTCGGCCAGAAGGCGACTTTCTTTACCTCTTTGATGTGTGTGCAGGGCCTGCTGAAGGAGCTGCATGCCACGGAGCAAGACCTGGACTCCCTTTCTGACAAGGCCCAGGAACTGATTGCGACCAGCGGAGAGATGCGGCTCTCAATGGCGGTCAACCAGCTCACGGCCAGGTTCCAGGCACTGCTAGAGACGTGCAAGGTCGCCACTTCCTCCAACTTCTTTAACGCGGGGTGCATTTTAATGGAAGCAAAGATGGGATTGGTGTAACCATCGCCATAGCCGTGAGCGTATCCATATCCGTATTGTGCCATCGTCAGCTAGGTTGAGGGGGCTAACATTTTGCTGAATTTATCGGGATGCAGCTTTGGGTCACATAGTCATGTGGCCAGTGCCGCTACAGGTCACGTGGCCACACGACCAAGTGATGTGGTTCGGGCCACGCAAACTCGCGTGACGTGACAGTGTCACTTCGTGGTGTAACGCGATTCGCAGCAGAAGGTTGCGGTGCCACTTGACGTGACGGTGTCATCAACATTATGAGATCTAGTGATATTTAATGTCAAGTCGCACGCCTGTTGGCACTCAGTCACCGCCAAAAGTCTCATGAAGTTAAAACTTTTCTGTTTGCAATCTTCTTGTGTCGCATTTCCCGACAGATAGCAGCAAGTTCAAGCCACTGCAAGTTAGTGTATTAGTGTAACGTGACATCACGTGCCAATGTGTTTGTGACATTGTGGTATGTAATGTGACATTGCAACGTCACTCTGTCAAGGGCTTGTGTGTATAACTAATGCATCTGCATATTGGACGTTTGAGCAGTAGATCAAAGGACTGCATTAACTTTTTAACACTGATGCTTCATCAGCCAATTTTCATGGAATTCTGTAATGTTTTGCTGTTATAGCTGGCTGTAGTAGCCAGCTATAACAGCCTGTTTTATTGAAAAATCGACACTGAAAAGTGTTGCACCAATAAGGAACCATAGAAAAAGACTTCAGTCCCCTGCAGGATTTGAACTCACCACCTCCAGGTTGTGAGCCAAGTGCTTTGCTGGCTGAGCTATCCAGGACCGGTAGTTGGATTGTGCAGAAGAAAAATCTTTGACCCAGCGCGGAAGGGTGCGGTCACTCGTTATGCCCTTCTCTTCTTTCTTGGGAGACCAATCACACATTCTGCGCTTATCAGTCTTTATCAGCATGATAAAGCTTGTGTAATATTTTTCTCTCTAACTTGCTAGCTCTTCTCTTCGCAACTAATAAGTAATCGCATTGTGCAGGAGCTTGTGAAGAAGTGCGAGCAGCATGTGCAAGACCACATTCAGTTTGAGAAGAAGCAGGCGGAATGCTCCAAGAAGCTCGCCCACGCTCAGGAGAGCTTCGTCGAGATTCAATCCCTTCCGAGCGGCAACAAGGAAAGGCTCGCTCACAAGCTGGCCAAAGTCAAGGTTTGTGCTGAGTGCCAGAAAGTTGCCAGGATATTTCTGGGTAAAGTAATCACGGTAAATGCCGAGATAACGGATAGATGGGGCTGTGCTCATCCCTTGTGTTATTACTACAACCTGCTTTCCACAATTCATTGTGTTAGCGTTACAGAAAAAATGCTGTCAAAGCGATCTTAAAGTTTCATTAGCTTTCTGAGTGCCGCCACTGTCTGATGTGTTAGCGTTACAGAAAAAATGCTGTCAAAGCGATCTTAAAGTTTCATTAGCTTTCTGAGTGCCGCCACTGTCTGGACTGCCTTCCAGAAGCCATTTCTGTCATGTTTTATCTACGATGCATCATTTCTGTTGAAATAGCAGAAATGCATTTTGTGAGGGCACTGAGCCTGAAGTCTTTCATGAATGCTGTTTCCACAAGATTCCTATTACCGTGAAAACCCGCGTACAATACGAACCGGCAGGGAGGTTTTAAAACCTCCCTGCCGTTCTAGCCCTTCCGGTGACTGTGTAGCCAAATTCTTCATACATGTCCTCGTTGCCTCATTGCTACGTTGTTAGCCCCTTGACTGCCGAGGTCTTTCCCATGTCCCGAACGCAAATTTTGGTTTCGGTAACACCGTACCATGCTCTGTAAAGAACATTTATTTATGAAGGACGCACTATTTTGTGGGCAGAAAGTTAATTGGTGTCTTCATGCCTCCAACCTACGACATATTTCTCATATGGTACTTTTTGGGGCGCAAATTTTGGTCTCGGTACCATGCTTTGTAAAGAACATTTATTTATGGAAGACACACTATTTTGTGGACAAAAAGTTAATTAATTGATGTCTTCATGCCTCCAACCTGCGACATATTTCTCGCATGGTACTAATTAGGGGCACGGTACTGTGTAGAGGTACATCGACCTCACACCCCGAGGTCACTCTTTTGAGCGGGCTTACTCGGTCTTTGTTTGTTCGGAACTGTAACCTTTTTGTTTCCACAGTTGTCGAATACCGAGTTTATCAGTCATTCCCAGACCTCGGTGTTTGCCATGAAGCACGAGGTTGAACGACATAGGCTCGTCCTTCTCTAACAATGAAGGAGCATACACAAACAGAAGTTTCCTAAACAAAACAAAAATTACATGGCATCAAAAAGTGAGACCACAAGATAAACCATTGTTTTTATTGCTTGCTCATTCATGCTGCTACATTTAGAAAAAGAATGACAACCCAGTTGGGAGGGGCAGGGAGAAAATCGAGAACGAAACTACACGGGAGTGCATGAAATCACATGGAAAGGAGTACATATACTCGGATGTGACATTCAAAGGATTAAGCACCAGACATCTTCTCGTCTCGTTGTTGCCTCATTCTTAACACAGTTGTCATGGCCGCTTTCCTCCAGGAACTGTTGCAAGGCAAGAGCGAGGCGCTGAACCTGGTGAACGCCACGGTCCAGCTGGCCGAGCAGCTCCAGGTGGGCAGCTCCCCGGAGGGCTGGGAGGCGACCCAGGGCCTGCTTCAGCAGCTGCAGACCACCTTCGAGACCACCTTCAGTGAGGCCCAGGGCCTGGAGCGGTCCCTGCAGTCCACGCTGTTCCTCTGGTCCGAGTACCAGGAGGCGCTGCAGCGGCTGCGGAACTGGCTCAAGGGCCTCTCTCAGAAGACGGAGGGGGCCCCCCGCCTCTGCACTACCCTCGACGAGAAGCGGGCACAGCTCCGCACCTGCCGGGTGGGTGTTGGGGGATTGCGGAGTCGCCCTATTAGGGAAAGGAGCTCCCGAAGGCATCCTGTCGGGGAGCGCATGCCTGAAGTCTTTGTGTTGGTGAGAGTAGTGTCAAAGCTCACCCTATTGGGAAACATAGCTCTCAAAAACATTCTTTTGGGGAGGGTGTGCCTGAAGTTTTTGTGTTGGCAAGAGTAATGTCAAAGATCACCCTATTCGGGAAAGTAGCTCCAAAGGCATTCCATTGGTTAAGTGTGGCTCGTGTTAGGAAGAGTAGTATCCAAAGTCACCCTTTTGGGGAATGTAGCATTTAGAGGTATTTTGTTGGGGAGAGTTGTTTCCAAACTCACCCTTTTAGAGAAGGTAGTTCCCGAAGAAGTTCTATTGGGGAGAGTGTGCCTAAAGTCTCTGTGTTGGGGAGAGTAGTGTCCAAATTCGCTGTTTTGGGGAAAACATCTCTGAAGATGTTCTGTCGGGGAGGATGTGCTTAAAGTCTCTACTGGGGACAGTCCAAAGTCCCCCTTTTGGGGGAAGTGGCCCCTGAAAGTGTTCATTGGGGAGGGTGTGCCTAAAGTCTCTGTTGGGGAAAGTAGCATCCAAAGTGACTGGGGAAAGCAACATAAGGAGGCATGCTGTTGGGGAAGACAGTGCCTTAACTTTGTGTTGGCGAAAGTATCATCCAAGTTTGCCCTCTTGGGGAATGTAGCTTTCAGATGGGTTTTACTGGGGAGGGGGTGCAGAAAGTCTTTGTTGGGGAGGGTAGTCACCCTTTTGGGAAAAGTGGCTCCTAAAGGCATTCCATTGAGGAAAATAGTGCCCAGTACTCTTTGTACTGTGGAGAGGAGTATCAAGTCCCTTTTGTGGAAACTGACGCTTCAAGGCATTCTATTGAAAAGAATGTGCCCAAAAGTTTCTATTGAGGAGAGCATTGTCCAAAGTCACCCCTTTGTGAAAAGTATGGTATAATTTTAAAGGAGTGGAAGTTCACAGATCTTTTTGCTGAGAACAAAAATATCCCAAGTCACCTTCTGAAGAAAGTATCAAGTAGCAGTCAGACACATTCAGTTAGGAAGAGTGCACCCTAAGGTCTTTGTATTGGGGAGAGCAGTACTCAGTGTCAACCTTTTGGGGAAAAAGGTGCTTGAAGGCATTTTGTACCATTGACATTCCCATGCAGGAGCCCAAGTTTCACACTTGTCAAGTGATATAGGTGTGCTAGTATTTGTCAAACTCTACAGGTGCCATGTAACCGTAATATTTTATGTCACAAATCCTATCATGATCTAGATAAGTCCTGAGTTCATCGCTCTGACGTGCCTGATACCTTTTGTTGGTTTAAATCCACAGGATCTTAATTGTTCTTGTCGTGCCGCGCAGGGTCTGTTGGCAGAGCTCACCGACCGTCAGCAAGCCGTGGAGGACCTGCAGGTCAAGGCAGATGCCATCTCGGACAGGGACACCGAATCGCAGGACGTGCTGGCCGCCGTGGTGGAAGGCCACAAGGAGCAGACTGAAAAGCTGCAGGTACACCTCAGTGGCACTTTGCTGCATTTCTGTGCCATTATTAAAAGCATAGTTAGTATTTATAGGGCCAGCTCTTAGCCGTCGCAGTGTTGTGTCACTTGACGTCACGTCGCGTGGCACCATGGCATTACAAAGGACCTAAAAATGCATTTGGGATGATGTCACGGCGTCATGCAACACTGTGACATTATTGAGGCTGCAGTCTAGTGCGGAAGTGAAAACCCTAAGAGCTCTCCCTGTAAATAATGTGTACCGTATTTACTTGCACAATGAACACACTCGCGTAATGAACGCACCCCCCAAGTCGGCTCTCAAAATTTCGACTTTTTTTTTTACTCGCGTAATAAACGCACCCCCAACTGGGACGTCAAAATTTTGACCCCCCCCCCCCCCACGCGCGAAATGAACGCACTTTTCTATCGTGGTGCAGCGAGGTGAGAAGCGGAGAAGCGCTCTAAGCAAACGAAACAACTTGCGAAAGGCTGCAAAAAGAAGAAAAAAAAAACCCCACGGAACTAAGAAAAAACAAAAACAAAGAGGATTTTTGTTTTTTGCACAGCGCAGTTTGGTTACGGGGTCGCGCGCCGCGTGCGCGCAAGGAGGTAAGAAAGAGCAGCGGAGAAGCCCTTTAAGCAAATAAAACAGCTTGCAAAAGCCGGCAAAAAGAAGAAAAAAAAACAACCACGGAACTGAGAAAAAAAAACAAAAAAAAAAGAGCTTTTTTTTTCTTCTTTTTTTTTTTTGCACAGCGCAGCAGTTTGGTTATGGGGGTCGGGGGTCGTGCGTCGCGCGCAAGGAGATAAGAAAGATAAGCGGAGAGCCCTCGCCTAAGCAAACAAAACAGCTTGCGAAAGGCGGCAAAAAAAACCAAGGAACTAAGAAAAAGAAAACAAAGAGGAGTTTTTTTGTTTTTTTTTGCACAGCTTAGTTAGGTTATGGGGTCGGGCGCCGCGTGCAAAGAGATAAGAAGTTACTGCAATTTTTCAGGATAAAAGGTCGGTTCATTATGCGAGTAAATAGGACGCAAAAACTTTTACTTCGCATAATGAACTTTGCATCGATTTTTAGGAAAAAAAAAGTGTGTTCATTCTGCGAGTATATACGGTATTTAAAAATTGCCTGAGGCACTTTGCACGCAGACGAGAAACCATTTTTTGACTTTCTTTCTCTGCCACTGCATGGCAGGGTGCCGTGGTCGTCCTCGAAGAGGCAGTGTCCCAGCACGAACAGCTGAGCAAACAGCTCAGCGAAGTTCAGGACTGGCTCAACGCAATCCAGGACCAGACAGTGACGCTCTCCAACTTGGGTCTGGATCAGCTCGCCCTGTACAGCAATCTGGAGAGGCTCAAGGTACCACACCACACACCACCTCGGATTTCTTCGTTAATTCGTTGAACCTCTCCAATATACCAAGCACTAGGTTCCGGCGAACATGTGACGTAAAATTCCGATCAAGTGCCCATGCAAAAGTGTGAGAGGATCATTAAAAATTGGAGACGAGCGCTTGTTAGATTTAACAGAAGAAAAGCAGAAAGGCCACATGGCAAGATAGGTCCTTGTTTGATCTGACGGAATGATATGGCTGTGGTATAGGGGTCTGGTAAAGCCCCAATTTTAAAGTGGCCACACCGCTCTTGTCAAGCCTGCTTCACACCGACGCCGTTGCCCCGAGTCTCAGCGCTTCGCACCAGCACACACGCAGAAAGCTTCACCATTTCGCACCACCCTCTCGGAGAAGTCATTGACGTTGAAGAGCACCTCTGTTAGCTTGGTGAGCTCGGAAGTTTACTGGGAAGGGTGTTTCGCATGTCCTTTGCCTAAATTTGAAATGTCTCAAAAGATGCTTACTGCGACATAAGCGCTTGCTCGGCATTTTATGGTAAAGCTAGAGAAAAACTCGCCTGTTTTATGCTTAACATGACCTCAAGGGGAAATGTCAGAGCTAATCAGGCTTTTAGGGTACTTCTTGTCGCTTTCAAGTAATGGAATATAATTTTTTTACGTTCCTGATGTGAGGGGATGAATTAAAAGTGGATGTGTCTACTTTCATAGGCCATCGAGAACAGCTTTGCAAGTCAAGAGGAAGGTCTCAAGAAGGCCGAGGCACAGCTGCCCGCGGTCCTTCAGAGCACCCTCCCCACGGGCCATCCCGTCGTGTCCGGCGAGGTGGACTCGCTGAAGCAGCAATGGCAGGTCAGTCTGTGCGGCGGGTTGCCAGCCTATACATCGAGCAGCTTCGAACCTGCCGTTGTATTATGAGCCGCATCACGTTTCACACTTTTTACGGCGATGGTGGTAGTGGCAAGGTTTTGCAGCGGTTCTTATGTGTGTACGTACGTCGTGGCCTGCTGAATTTAGTGGGAAAAATTATTTCTTAAGTTTGAGGGTATTTGGTGTCACGTGATATTGTGGTGTCACATCATTTCACGGCATCATGCGATGTCAAAGTACCGCATGGTGTGATGGGTCTTTGCTAAATTTAAACACAGTTTTATAACTTTGCACAGCAGTGTGCAGTGTCTCGGCTATCGCCGTAGTTCATTTACGGGACACGAGAAGGAACCACAAATGTCTTTATCATCTGAGCTGTTAAGGGCCATTTCCCCCAGGATCGTGTCTGCCGGATTAGAAATGATGACACCGAACTCTGGACAGCTACCGCCATCTATGAGCGACGGCGGCAACCAGTTGTCTGGTTGCCGCCGTCGCTCATAGATGGCGGTAGCTGTCCAGAGTTCGGTGTCATTTATTTCTAATCCGGCAGACACAATCCTTGGGAAAATAGCCCTTAACAGCTCATAGATGGCAGCAACCTTTCTTTGGAGGAAGAAGAGCAGAACAGGCGGCGATGTGCGCAGCAGCATGAATAGTTCCGCAACCGCCGCGAAGCTGCTATCGCCTCAAGTTCCACTGCGTCGAGCGCTTCAGATTCCCTTGCTAAAGAAGAGCAGATCGCTCGCCTGGAAAACGACTGCCAAGAACAGAAGCTACAGCTCCGCTGCTCTTTCTTTTTCACCAGAATGGAAAGGCTGAAAGTTTTTTTTGTTTTTTTTTACAAATGCTTTTCTGCCTTGGAGCGCCAGTCGAAGTTGCACTGAAGGACGTCTTCTTCAGCCCCTGGATATGCCAAGTCTTTCAGCGTAACATTGGCTTCCACTCTGGAGCCCTTCAAGATGTTTCTTTGCGTGTTCTTGTTTTCTACCAGCTTCTACTACGTCTGTGTTTTGTATCGACTTACTTTCTTGCCGATTTACGACAGCCCCAAGGCTGTTTGATTTATAGAGAGTAGTCATGCAGATGACCATTGAAGAGGATCTGGAACAAAGTTCTATTGCTGAGTGCGGCAATGTTGTCCAAATGCTACTTTCCTTTTACACAAAGAGCCTGTATGATTCAAACTCCTGTGAATGTTTGGGCTGCATTATATATGGGATCCAGCAGTCTCTAAATATATCTTAAAAAGTAGGGAAAGGACGCTTCAGTTTGAAGTCGGGGTGTCAGAAAGGCAAAATCTGGAGACCTCACACTAAACGTGGTGAAAGTACATGGCGCTTTAAAATCTTTTCAGTTGATATTTAGGCAGTTTTTTTTATTTTGAAATATTGTTTGAAATGGAGGTAATTGAAGATAAAATTGTTGTACAAATAAATGTTGTACCAATTTGGTTCTACCCTTCAGGCAGCCACCAATGTCACAAATTACTGCAGCTGCAAATTACTGTAACTCGTTGCTCGGAATCGTGCGGCCCGGAGGCATAGGGCATCACCTTCTCTCTGGACTGTAGGTGGTGCGGGAGATGGTGACCAGGGCCCGCGAGTCTCTGGAGCAGTTACTGGGCCGCTGGCAGGAGCACCACGAGCAAGTGGAGCAGCTGCAGCAGTGGATGTCGGAGCGCGAGGCCGAACTCCAGGGCTTGCTCCTCTGCGACACCCTGGAGGCCAAGCGGAAGCGGCTGGAGAAGCTCCAGGTTTGTGCCCCTTCGCTCATCTGTTTTAACTCTTTATTCGTTTTTAGGAAAGGACTGGTGGCCGAGGGTATTAGTGCGCCACAGCTTGGAGAGTATGGAGCGAAATTTCGCGCTGCAGAGTCCAGGGAGCTCGGGTTCGTTCCCACCCCCGCTCGTTTCGACCTGGACAAATGTCGTACCGAAGTGCAGTTGTGTATCGCTACTGCTCGATGCGCAATAAAGACCCCAGGCTAGCAGTGGTACTTCACTGGCTAAATTTCTCATCTACAGTGTAAACCGGCGTTGCCATACCTCAAAAACTGGCCTACCTTATGCCGTCTAAGCATGAACACCAAATTTGGTTTTCTTTTTTTTTGTTCACTGAGTAAAACAAAAAGATATGCTTAGCCAAGAGTCCAATTGCAGCAGTCTATTCTGTACCTTTATTTTTTTATTTTTTCTTTTTTTTTTTTTTTCCCAGTCCAGTTATCTTACATGATGGTAAAATTCTATCGGCTCACCAACGTTTTCTTTCTTTGTTATTCTACCGAGATGTTGGGAAAAGAACAGACAAGGTTTGGCAGGTACAAGAAAGAAGGGGGAGAACGAAAAGTATATACATTCTTTTTACACGCGTGATCACGTATTCGGATGTGCACCATGTGTGAGATATGAAGTTCTTTGATAAGATAGATCTAGATATTTGATAACCAATGGCAGCTTGTACTAAATGAGAGTTGGCTGTGCGTCATCAGCGTCGCCGTCGTTCCATGGCGCGGTGTCAACCTCACACCGGGCATGAACGTTTTCTCTCAATGAAACTCGTTGAGCAACCGCTCACCGATTCCTTTCTACAGTTCACGGGAGAGACAGAGAGTCAATCAACCTTAGAGCAGAAAATGTGTTATAGGGCCGAGTTTCACGATAAAAGCGACGCATTATGCTTGAGCGTTATGCCTAATCGGCACACGGGTCTAGGTCTCCCGTGATACCGTGATGCCATGCGACACTTTGACATCACGCTACTACCCCGCCATCACATGGCATTCCGACATCACATGTAGGAACGCACACTGCACGTGTCCAGCCGATTTGCAATATACACTTCTTTGCATCTCCAAGTTTGTTAGATATGATCGAGACATGCTTAACTGATCGTGACATGCTTAACTGATTGAGACGTGAATTTTGGTGAGTCTTAGGCGCTGCTAACGCGTCGGTTAAGTCCCGTTCAAACTTGATGTCTTGCTCTCTGCAGGAGACGCTCGGAGAGCTGCGAGCCAAGGAACTTGAAGTGGACTCCCTGACCGAGCGGGCACAGCAGCTGCACGGGGGACACGGTGGAGGACGACGCAGCAGCCGCCTGGCGGACCTGGCCCTCAGATACCAGCAGCTCGTCGCGTCACTTGGGGTGAGCGGTCGCTAAATGCGTGGGGGTGACTCTCTGCCCTCACTGAATACCATTAAGGCCACATTGTGCTCTTGTCTGAACGTCCCCGTGAGAGCACCTTTTGTATTGTTGCGGACTCAGCAGACTCATGTCTTATGGTGCAATGAACACGAGGGAACCCGCTACAAACTTGCCTGTCAGGGGAACCGATATCATGCACGCAGTTCGCGGACAAAAATGCGGAAATCCGCTACAAACTCGCATGTCCCGGGAACGAGTACCGCAGATCGCGGACGCAGCAGAATTGCATTTCACGATTGAATATACACGCGGGAACAACTCTCGTGTTACGGGAATTGATATCGTGCTGGCAGATCACAGACAAAAATGCTTGAATATGTTACAAACTCGCTTGTCACGGGAACGGATAGGGCAGATCGCGAAAGCAGCAGATTCAGATTTTACGTAACACACGGGAACTTGCGTGTTATGGAAGCCGATATCGCGCATGCAGATCCTGGACAAAAACGCGGGAACTTGCTGTGAACTCGCTTGCCGGACGTACCGGTACCGCAGACTGCGTGGTTGATGCGATCCCCGTCAGACATTGCGTGACGTCTGACGGGAATGGGGGAGGGAGATGTTTCAGAATTTTTATGTTACGGATATTTAGCCAGAAAAACGGGATGTGCAATCTCTTGTGGGAGGGCATCCTTGTGAAATTTTATGGTATGTGAGGCCAAAGCCTATAAATTGATTAAAAATGACTGAGCTCGGCAGTGGAGAAACGAAAGCTCGGGAAGAACCGTAACAAGTCCAGCTGGATTTACGTGGTTCGACAGTGGTGGAAAGTTTGGAGAATTGCTCGGCAACTGTTCAATATTATATTAAAAGTATTATAGACCAAAACAATTAGTGGTGGGTCTGCTTGAATTTACAGAAACAAAGAAAGAGAGGATGAGACAGGACAGTACAGCTTTTTTGTCCTCGTTTGATTCTGTAAATTCAAGCTGACCCATCATCAATATGTACCAACTAGCTTTTTGAACCCGAAACTGACTATTTACACATACCTGGTGATTATAACAGTTCCTTATAAACAACTACTACTGATCACTGCAAAAACATTTTGGAAGAATTTGGAACTTGTTATGACTGGGGTGCAATGTATAATTTGGACCACTCTGGAAATTTCCTGGACAGATGATGGCAAAAACAACAAGCTGTAAAAATAGGCCAGGAACAGTTTTCTCTGAATTGTTGCCACGTAGCTTGACGTTACCTTTTTCAGTCCGCTTCAGATTTCATTTGCTTCACTGATTCCGTGTTGCAGGAGGCAGTGACCAAGTGGACTCAGTGTGTGGCCAACCATCAGGCCTTGGACAAGCACATTGCCGAGTCGCAGCTTCAGATAAGCCAAGCAAACGACAAGCTCTCCCAGTGCGAACTCACCGACGGCTCTCTGGGCCAGCTGGAGAACAAACTGGCAATCATTCAAGTAAGGCTTATAGAATAATTTTGTTTTTTATTTAACAAATATTCTAATCTCAAATTCACCATCTTTTTGAAGATTGCACTTCTGGTAATAGTTACCTTTATTGCACTATGACTTGCTTCTGTCAAAAGCCTAGGCATGGTACATCAGTGCCATCAAGTGAATCCAAACTATGATGTGTTAGGAGTGATAGCACTGGCTCTTTTATTTTGCTTATGGTCATATACCTGCATTTCTTTGGCTTAGTGCAGTAATATTCTCAGGTCCAAACTTGTTCAACCACAATGGTAGGTACGTCTTGCGCTTTCATCTTGAAGAAACCCTGTATTTTTATACATTTATCGCTGCCACATGGTGCGCTGGGTTTTGTTTTTTCATGCAGGAGGTGACGCACAGCAAAGAGGCCCTAGTGTCCCTGGTGCAGGCAGCGACGGAGCAGTGTCAGGTGGTCTTGGGCGAGACGGCCCCCGTGGGACACGCCCCCCTGAGCAAAGCCCTGCAGGGTCTCACAGAGGCCAAGCTGGCTCTGCTTCAGCGACTGTCCGCCCTGCGAGCGACGCTGGACCACGCCCGGCAACTCTGGGGCGGCCTTGTGGCACTCACCAAGCAGGCAAGTTGGCCGACGTTTTCCGCGCGCCGTGCCCTGCAATCTTCTGTCGATTTTAATGCTGACTTTTGTGTGAGGCTTGTCTCCGCGTTATCAGCAAGAAAGATGCAAGACAGGCCTGTAAATGGTGCGCATTAGGATGCAGTGTTGTGGCAAGCTTGAGAAAACTGGCGAGGAGAATTCATTTTACAGTGACGGCTGTTTTAGAAGCCCAGCTGCATTTGCGGCGTCGGCTTTGTAGTGGGCAGAAAGCTCTAGTTTACCCCTCAGCCGAGAGATGACGGGGGCGCCCGCGCGTCTGGCTGCTTGAGCCGGAGAGCTACGAATCTGGAGAGCTTTGCCGCAGCGTTCGAAAGGTGCAGGTTTTTTTCGTTAATTAGGAAAGGAAATGTTGATAAATGTTGCCCCTTTCTTGTAACTGATTTTTTTAGCACAGAATGGGTCTAAGGGCTGGAATCCCTGAGCAAAGCGTAACAGAATGCCATGGAAATCGTTACGAAATGTGTAACACATACTTTGGAGGACAGTCTGTACAAAAGAACACATAGTTGAAAAGAAATAGCCTCTAATTAGAAGAAAGAACGAAATTCTGAATGCTCACCGACGGGAATCGAACCCCCCCTCCCACGATATAGGCCCAACACCCTACTGCTGTGCCAAAGGGGCCAGTGGCAAATGCAAATGCCGAATGCTGGACACTGGCGTTCAGCAATCAAACACGTTCGACTAGGGAAAAGAGACAAACGCAGCTAGCTTTACATGAACCCATTAATCATTCTATCCAGAGCTCGGTGATCTGACGTACCCATGTGTTCTTGTCTCCTCTTCCTCTGTTTCTATTTATATAATTAAAGGAAATTGAAAGAAAGCAAATCACTGCAAACTCAACCACAAGCCCCAAAGAGTACCGCCGAAACACATTGTGTGTGTAATGCCTCTATCCATTAGATCAAGATATTTTAACATAGCCCAACCAAGTGACAGCCATAGGTAAACTATTGGTAATCGTTTAATCCTTTGCACATGTTGAACGTATGCATGCATATACTGAAGGGGTCATGAAAAGAAAATCTCTCTCCCCAAATCTTAATTTTCTTATACCCTATTTACTCGCAGAATGAACACACTTTTTTTCCCAAAAAATCAATGCAAAGTTGGGGAGGGGGGGCGTTCATTACGCTAAGTAAAATTTTGCGTCCGTATTTACTCGTATTTACTCGCATAAAGAAGGGACCTTTTATCCTGAAAAATCTAAGTAACTTCTTATCTCTTTGCGCGCGGCACCCAAAAGTTTTTTCTTAGTTTTTTGGGTTTTTCTTTTTTTTACCGCCTTTGGCAAGCTATTTTGTTTGCTTAGGCAAGGGCTCTCCGCTCCTCTTTCTTACCTCCTTGCGCGCAGCGCGCGATCCCCCCCCCGCCCCTTCACTTAACCAAACTGCGCTGTGAAAAAAAAAAAAAAAAAGATGAAAAAAAAAAAAGCTTTTTTTTGTTTATGTTTTCCCTTAGTTCCATGTTTTTTTTGGTTTTTTTTGCCGCGTTTTGCAAGCTGTTTCGTTCGCTTAGAGCGCTTCTCCGCTTCTCTTTCTTACCTCTTTGCGCGGGGCGGGGCAACGCGCAAACCCAAAGTCCAGACTGCGCTGTGCAAAAAAAAAAAAAACCTCCTCTCCATGTTTTTTTGCTTGCTTCTGTTGGATCTTTGGGAATTTTTTTAACGGCTTTTTCAAGGTGTTTTGTTCGCCCACGCTGCCCATGCATTCGCAACCTCGCTGCACCAGGATAGAAAAGTGTGTTCATTTCGCACGCGTGGGGGGAGGAGGTGCGTTTATTACGCGAGTGAAAAAAAGTCTAAATTTTGAGAGCCGACTTGGGGGGTTGCATTCATTATGCGAGTAAATACGGTATTCATTAAACCACAAAGATGATGATTTTTAAGTATTGGGGCGAACTATTGCGTCCGCGCTTTATGAAATGTGTCAAAAAACTTGGAGGATGCTTAAGCTTCACCTTTAAAGGTGGAATGCTATAGCGTTATTGGGCCTCATTCGCATTGCATTCTCATTCATTCTCATGCTCTTCCTGCCAGTGAGCAGAAAGTGCAGAGGCCGTCACGACCCTATCGACCAATCAGGATTTTTCCATCACGCCACCAACACCAGCTCTTCTGCGACACGAGCTCCTTAACACTACGCGTTAAAATCAGGTTGCTTTTTTTACTGCCTGAAATGACCCCTGCCTCAGCATGAGCAACAAAATGTCACGATGGCTAAGTAAAAAGGTTGAACAAATATTCAGCTTTATTTAATCTTCAAATAATAAATTGGGTGTGATAAAAGCATCAGGTTTTTTTATTGGCGTTCTTGTATTAGTTGGCACTACATCACGTGATTGGGATACAGTTTCGGTTTCAAACATGCCCGGTCTTTTATCGTTTTGTAACCGTCGTAACCGATGCTGCTTGTCCCACCATGGCTCGTATTTGTTGTGGAACGTTGTTGTGGAACTGCACTGTAAATTAAAATTATTAAAAGACAAAAAAAACAACACAAAAGTTCAGCCACAAAAAAAAAAATAGAAGTCCAGAGGATTTGAGTTTAGAACTTTGTGAAGTCAGTAACAAGGAGGAACGAGCGTGTGTGACCTCTTTACTCTCAGCCGATTTGTTTCGGACAGTTATTTATGCGGGTGTAATCGGAGAACGTTGTACTAATTTTCCACGACCGGCTTCATGGTCATGAGTTGGGATCCATTCATTTTTTTTTTTTGCACAGTCTTCCTCAGCAGTACCTTTTCATGCTGCTCTTAAAGTATGCAAAGGCGGTTCATTTCGCTCATATTTCCAGCCTTCTCGTCCTTTTTCTGCGAGCGGACCAACATTTTTTCGATCAGGGAGAACACATTCGCGGTTCAGAGTTCTGAATTTCCAAAAAACATTCCACGGCCCCTTTAAGAATTTTTTATGACTCTGCTGACTACTTAAGGCTTCATCAAGCTGGATTTGCAAGGTTTTGTCAGGCCTCATACTATCTGTTGCTTGTGACTTCAATTAAAAGTTCTATGGTTTCCGAGTTTAAGAAGTTGAATCTGTGACACGACAAGCGTGCGCTTCTGGTCATCAGGTCACGAGCACGGTCGAGCCTCTGGAAAGTTCCTTAGAAGATGCTGCCAAGCTTCAAGAGACCCTTGCGGAGAAGAAAGCCCAGGCGGAGAGGTCCAAGGTTCGTCACTTCTGGCCTCGCCAATTCTTCTTAAAAGTGTGCACGTGCAAGGCTCCTGTAAATGCAGAATTGCATTCTAACAGAATCCAGCTCAGATTTTTCAGACTCAGACATCACGGTGTCATGTGCTGTCTTGTGTGTTACCACGTCATGTGACGTTATCGCGTCACTTGACACAATGACACCGTTGTCAGTTGACATCATGACTTGATGCTGCCACATCAGATCATGTGACTTTGCAATGTCACATGACATTGTGCCATGTGGTGTGGGGACACCGTGATGTGACGTAAACATGTCACATGACGTGACGGTGTCACATGACACTGTACCGCGTGATGTGATGTCACTTGACATCATGACTTGAAGCTGTGTCATGACGTTACATAACCACGTCACCCGTCACGTCACTCTTGATGTCACGTGATTCCAGGCCGGGTCTGCCAATACTAACAAAAACATGAAGGCCCATAATTTCTCATATGTTGCACTTTTGCATATGGCGGTTTCATCAATAGATTCTAATACATCTGCCAGTTTTTTTCATAAAGAAACACGGGCCTTTTTATTGACTATGGTTCAATCATTTCCTTGCTGTAGCTATTGGGTTCTTTGGTCGTTTCTTCCCTGGCCAGGTCATCGAACAGCGGCTGCTTCAAGAGCAAGCACAGGTGGACAACCTGAAAGCGCGGGCCACTGACCTGGACAAGAGCCACCCAGGCAACGAGCACACCAGACCTGCGATGGAGGCAGTCTCCCGTTTCGAAGCAGCACGCAAGCGTGCCGAGGTATATTCATTTTCTTACAAACTTGCCTTTTCTGTGTATTGCAACGGTTATGATGATTTCAGTATGACTAATGGGGACAGTTATTGGGAGGTTTTGAAAGCAATGCATGTTGTAGAACCTGATATTGCTAGCATAATGTTACTATATATGCCATGTCTCAGCTTCTGGATTATTCAAACCAAAAATTATCACGTTAATTTTCTTCTTTTTTTTTTTTCTGAGAATTATTTGTTAAGTTTTATGTCCATTCCTCTAGGGCCATTCACGAAAGTTTATAAAGGATCATCTCTACACTCCTTCCAGAAACACTTTATAGCCATTGCATGATGCAATCTTGTGTTCCTATCGCACAGATTTAATCATAATCGCTCATTCGTACACCCCCCACTCTTTCTGATCTCTTCGTCTCATGTCATTTTTTTTTTTCCTTTCGAATTATTTCCTTTTTTTTAAAATCGAAAATGAAAGCCGTTTACAACTCCCTGTAACGCCGAATTTGAGCGCAGCTCTTGAGGAGGAGGAGGGAAGGGTACTGGGGGGATCAGTTGGCCTCGGAAGGGGGGGGGGGGGGGGGGGGGTCACGTGACCTGGGAGATCACGTGACCTCGGGAAAGGGGTCACGTGACGATGACGTCATCACTGATGATGACGATGCGGATGCCGATTACGTCATTGATATCCGCATCGCCATCGTCATTATGACTGATGCCGTCATCAGTGACGTCACTGATGACGTCATCGGCATCGGCATCGGGAGGAACTCGGAAGGACCTCGGGTTCCTTCGGGAGGGCCTCGGGCGGACCTCGGGCTCCTTCGGGAGGACCTCGGGAGGACCTCGGGTTCCTTCGGGAGGACCTAGGGAGGATCACGTGACGATGACGTCATCAGTGATGATGACGATGACAATGCGGATGCCGATGACGTCATCAGTGACGTCACTGATGACGTCATTATTGACGATGACGATGGCGATGCGGATGCCAATGACTTCATCAGCATCCGCATCGTCATCGTCATCATCACTGATGACGTCATCGTCACGTGACCCCCCCAGGACCTCGGGTTCCTTCGGGAGGACCTCGGAAGCACCTCGGGTTTCTTCGGGAGGACCTCGGAAGGACCTCGGGTTCCTTCGGGAGGACCTCGGGAGGACCTCGGGAGGACCTCGGGAGGACCTCGGGTTCTTTCAGGAGGACCTAGGGGGGGGGGGGGTCACGTGACGATGACGTCATCAGTGATGATGACGATGACAATGCGGTTGCCGGTGAAGTCATTGGCATCCGTCACTGATGACGTCATCAGTGATGTCACTGATGACGTCATCGGCATCCGCATCGTCATCGTCATCATCACTGATGACGTCATCGTCACGTGACCCCCCCCCCCCTACGTCCTCCCGAAGGAACCCGAGGTCCTCCCGAGGTCCTCCCGAAGGAACCCGAGGTCCTCCCGAGGTCCTCCCGAAGGAACCCGAGGTCCTCCTTCGGGAGGACCTCGGAAGCACCTCGGGTTTCTTCGGGAGGACCTCGGAAGGACCTCGGGAGGACCTAGGGGGGGGGGTCACGTGACGATGACGTCATCAGTGATGATGACGATGACGTCATCAGTGATGATGACGATGACAATGCGGTTGCCGGTGAAGTCATTGGCATCCGTCACTGATGACGTCATCAGTGACGTCACTGATGACGTCATCGGCATCCGCATCGTCATCGTCATCATCACTGATGACGTCATCGTCACGTGACCCCCCCCCCCCCCCCTACGTCCTCCCGAAGGAACCCGAGGTCCTCCCGAGGTCCTCCCAAAGGAACCCGAGGTCCTCCCGAAGGAACCCGAGGTCCTCCCGAAGGACCTCGGGTTCCTTCGGGAGGACCTCGGGAGGACCTCGGGTTCCTTCGGGAGAATTTACCCATAATGCACCGCGCGGTTACGCCGACGGCGACGCCGCTCAAGCCGGAAACGGGCGCCTAAGAGCTGCGCTCTAAAATACCTCTTGCAATCTCAGTCTAGTCTTGCTCGTGATTGTGTTTGTCACGTTACTAGGGATTTTGTTAATATGTATGCCCTGCAGTTGAGACAAAATGTTTGGGAATGAACTGGGTATAGTATACAGTAGACTCCTGTCGAAGCGGCCTGCAGGATGCTGAAGATGCTGGGACGCTGCAGAAGTTTGTATAGACCGAAACGCACTTGCAAAGTTGTTAGTGTTAGGCAAATATTAATGCGACACATTCTTTGATTAGGTGTTCGGCATTTCGTGATGCCCAAAAGGAAAGCCTGGATAAAAGTGTGGTTGCGAGGCTCGACACCGATTGGTTTTTAGAGGGAGGGAGAGGTCATTGCAGTAAAAAAGTGTTTGCACGAGGCAGGAATCGAATCCAGGCCATTTAGATGATTAAGCGAGTGCCTTTCCAGCATGTCGCAACACATCGCCTTGAGTTGAGGTGCTATTTGGTGGGGAAGCCCCGCAAGGCATCCATTCTGCGTCCTGCAGGTAGCAACTTGACACACTATCGCATGTTTTTAAAACCCGGGTTAGCACCGGTATCTCCATTCCAGAAATTGCTATGGAGTATACATGCCATATATTAAGCCAGTCGCTAAACTAACCGATGAAGAGCGCCAAGAGCGTAGATGCCACACGTTTCACATGCAACACAATTGCCCTGCAATTTGCTATGCATTTCAAACGCTCCCAATTCGTTCAGTATATTCAAGACTCTTCTCACATGCATATTTGTCATGTCATGAACGACTTACTTTTGGACGATTCCCGGGAGTTTGAACCTAGTAACCCAACTCAATTCGTCTCCTTGCATTTTTGTTGCAATACTTCTATGGAAACCTAACCGAACGCTCCTAATTCGTTCAGTATGTTCAAGAATCTTCTCACATGCATATTTGTCGTTTCATGAACGACTTACTTTCAGACGATTCCCGGGAGTTTGAACCCAACTCGATTTGTCTCTTTGTGTTCAGGGACTGGTTGAGACCACCGAACAGGCGTACCGAAACCACCTCGATTTCAAGAACGCTTGTGACGATTTGGTGACCTGGTTGCGCCAGCTCCGAGAAAAGCTCCCCCCATTCACCCGGTCTCTGAGTGATCGGCTGAGCCTCGAGACAAGCATCTCTGTCTTGGAGGTATGTGTCTTGGGCTTCGCTTCACTGTTTCATGTTTTTGCATGCGTTTTACGACAACAGCCGTTATATGTGTGATTTACAGCGGATTTTGGGGTGTGCTTTATTTAAGTCGTGTGGTGTGGTGCGGGTATTCGAATTTTCGAATAGTAGTTTAGAAAAACTTTGAGGACACCTAGAACTTCTTATGAGTTGTGAATGCGAAAGCATGAATGTCCAATTGAATGCTGCGGAGTGTTCTACGGAATTTTGCGGCCACCAACGATGTAGATGCTTGAAGCAGCACCATGTTCGTCGGAGCCCAGAGGAGCAGAATCGGCTGAGCATGCGCCACCGAGTTCCTTTTACCGGCACGGGGGCCCGCACCACCATGGAGTGGCATTCCTTGAAACTAGGGCGCATGCCAGGCTAGGGGAGTTTATTAAGGCAAAAGCCTTATATGTTTGATCATTCAGTCGACCTTCAAAGTCCTTGAGGAAAAACACGTTGAGACACGAAAGGTACTAAAACCGCCGACACAAAAGATAGAAAAGCCCATGGTTCACCACTGGACCATGAGATGGCGTTACTTGTGCCAGAATCGGCCCTCCAAAAAGACTTTTCGCTCTTGCCCCTCGGCTGGCGTCAAATCAGCAACCTTTCGTTCAGTAGTTTGATGCAGTACCCCTCTGCGACAGACGGAGGGGTACCACCACATCCGTAAATCATGTGTCTGTCTTTAATGCGTCGCACACTGCTTATAAAGCAACTGGCACCAGCGCATCGGCTGCTGCTGGTGCCAGTTGCTTTATGCGACGCGGACGTATACCGAGAGCACGCCATGTCGGGCGCGCTTCGTGGGGAGTTATTGCAGATGGCTCCAGCTGCGTTTTGCACTGGCTGCATTGTCTGTCTTTAATGAATCGGCGCTTGGACTTTTGCCTTCAAGTTATCTTAGAAATAATATGAGACCCTGTGAATTTTCTGTTTTGCTGGTACAGACTACAGCTTCGCTCCATGGGACAGGGGACTTTAGGTGCCGTTTGACGCGGCTTCAAGAGCTGATAACGCCGGTTCGCTCCATGGGACAGTTAATGCTTTCGCATTAATGATTCGCTATTCTATATTCACTTTGGGGTGAACTGTAATATTCATACTTTTCGAAGTGTTGACTGCGGCGGGCTAGCCCCGTTGAGTGCGCTTCTCACTGAGCACCTGTGCACTGCGGAGAAACTATTTCCGCAGAGCTAGCGGGCTTTGTGGGTATTGCCTCCCCGAAGTGCGCAGGTGCTCAGTGAGAAGTGCACTCAACGGGGCTAGTGCCACAGGTATTCCTTTCCCGCTGTGCACGGATGCTCCGTGAAAAGCGCACTCAACGGGACAAACCTGTCACAGTTATGCAAGAGTAAATGTTAGGCAGTGATGTCCTAGCAGCTCGTGTTCATCGTTCATGTTTTATTTTTGTCGAATTTGAAGTAGAGGAAAGAATATTTGCGTATAGCAAACAGATTTATAAATTCCCTCAGTTAGGATAGCTGCAACAAATGTGTCGTTTACATGCCATGGTTCGTAAATATAATTGTCTTAAAATTAACTGAGCTAAGTGGACAAGTGAAAGGCTGAGAACAACCTTCAGGAGTTCAGCTGAATTTTCATTTATGATGCACAGTATTGAATGACTCTGAGAAATGATTCGCTATTCTGTTAGGAAATAGTAGACCAAAACCACTTTTCGCTTCGAATTTACTTCAAACTCAAAATTTACTGTTCGCACATGACTAAAGTCATAGCATGACATTGCAACGTTATGTGATGTGGCGTTATGGAGGATGTTTTTTCTTAACTTAGTAACAAGATTTCTCCACTCACGAAGTTTTTTTTGTGTAGCATACAATTTGAAACCATGACATGACATTGTGATGTCACGGCATGTGACAAACTTTGTCATGTGATGCCATAACGTCATCTGACACAGTGACATCAATCACATCATGACATCACTTGATACCATGACATGACATGACATTGTAATGTCGCTGCATGTGACATTGTACCATGATGTCACGTGACACGGTGATGTCATGTGACACCAAGGTGTCGCATGACACTGACGTGACATGACATCATGGCTAGTGTGCAGTGTGACTGTGTGTATTCTGTGCAAGCAGAGTGTGCAGCACTGTCACCGCAGTTAATTTTCAGGGCATGGCAAGGAGCCGGCAATTTGTTTTTGGTCAATGCAGGAACTGCTTGCCAAACGCGCCGAGGGCAACCTGAAGATGGAAGCCGTGACCGCCGCTGCCGAGCGTGCCAAAAGCACCACCTCGGAGCCAGGCATTGGACTGCTGGACAACCAGACGGCGGCGCTTCAGGGAGACCTAACCAGCCTCTTTGACGAGATCTCGGCCACGAGAGAAAAGCTGGGTGAGGGCTTCTTGACTTTAGAGGGTTGTGTACAAGTAGTCTTGGACAAAAAAAAAAAACAATATGTTTGCTTTTACTTCTTTGTCATTTTCGTCATTTTTATTCCTTGTTGCTTTGGCTTCAAGCATGCGCATTTGGTTGGTCAGCTTGCCTGTTGTGCAGGCATGCCATGCCATGGAGTTGGCACAATGATACCAGAGCTATAGAATTTTGTGTGCAATTGATCCTAGAGCTGTGTAACATGGCAAAGTGACATGAATTTGAGTTTGAACAATAAATTGTTTATTTATTCATCAATAAATGAATAATGAAGATTGAATGATGACTACTGTGTCTAATATATTAGATACAACAAGGCTCGAGCAGATAGACTTCACTAGCATTTTATTGGGAAATAAAATGCTAAACAATCGCATATTTTGGGCTTTCTTTTACAGAGGAAAGTATAAAGCAACCTGCCAAGAAGTTTCAGTGATTTCAAATATATGGTAGCCCTTTATGTCTCTCCCCCTATCCCACTTCTCAGTCTCTAGTCACTCCAGATGTTAGTAGACTTTGATAATATTCCTAGCAGGGCATAGAGTCATTATTAATGTGGCACTATGCCACGCCACGTTCATGTGCACTTATACATGTGCAGAGATACTGACGTCGTGCCCACGCTTGCAGGCACGACGTGCTCCCAGTTGAGGGAGTTCCGGGAGGAGTATGAGCACGTGAGCGAGTGGCTGCAGCTCATGGAGGATGACATCAAAAACCAGAGGACCCTACTGTGGCCCACGCTGCAGGAGAAGAAAGTGGCTTTCGACAAGGCTCAGGTATGGGCAGTTCCTGCTCCAGGCCAAGAATGGGTCTATATATGCTCATACGCATGAACAAATGTTTCATTCCAGCGTTATGTAACACTATATCACATGACACTGTGATGTCACATGACGTCGGTTACACCATGATGTCACAATGTCCTGGGTTGACAGGATGTCACATCACAGTGTCATGAGATCTCATGGTGCCACCTGTTTTCACGTGGTATCACAGTGTCATGTGATGTCATAGTGTCATATAACGTCACAGCATCACGTGACATGTCAGGTAAAGGTGTCACGTAACATCACAATATTATGTGACATCACAGTGGTACGTGACACAATGTCATGTCACGTGACATCACATCATGGTGTCACGAGACGCTATGATGTGCTGCTCGTTAAAAATCTCATCAAATGCTATCGCACCTTCATTGCATTTGACAGAATGTCTTAGGCTATTTTGTAGAAGTCCATCTTACAGTGTGTGACAACACCGTGAATGCGCACCCATTTTCTAATGTCCCCGGTTTCGCCGAACGCAGGGTCTGGTGGAGGAGCTGGAGAAGGGCCACGAGGCACTGGACAGGGTGACCCTGCTGGCCCAGGGCCTGCTCACCTCCCACCTGGACACCTACATCCGCAACCAGCTCACCCTGGTCAGCTCTCGCTACCAGGTCTCCCTCAACCTTGCCAAGGTAAGATTTACTGGAGAATCATCCAAAACCTAGGGAACGAGTGTCGCCGCCACTGTATATCAAAATGCTGTTGACTGTGCACAAAGGGTGAAACCCCCAATTTTCTGTTGTAACGAACGTTACTCTACAAACTCAGATTGCTGCGACTGCCTTGTCATATGCCAGTATGGTAGACAGCTTTCATTCAGTTTTTCCTAAAAACACTGTACTATTTGTGTGCATTAGCAGGACTAGAAAAGGAATTCAGTGCAGAATAATATGCAGACTGAGGAGACGAGTGCACAAGACAAGCGCACCTTGCATACTTCTTTCCTCGTTTTGTCTTTTTGTGCGCTGTATTTATTTTTCTAGTCAAGAATTAACTTGCCCGCATCACCACTTTAGTAGTATTTAATATGAGCAAACACTCACCCAATCAAATTCTAATCTCGAGGCATATCTGTGTCAGTGTTGATCGCTTTGTAATACAGTGTAGACCGCATATAACGTATGTCGCGGGAGTCGCGAAAATCCGAACTATAACCAAAACATCAATTTTTCAAGCCAAAATGCATGCCATCAGACAACTTATTTTTGTAAAAGAATTTATTTTATGTGAGATGAAAAATAAGGCTTTAGTTTGAGGAAAGTCTTTATTTCACCAGACTAGTACACTTCTCTCTCGAGTGTGTCACACATTTTGAAAGAAATGAGCGACTTTTGCCTGGCGCAGCCTTTTGACGGCGTCGCGGGTTGCGGACGGACGTTGCGAGCCTTCACGATTGCTAACCCTAATCACTTTTCTCCGGCGATGAAAACGCGTGAAAATTCGCATCCTTCATACGGTACGCGCCTGTAATACCTTCAACTTGAGCACAGGCATGAAATGCTCCAAATAAGAAATCCGGGCGATGTTCGAAACCACAAATGTTTAGAAAGCACCACTGTAGTCGGAGTAAACAAACACGACGATACGGGCGTTTCTTCCGTCTTGAGAGTGCCGCCACAACATCGCCGCACGAGTAGGTGGATCTTCCCTTCTAGTACGTGCTGGGTTATCATAGCGACACACAACGAAAATTCACAGTCAAGGATAGCGCTTTTACGCGGAACGATGAGCTTCTACGCTGCGCAGTCTACGTCGACGATCAAAACCGACGCCATGTTCGCGGATAGAAGCTGTAGAAGCAGCCGGCCCGCGACCGAGAGAGAGAGAGATTGCGTTGTTATGTTGGAAGAGAATAAAAGTGGGGGGGAGGAGAGGGCCAATTGTGGATGCGCACCGGGCGCTTTTGTCACTGGCTCTCAGGGGGGAGGGGGGGGGAGTGGGAGAAAAGTTGGGGGATAGGGGGAGATAGAGATAGAGATAGTTTGTAGAAGGGGAGGGAGTGGGCCGGCATGTAACGCGCGCGAACACTTTTCCTCGACCTGCGATTGGTCTGTCGTTGCGGTTGTTTTCCAACGCAGCGGAGGGACGCACGCACGTGAACGACATGTGTGTGCGTCCCACCGTCGCTATGGCAACTGAAGCCTCTCTCTTCGCTTCATCGAGCAACCTCCTTGCCCCGCGAGTGCCGCTCGGCTCGCGCCGTTATCTAGTGTCGGACAGGGAAGCATGCTCTCTGCGTCAATCGATCGGCGCGGTCGCCGGGCTGTTCTGAAAACCGCACTATAACCGGTATTTCCCTTCGCGCGCCTGCATTTTAAGTGGTATGTAATTACATGGAGTTCTATGGGAGGCGAACCGGTGGTTTAAAAAAGCAGCGTTATACCCGGTCCTGCACTATAAGCGGTTACGTTGTAAGTGGTCTATACATACAGTATTTTTCGGACTATTTATTTTGAATCCGGTTTATAGTCTGTCTGAAAAATAACTTTCCCCTGAATAATAACGTTCCCCCAGTGTACTCCCGGCACATACTCAGCACGTAAAAAATTTGCATACACAGTGCGCTGAGAAAAATCCCTGCTTTATTAAAGCACAAGCAGCTTGTATCTTACAGAAATCATCATCGACATAATCTGTCATTCACAAAATTCGTTGCATCTCGTCACAATTAATGATCTTAATTAATTATTTATTCATCGATTACTAATTTCTGTATAGTTCACACTTGTAGGCACCCAATCTGCACCGTTTAAACTTGAACTTTTAAACATGTACATTTTGTGGGCTATAGTCAGAAAAACACGGTAACTTGCCCTCGGCTGATCGATTGATGATTGCTACAGGACATGCTGAACAGGGCCAAGGAGAACCACGACCAGCACGAACAGTACAGGGCGGCCGCAGAAGCTGCCCGCAACTGGATGGAGACCACGGCGGCCGCCGTGTCTCAGTGCTCGGGGGCTGCCAGTGGCAAGAATGAGGTCGAGAGCCAATTGGCCAAGGTTCAGGTGAGGGCCAAATCTATGGATTTTTTTTTTTGTATCTTTCACTTCGAGAAAACTAGATGTCATGAACTGGGAGGACTGGAAGCCTGAGCCCGATCACTTGGATATCTTGAGGTGCATAATAATGCGCACATTTCTATGTGCACATTTCTATGTGCACATGTTTCCAAGCTTACAATGCAAAAGCTGTGTTACGGTCTCGGCGTGTGAAATGTCATGCCTGGCATTTTAGTGCAGGTAGCGTTTTTGTGTGGTCATATTTTATCTTCCTCCTGGTTGTTCTCCAGGAACCTTTTCTAGATTGCAGTGATTGGCTACCTATATATGTGTTCTGAAACCTTGATGTCGTCCTAAAGGTCATTCTAGACTTCCTTTAGTAGGTCGTCCTAGACGTCGTCCTCGAGGTGGTCCTAGAGATCATCCTTAAGATCACCCAGAGGTCGTTTTGGACGTCTTCCTAGAGGTCGTCCTTGAAATTGTCCTAGAGGTCGTCCTAGAGGTCATCTCAGACGTCGTCTTTAATATTGTCCTCTGGGACGACGTCGTCCTTGAGGTTGTCCTAGACGAATGCTATATTGCATTTCATAGACAACCAGCAATAGTGGTTTCTGCAGCTTTTTCTCATCTGCTGGTTTGCTCGTTTGCTTGCTTCAATGTGATGCACTCCTGTCTGATTGAAACGGCGATAGACGCCACTCCAGCAACCGTCCTCTGCGGCATGGGCAGTTCACGCGACTTTCAAGCATGACTGGGCGAAGCGTTAAACCCCCCCTTCCTTTCTCATTTCTTGTTCCACCCACACATAGTTCTACGGAAATTTATGCAGCATAGCACACCTATGCACTGACCAGTTTTTGTTGTTATTGGGAGTTTCTGACTCTTAACTCTCGGTAGTAAATGCAGGGCATGGTGAATCCCAAACATCATATTACCACTTTGAAACCAATGATGTTTTGGCATTTGTTGATTAGGACACCGAAGAACGAAGCATGAACACGATATGCCGCGCCCTGTCCCTGTATAAAGACCGACAAGCAAGCAGTAAGGTGGAAACCCCCCCCCCCGGATTTCTCCTTTCTCTTCCAGAAAGGAGGAAACCCTTTCTGCTCTCTGCAGGGAGTAGCTCCCTGACCTGGGGAAGGATTCCCTTCTTAGCAGAAGGCCCTACCTGCATGTCGGTCTTTAAGCCGACAGTGGCTAAAGCGGATTTCTTCGTGAGACATCGCAAAAAACAATCCGGAGGACTCTGTAAGCCTCGACAACATTAAAATCAGAAACTTCGAAAGGTTCAGCATTGCCAAGATTGTAGGCTAGGCTGGTCTACAGCTAAACCTCGTTATAACAAAGTGGGATATAACAAGCTAATGGATATAACAAAGCAATCATAATTCCCCTTGCTTGCTAATAGTGGGAAATGGACGTTGGCTATAACAAACTAATGGTTATAACGAAATAATTACGACCGCTCCTTGAACTTTGTTATAACGAGGTTTTACTGTATTTTTTTTTTCCCCCATTGTTTTTTTTAATAGTTTACACGGAGAAATGTTGTGCATACGACAGGGCATGGTGCGCAAGCAGGAGGAGGGCCACGCCCTGCTGCACACAGCCCTCACCTCCGGGGAGAAGGCCCTGCGGGGCACCCACAGTTCGGGCAAGGGCCCCCTCAGCCAGGAGTTGCAGGAGCTGCAGAAGCAGTGGGACCGCCTGGTGCTCAAGCTTTCGGACGCCAAGGTGGGCCCCCTTCCAACTTTCAGATTTCGCTCTGTGAACGGGAGGTGCCTCGGCTGGCCGCTACGCCTCGTTTCACTGCCACCAGGCAAAGAGCGAACGGTACGGCCCCTTCGAGCCAATCGGAGCGACGGAGGCGAAGCAGGTGACGGCCCTCGTCGGAAGTACAGGGTTGAGAGCGTAGCCCAAGCAGCTGGAGAGGAGGGGAAAGAGGAACTTCCCTCTTGCCCGGACCCTCTTTTGTGCGTCTCAGACGCACAAAAGAGGGTCGAAATTCGTACAAAAGTGGGTTTCCTCTCTTTCCCGTCTGTGACTTCGACAGCGCTGCCCAAACTGTAGTCCGTTGCGACTCAAGAACACAAGAAGATGGAGTCCTTTCCTCTTTCCACATTAGCAGAGCGAATGTTGGAGAGGAGAGCAGACTCTAGAGTTTGCTGTTTAAATGTGGAAAGAGGGAAGGGCTTCGTCTCCTCTTCTTCTTGAGTTGCAACATACTATAGTGAGTGGCTTTCCTCTTTCCTGCGTGTGACGTGACTGCACTGCCCAAACTAGTAAGATAGAGTATAGTCAAGTGTCTTTCTCCAACGCGCTCGTTGGCTCGAAGGGGCTATAGGTTTCGCTCCTTGCTAAGTTACAGTGAAACGAAGCATACTCAGCACGGCAGGAGGCCAAGAAGGGTTACATTCCAGAGGATGTGCCATCGAACAGTTGGACATGTGCGCAGCATCACAGTTTTGGTAGGGCATTTGGACGTTCAAGCTAGGGATCTGGTCTCACAATCGCGGTCACGGACCGTCTCAGAGTTCCGAGAATTCGGCATAAGATGGCACCAACCGTCCAACCAAACCACACTGCCCAGTGGGTATACGGCCCGTAATGGTCGCCGATCGGCAGCGTGTGATTGTCGTCGTGACCGAGGGGGTTGCCTAGGCAACGGCAGTGAAGACTCTAACGTCGTCGCGCTGTAATGCGATGCCGCACGCTGGTGGCGGCGTGCGAACCATAGGACAGGGCGAATTTGCTCGGCTGCACAGCATGTGTGATGTCATAGCACTGGAATGCTGCACAGCGCAATGATGGCGATGCATGATTCACGTGAATCGGCAGGACTCTGAGTGCGCAGCTGGCGCGACGTCATTGCTCCACATGCTGCATAGTGCTGTGATGGTGGCACACGCTTTGCATAAACGGGCAGGAATTTGTTTGTGCAATTGCGCAGCTGGTTTGACATCATCACTCTAGAATGCAATACAAACTATTCGAATAGCTATTTCTGGGTTGAGTTGAATGTCATAATGCCATTGATGACTATGCATCATTCTGTAGTGTTATCTGAGAGTCTTTTCTTCAAACTTTGGTAAAGACTATAAAAAGTTAAAAATGACTACGGCTACTGCAGGAGCATCTACAGTGCATTCCTAGAATTACGAAAATATGATCCAGTGTCATCTAGTAAGCTCAGAGACAGAAAATGAGTGGAACATGGTAATCGTGTGTTTTGAAGGATACTTCTTCGTCTGCTTTGTTTCATTGCAGGTTTCACTGGAGACGGCCCTGCTCCAATGGACAGACTACAGCTCATCTGAGAAGCGCCTACTCCAGTGGATCGAGGACCACGACCACCAGCTGGAGGAAGTGAAAAAGCCCAAGCAGTCTACATCGGTCAAGGAGTCCGTGGCTCAGCGAAAGGCCAGGCTGAGGAGGGCCAACGTAAGCACCCTGCTGCCTTTGCACCGGTAGATTCACTTTGCGGCCACACATACCGACTTGCAGTAAACGCCCGAGCGAAAATTAGTGGAGCTGGAGCTGGATTATGGAAGCGGCCCTGGCTCGATCTGGCTGGAACTATCATAAAATTTCATAAGGATGCTTTCCCCCGAGAGATTGCCCTTCCCGTTTTTCTGGCTACATATCCTTAACATAAACATTTTAAAACATTGCCCACCGTGTGATATCGCAGATTACGTGGTTGATGTGATTCTCATTCCCGTCGGACATCGCACGAGGCCGGTACCGCAGATTCTGCCTCAACTGCGCAATCTGCGGTACCAGTGCGTGTGAGAAATGAGTTTGCAGCGAATTTCCACGTTTTTGCCCGCGACCTGCGCGAGCAATATCGGTTTTCGTGGCACGGAAGTTTGTGGCCAGTTCCCGAATGTTTTTGCACCGTGAAACACGAATCTGCTGCATCCGCAGCCTGCAGTATCCTTTCCCGTGACACAGGAGTTCGTAGCGAGTTCCCGCATGCTCATTGCATTTCCAAACACGAATTCGCCATGTTTGCGATTTGCGATATCAGTTTCCGTGTCACATAGTTTGTGGGGGGTTGCCCCTGTGTTTATCATTAACTTTTGTTTTGCTGTTTTGTCCCCCAGAAATAGCCCACCTCATGTTTTCACCATTTATATCTTAATTTTGTGTCGGTGGCCTTACGAGATTTTATGGTAGTTGCATGAGCCAGCTCCTGTCGGGGTGATTTTTATTGCGGTACCCGTGCATGACTTACAGCAGTGCTTCTCCAATGGGGCTCTGCAGACCCGCTGGGGTCTGCGAACACCTCACCTCAACCATCAACTCCCCCTCCCACTCTTTTCTTGAAGAAGAAAAAAAGTTTTCTGTTATACTGGCTAGGTGGCGCAAGCTAACACCCGTTGGAAAGGGTAGAGCCGTTACCATCTATGTGTCCATTTATCCTTTTACTTCATGCTTCTCACTTCTTTCTATAAGACTAAAGGATACCGTTTTCACACTGCAGCGAGTTGTCTTATTTTATAACCCCTCTTCGACATCCCACCCTGGCATGAGGTCCCCCATCACTTTGGGGGTCCCCGACACATCCATGCTTGAGAACCACTGAGTTATAGAAAGTTAAAATTACTCTCACAAAAGTTCAAGGAAGTGTGGCGTCGACGGTGCTCACACAATTTATTTCTCGACTGACGCACGTCTGCTCTTTCTTTTTCAGAGCTTAGTACAAGACGTCGAATCGTTCGAACCGATGATAGAATCCCTGACCATCAAGGCACAGGAACTGCAGCAGACGGCGGCTGCCCCGTGCCCCGAGATTTCACAGAAGTACAGCTCTCTTGCGGGTTCCGTTAAGGTACGCGCCTTTTCCCGAACCGCTCTCGCGCCGACCAAAGCTGCGGTCACCGACGGAATAAGAACAGTAGGGAGGTCCTTCAGTTGTAACACCTCCGGCGTAAGCTCCCTCTCTTTGATGACGTTTTGGCGTGCTGGGGGTCGAGCATTAGAAGGTGATGCCCCGTCCTTCTCACTCTGTCGGTGACTAGTGTGGAAGAAGGCAAAGCATTTAACGTGGCGCGTCTACGAATGATTTTGGTGTGCAGGAATTCTTGAGGCATCAGAAGTCTGTGATGGGTCACCTGCAAGAGTTTACGGATGCCTGCACCAGCCTCACCACCTGGCTCGAGCAGGCCCAGGAGAAACTGAACAAGTGTGCCGAGCCGTCGGGAGACCGCGCCGAGCTCAAGAGCAAGCACGGCATTTTAAAGGTTCGTTGAACTGGGGACAAAGGTAGTTGATCCAAATTTGTTTTTTAGCGTTGGCATTCATTTTACGGCCGGCTGGCTATTTGGATTTATGAAACCTTGCTTTATAACGAGTGTTCACTGGATGTTGTATTCAAGTGTGTCGTCCATAGTATGTACCTAGAATGAGCTCACATGTATTGTCTGCTATGGATGGTAATGTTGTCGGTGTGGGACGCGCACTGCAGAAGCTTTGCAGACGTGTCGCAGAAAGAAGCATGTGCTCAGATAAGTGCAACATCATTCTCAACTGTTCATGATATGGAATAGTTCATATAGCGAGGTATGCCTGGTTTCGAGCCATTCCCTTGCCACAATAAGTTCCCACAGTCTACTTTTAAAACATTTGATATAGGATATGACATATCAAATGCCCTCCCCAACACACCTCCTAGCCCATCGAGCTGACTGAGGTGCTCCTTTGCATCAATTGCTTCTCCAAGAAGCTGGTGCAAAGATATTGGGTTTTATGCTTGTGCGCCGGAGCAAAGTGGTGAAGCTTGACGCGGGGATGCCGCCGCAATGTAGGCTTGACGAGAGCGATGCGGCTGCTTTAAAAACGAGGGGTTCCGCCAGACCCCTATACTGTTCCGTCGGATCAAACAAGGACCTACCCTACCATGTGCCCCTTCCGCTTTTCTTCTCTCACACCTAACGAGCACCCACCCCTATTTTTTGTGGTTATCTCCATCTTTTGCGTGGGCACCTGCTTTGTATTTTACGACAGGTTAAAGCTACAACTTCGAGAAACGAAATGTGGAGTGCAAATTACCCAGGAGAAAATCGAATGACATTGCAGGTCTTGGAAGGAGAACAGGAGGAGGGCCAGAAGCGCCTGCAGCTGGTGCTCGCGCTGGCCGAGACGGCCCGCGGATTCCTGGAGGACAGTCAAGAGCGGGAACACGTGGACGAAGAGGCTGGACGACTCGTCAGCGCCGTGGAGGACTTCGAGAGCCGCATGTCCCAGGTTAGAGCGGCAAAGCGCATCCTCTCATGGTCACTGGCAGGACGAGAATGGTAGAAAGTTTTTTTTTAGTTGTCCCAGCACGAGCTTCTCAGCTTCAACGACGTTACGGCATCTCGCGAACTCCGAGCGCTCATGCGCAGGCAAAGCACTATGGAAGGCAACAGGCGCACGATAGAGGCCGGGCATTCGAAAGAGATGCCCTGCCGTGACACGGACTGACCCCTGGTGACACGAAACGACTTCGTCCCAGGTGAAATCCCTGCTGGACGTTGGGCTGGTCAAGTGGGACGAGTACGAGGAGCAGTTCCAGCGCTGCCAGGACTGGCTGAACAAGCACGAGCCTCAGGTGCGCTCGTTCCAGCAGCTCCAGCCGGACCTGGAGGCCAAGAGGGTCAAGCTGGAGGAGTTCCAGGTGCGTCTGCGTCAGTTGTCACTCAAACAAGGCCCTTGCGCATGCGTCATATTTATTCTTTTATTTAGCGCACTAGTATTACTCCAAGTGAAGGACTTCTATAGGTACAGTAATTACAATCGCACTTTGAGAAGCAAGACGTGTAAAAAAAATAAGATAATAACGGCAGACGGAGCATACGTGAAGACAAAAAGGAGTGTCTAAAGTACAAAAAGATATAAATTACCATGTACAATAGTTATCCTGCATCTGCATGGGATAAAAATAACTTGGAATCATGGTGTAAAATATTATCCAGTTATACATTTCATTCTCACACTGCATGAAAAAAAAAAAAAAAAAGAAACCTTAAAACAATCTTTTTTACACATAAATTTTTGTGGGTAATGAGAGTGCTTGTTGCGAGCAATACACGGTTGATGAAAAGTTAAGTACCTTGATCGGTCAACGAGCAGGAATCAGAAAGTATCGTTATCAAGTGTCGTTCATTGGAGGTATTGGAACGATTAACCATACTGAAACCGTCTATCGTCAAAGGTCACTGACGGTGGTCCGTAACGCCCTCCGTCCCATATCCGTTGCAGGTGCTGCTCCAGACGGTGTTTGAGTGGCAGTCCGAGTTCGACACGCTGAACCTGAAGGCCCAGCTACTGCTGGAGACGTACTCGGACTCGAGCATCTGCAACCTGTTCACCCAGCTGTCTGCGCGCTACACGAGCCTGCTGTCGCTGGCGAAGGAGGTGCTGCACGCCCTGGAGCAGCACTTCCAGGAGCACCAGCAGCAGCAGTGCATGTACGCCGAGGTCTCGGAGCTGCTCGAGGGGGCCCAGGAGCGCCTGCACGAGCTCCAGAAGCCCTCGGCCACCCTGGAGGAGGCCGAGTCGAGGCTCAGGGGTCTCGACCTGCTCTGGGCCACGCTGCAGCAGGGACGCAACAAGGTCCGCATTTGTTTCCTCGTTTCGGCGAGACCTCGGTTTATTAGTTTTCACTGCCTTATGTTTGCCATATGTTTGTTCTTTGAGGTAGTTAAGCTTGATAATTCAGCTATTTGCAAACTTCGCTCTTTCGAGGAACCCATATAGGCCGTGACTGGCAGCCAAGGAATCTCTTCCGCTCTCGACATTGATGCGATGAAGCGGTTCAGGAGCCTACAAAGCTTGCGAACGATAATGAACATCCCAAGCAGCACAGACTTGGCCAGGCATTGGCCGATGGCTGGCAATGGTCTTTTAGCCAGTGGCCAGACAGTGGCCAGAGATTGGGCAATGACTGGCCTTTCCCTGGCCATTGGCCATTAGCCACTGGCCGTCAGCCATCAGCCAAGCATTGGCCAATGAATGGCCACTCTTTGGCCACTGGCCACAAGACCATTCTCAGCCATTGGCCATTGCTTGGCCAAAATCCGTGCTGCTTGGGATCCTAGAGGATGCTTGACTCATAGTTATACATCGATGGGTGGCTTAGATCTTCTAAAATGGTGCTTAAACCGAGAGAACACTTTACTTGGGGGCCAGGACGGTGGAGAAAAGTTTTGAGCTCGGGGGAACCCACGAAGGCACTCTGGGGTAATCCTGGGTTCCAAGAACCCAGGGGTGTCCTCAAGTACCCGCTCCCTGATCTCCCAAATATTTTTTCAACCATTCCTGGCACCAAGTAGAGCATTTTTCCAAATGCTAGCGCATCACTAAATGGCTGATATTTTCTAAAACTATCGCAGTCAAACTGGAAGTCTTTACATAGGGACAGGAACAGCCGAGAAAATCTGGGAACTGAGGAGAATTCCTAAAAGTGTACTCTGGGGAATCTCTAGCTTGGTTTTTAGGAACCCATTCTGAGAACAATGTAACGAAACCAATTTCGATTCTGACACTGCGGTCGCCGACGGCAGTCTAAAAACATTTGCATCCCCCTTCCCAGGTGTCGTACATGACAGAGCTGACCGAGAAGGTCATCGAGAACACCTCGGCCGAGGGCGTCAAGACGATCCGCGAGAGCGCCGACAACACGAGCGCCGAGTTTGACAGGCTCCTCAATGAAGTGGCCGCCGCCCGCTCCAAACTCTCGGAACAGCTCTCTGCCCTTGGAGAGCTCTCCCAAGAGTTCCAGCAGTTCAGGTCATGGCTGAACGAAGCCCAGTCGCAGCTGGCCGAATCCAAAGCCGGCAGGGAACGCGCTTCCGGCACGATGGAGAAGAGAGCACTCCTGGAAAAGACCAAAGCAATCGCATCCGACGCTGCAACGCGCGCCGACGCCGCCGACCGTCTAGAGAAACGGCTAGCCGACACTCCGCAGCTTGCGACGCAGGAGCGCCGCGAGGCGCTCACCCAGTTTCGCGAGCTGCGGAAGTCTGCCGATGATGCGGTCCGGGAACTAGAGGCGGAGCTGGAATCACTGGACCGTCAACGGGCCGTCCAATCGCAAGCCGCGCAGTGGCTGAAGGAGGCCAAGCTGAAGCTGCAGAAGTGCGCAGACGGCACGGGGAGCCAGGCCGTGGTGCGGGAGAAGGCCGCACAGCTGAAGAAGCTGAAGGACGGCGCCGAAGCGGGCGTCGCGCTGCTGGAAGAGGCGACGCGACTGACGGAGCAGGCAGCGCCTTGCCTGAACCAGGCGGGAAGGGAGCGGCTGCAGGCGGGGCTGCTGGAGTTGCACGAGGACCGGGAGCAGCTGGAGCGGGGCATGCGGGACGCGCAGGAGGCGCTCGACGAGTGCCTGGCCTGCTGGGACCGCTTCGGCGAGCTCTACAACAACATGGCCCAGTGGCTGGCGGCATTTGAGAGCAACGCCAAGCCGGTGTTGGCGTCGACCGCGCTCGACGGGGCCCAGCTGAAGAGTCTGAAGGCGAGACCTTTTTTGTTTCTCTTTCTATAAGCCTTTTGCAGTGCACTTGGTGGGGGGGGAGAGTTGAAAAATTCTGTAGTGCACAAACCTGTGACTGTCCATAAAGGCCGGTTTGCTGGCATATTGCGGCACTAAGATAACGCAAAGCCAGTGCTGCATCAGGGCTGGTGTCAGTGCTGGGTTAACACCGATTCAGTGCTTAGTTAGCACTGCATTGTGAGTGTAAATAGGAAAAGACCATGTCCTGTGCAGTGGAGTACCATTACAATACTGATATAGCACGAAGTCAGTGCAGTCTTTATAGCACTGTATGTGTAAACAGGCCTTAAGATGCACGTTTTTGTAATGCCTAAGTACACCGCAGTAAGGCTGCAAAATAAGGGACAGGCCGCTTTTTGGGCATTCATTGGATGGTGCAAGCCTCCGGCTAACCACAGATTTTTGACGTAGCTTTTACAAAATATTTTTGAAACATATTTAGTAGGTGTGCCTCTTACATTAATGCAAAGGTTTGCAATTATCTGTATTGCAATCTCTTTAACAATGTTTTACTCTAAATGTTGGCTGCCTCTAGCTATGGGTATAGCATGTAGCTATCCAACAAGGACCTCACATCAACCTGTTGTTTAAAAATCATTAGGCAGGGGAATAAGGAACAGGAAATGATTGTTGGAAACATAGATTAGACAAATTTCAACATTTAGTCCTGAGTCTCTTACAATGATTTCTCTGCAGGCCCTTCTGGAGGAGGCGTCTTTCCACAAGCCCGATATGGAGGAATTGAACGAGCAGTGCGAGCGGCTCTTGCTCGTCAGCGCGCAGACCTCCGTGCGAGATCAAGCCGTCAAGTTGTCCACAACGTATGCATCTTTGGTTGCAGCACTCCAGGTGAGCTGTTACTTGTTGCCAAGCATCGCTCTGGTTCTAGCCTCTTAGCACAGAATGTGGTACATCGCTAGGTAATTAATGGGAAAAGCGACGCGTTACACTCGAGTTTGATTGACACACAGGTCAAGGTCATATGAGCAATATAGCCACATAGAAGCATCATTTACATTTCCTGCTAAATAGTCGCCAACCGATTTTTCGGACTTCGAGGGGGCTGAAGAAAAGTCTGAATAATAAATCAATCCGAAAAATCTGCAGATTACAAAAACTCGGCTTTATTGAGCCTAAGCGGGCTTTAGACAAGTAGCTAGGAATACCTTGTGTCATGTTACGCTTGCAGGCGATCATGTCCACTTGCATTCGCATCAGTGTCATGTCCTCACCCAACGGAAGTGCAAGAGGAGACCATGAGGTCCAAAGCACGTATCGACGCTGGGCAAAATGACGAAACTGCGAGACATTTAGGTACAAAGTTTAGAAGCTGTCAACAGAGCACTCTACACTTAATGGGTGGCGGCTGGCACGAAAGCAGAACAAAAAGTTGGTTGGAGAGGGAAAATCGACCAAAGAAAGAAAGCAAGACAATGATAATGATGCGTAGCGAAAAAAAAAAAAAAAAAAGCTTAGCATAGCACGCCTAGCAGCTGGTTCGGCAGCGCTAAAGGAGAGCTGTCTAACCTATCCAACTTAACCAATCCATCTGAGACATCAAGCTAAGCCAACGGTCAAGCCAGCAAAAAGTCCAAGCTAGCAGCCTCTCAGCGGCCGCCATTCGTAACTATTTTAATCCGATATATTGAACTGTAGAGCTGTGAACTGTCTGGAAAATTGGTTGTTAATATGTACTATTTCACTTGGGTGAGTCACGGTTCCTCGTCGATGTCCGAAATAACAAGCAAGTCCAAATTTTCGACGCCCAAAAAATCAGTCGGGGACTGAATAGCGGAAAAATCAGGACGTCACTAACATGGCGAATTCCACCCGTAGATTTGGAGCACTTCAGAAGCGCCCTTTTTGGAGCGAGCATCTTCCGCTGGCAGATCTGGCTCAAGTTGGTCAACTTCCACACTTAGATTTGTCGCAGCACCTGCCTCGTAAAGCGCCTTCGACCCCGCTGAACTTGATCTGTGGGATTTGAGGGAGCTTGGCGGAAGTTGACCGGGCACAGCACATGCCCGGCTCATTCACCACACATTTTCTGTGTCCCCAAGGTCATCAGACGTGATTGAGACGTGCTTTGATTGCTCATACCCGCAGGACTCAATTGCCAGGCTACAGAGAAGCCTAGGCAGCCAGGAAGAGTTTGACAAGGCCAAGCAGGGCTTTGTCCACTGGTTGGAAGAAGCCCAGCGGTCCCTAAACTCTGCCAGGGAGCCCGGTGGAGATCTGGTGACTGTTCAGGAACACCTGGCGGAGCTAAAGGTAAGAAAATCACTTTCTTCGTTAACGCCGCCACTACCAGGCTCTTATAGCAAATAATAACGAGGCAAAATATGCCTTGTCAAATTACTTATAAAATATATAGTTTCATGCGAATATTCGAATTTTCGAATAATACGCTATTCGATATTCACTTCAAGATGAACTGTGATGTTGGTATTTTCCAAAGTGTTGATTGTGGTGCGTCAACCCCGTTGAGCATGCTTCTTACCGAGCACCGGTGCAATGCGGAGAAACAATACTCGTAAAGCTGACTTTTGCGGGTGTGGCTTCTCCACAGCGCACTGGTGCACCGTATGAAGCACACTCAAAGGAGCTAACCCGCTGCACTCAATACTTAAAAAAGTATGAATATCACTGCTGTGTGCTTAAGAAAGCTAATTTCCAAAACAGGATGGTGCACGCACGCACCAGACGTGTTTCAAAAGACAGAAATTTTATTAATATTGATGTCTACGTTGCAGTAGAAGTGTTTTTTTTTCTTTTAATTAAATTGACACATTTAAGTATATGTTAGGCAGAGATGTCCTGACAACCTGTGTTAATCATACGTTATTCAAGAAAAGATATTTTGCTTATAGCAAGAATATTTATAAATTCCCTAATTAGGCATAGCTGGACGTCTCTATAGGTCTAATTTTATGTCAAATGCATCGTTACTTGCCATCCGAACGTAGCCGTTGGACTTTCTAAGGTCACAGTCAATAAATATACTAGTTAGATCAAAATTAACTCTTCGTAGAAATGGACAAGGAGAAGCTTGGCAACAACCTTCACAAGTTCAGCTATGTTTTCGTTTAATTAAGCAGTAGTGAAGGGGTGACGTACCTCATCGCTGGTTATTGCGGTTACGACTCGCTAGCAAGCAATCTTGCTAAAAAAAACTATTCTCTCACTAACTCGCACACAGCGGTATCGCTGGTATAGCCAAGCTTCGCCGTCATCCCGTGTCCCCTTGTTTTCCCCCGTTTTCCCCCGATTCCTTTTGCTCCCGCACCGCAGCCGCTGCGCCATCTCTCAGGCTCAGCACAAAATGGCTACAGCGGTCGCCCATGCAATCCAATGGGTGCAGCCCACGTCACATGCACACAGCATCTGTGCGCTTCCCCTAACAAAGGCTTAGAGAAACCACTCGATATTCAATTCGAAAATATTGGCGAAAACCACTATTAGCTTTGAATTTGCTTCGAACACAAAATTCACTTATTCGCTAATAACAAAAACAAAAGTGAAAGAGTTTTTTTTTGTTTCATAGAAAATATATTCAGGCAGATTAATTCGAAAAATTGTAAAATTCATCTTCTAAATTCAAGTAAAAATCGGGTTTAACCCATTTTCAGAAAACATGTCTGTTGTGCAAATACTTGGAAATATTGGGTTTTACCCTAAAACAGGGGGCCCTAAGTATAACCTAGGACATTACTCGCAAGAGGTCTCATCCAGTAGCTGTTGTGGCCTGAAATATTTTTCTTCCCAATCTTCTCACTCCGGCGATCTTGGCCGAATTTTCACAAAATGCTTACCCTGACACTACTCTTTCCTTTCACAAGTTTGCAACCGGCTTGTACTTTTTTTGTTGCACTTAGTTTCAGCGGATGTTTCACGTACCTTAACCTTTTTTCAGAAACTGCATCTAAGTCTTCCCGAGGGCAAACAGCTCCTAGATGCCGCCACAGAGGCTGCCAGCCGCACGTTGGGCGACCTGTCCGACGTCAGCCAGGCCCCCATCCGAGCACAGGTATGCACATTGTTGTCTGCCTTCGGTCTTTTCAGACCTCGTGATAAACTACTTCAAGATGAAAGCTGTGTCGTTTGTTTGTCGTCCATGTCCCTCTTTCTTTATCGTAAATGTGAATTCGAGTAGCGCATAAAATGCACAAAGATGTCTCACTTCATCTTTCTCATTACGTTTTCTTGTCAACTTAAGGTTTAATCTTTGACAGGTGCATTTTTTTAATTTCGAATTTTACGTTGAGGGTTTAGAATTCGTGGATGCATTCGCTTGTTCGCACTCCGCAAGAATACTCAACGTTATGCAACGAACAAAGGTGCGCTTCCAACATCGCCAACTTGAAGGGACTCTGTTGGAACATTGAAACTGGTTCACACATTTTCATTTGGGCGCGATCGAATGCATTACGACGGCTTGCAACCGCTTCCGACGAGAGAAGACACCGATGCCATTCCCCAAGTACCCCGGAACATTTGTGATCTGCATAATTTTTTAATTACGCATTATTCTTTCATCACGGGCTTTAGAAAATTCGAACTATGTTATAGGTCACCATTTCTCATAGACAATGCGTAGGTTTCTTTCGTTGTAAGTAGTCACAAGTGCTAGCGATGCGCTCGGTCGTGTTCAAACACCAATGTATGAGCCAGTTTCTGCTCTACTATATTCGTATCTGGTCTCGATTATCGTGTTCCAAAGGCTGGGTCACACTTAGCTTGTTCAATTCATTTTCACCAAGCTACAGCAATGCAGAAAAGTGCAGGGCGGTATACTTCTGGTTCGTGTTTTGAGATAGGCTGCACTCCTAAATCAAACGCGACAGTGTACGTCTGCTGCAGCTGGTACAGGAGGGGCGGATAAATCGAACGTAGCAGACGTCCAGAGATCGAGGAGATTCTTTACTCTTGTCCTACCTACGGACAGAGTCGAGAGATTTATTTCAGTTTCTATCGGCTCCCTCTGACGAACCTCGTCGACGCAGGTGGACGCTCTGCGAGACCAGCTGACGGCCTTGGGCCAGCAGACGAGTGAAGCCACCGGACGACTGGCCTCCCTGCAGTCTCGGTGGCAGGAGCTCATCAACGGCACGAATGCCCTGAGGTCTTCGCTGCAGAATTCCCAGGAAACGCTCAAGGAGAAGCCGGTGTCCGGCGGAGACCTCGTCCGCATCCGCTCTCTTCTCGAGCAGTATAAGGTGAGGGGCACTGAGCCTGCGGTCACGTTCTGATGCAGGATGGGTTTAATTTACGGCCGGGATCTCTGGGGAAAGTGCAACGGAAATGCCATGAAAAACTGTCACGAAAATAGAATACGTCACGTGACGTAACAGTGTCATGTGACATCATGGTGTAACGTGACAATATGGTGTCACGTGACATCACAATGTCGCATTATGAATGTCAGGTCCATGACATCACATAACACTGGGATGTCATCAGTGTGACTTCACCATTGAGGCTACATCCACCGGGCAGGAAAGCACTAAGAGCTGGCCTTATTAATGCTATGCACTTAAAAGCCTATAGCGTTGTGGTGACCCTTCTTACACTTTCCAACAGCACACTGCACGTGACTTGGAAGAACAGAGTCACAAGTTGCAAGAACTTCGCATTGAGGCCTCGGAACTGGCGGAGAAAACGGGCGGTAAAGACGTCTCTCCAGGGTTGCAAGAAATGGCCGATCAACTGACATCGCTACAAAAGAAATGCCAGGTAGGTCTGCCATGAACTGATGGTGTTGCTCCTTAAAACCCCACTTGTAAACACATTGTAAACGATGTAGTTTAGTAAGCAATGTGGTTTCTTTGCATCATTTTGGTGCTAACAGCTCCTGAACTGGAATTTCAGTGGACCCCTGGGTTAATAATGCTGCTTACGAACCATTAGTTAACGTGGTTAATGTCGACTGTGTGCTGCTGCAGGTATGCTCTATCTAGTGCAGTGGTTCTTATATGGGGGTCCGCAGACCCTTTGGGGACCCTAAAGACCTTCTTTGGGTCCCGAAGCCCTCGAATGTCAGTCAAGCCAAACAATAGAACTTTTGATTTATGCAGGCTGTCCTACAAGGGTTAAAAGGCCAAGTCATGTGTGCCAAGCAAGCAGGATTGATTATTTTCTGTTTCAGAACTTTAAAGTTGGTTTGCATGTACTTAGTTCCCTTCATTTACCCTTTTGCTTGTCTAATCATCCAATACTAGAGCAGTGGTTGAGAACCACTGCACTAGTGCCTTTATTCTTCTTTTTGTTTTTGCACCACTCTACTGGCTTTGAGCTGACAAAGTGAATATGTGCAACATCTCGGTCCTAGTTCAGCAATAGTTAAGTTCAGCCACAAAAATTAAAACTTTGCCAATCCAGCCCACTCATGACAGAAGAGATGCATTGTGAAGATGAAGGACGACAATCACTATACTATTACGGGAGGTTTCTGGCACTCATGTCACTGTTCTAATCCAGCCCACCCCACATTTTTTGCCCACTAAATCATGTAAAGCATTGTCTGTTCTACAATGTTTCTGGATTTCCAAAAGTATGCAGTAGCACCCTCTTATGGCTCTTTTCTCTTATGTCACGACGAGAAGTTTTGGGCACAGAATCTGTTTTATCAGCCAATTTGTCTGAAGTTCTGTAACGTTTTAGTGTAACAGCCAGCTGTTATTACACCGAAAAGCGTTGTGCCCTTAGGGAACGGTATAAAAAGACATCAGTCGTCCGGCAAGATTTAAACTCACCACCTCGAGATTTTGAGCCAAGCGCTTTGCCGACTGAGCTATCCAGGCCCGGTGGTTCGGACCCCGCAAAGAGCGAGATCATTTGCGTGGCGCGTGAATGAGCTCGCGCACTTTACACCCTTCCCAGTCATGTAGTGCCATCTCATGGTGCATGTTGGAAATGAAAGCGAATCTTCAGTAGGCGGTGCCATTGAGATGCCCTCCTCTTCCTCTCTTGAAGGCCTATCGCACATTTTCTGCTTGCCAATCTTTGTTAGCATGATCAAGCTTGCGTAACTTTTGTTCACCTTGCCATCACAAGTTGTATTCCTGGCAATGTATCATCCAGCTGTAAAAGACAAGCTTGAGGGTATGTGTGTAAAAAGCATAGTGGAATCACGAAGTCACATCACATTCCCGAATCAACACCATTGGTCGCCCACCTCGCCAATTGCCGGGGGGAGTAAATGAGCTCAATATCAGGTGATCGTTCTCTCCCAGAGCACAGCCTGCTCACGTTTTCTTAGTTGCCCTATCTTTTTCTAATGGTTTCATTATTTTTCCCCCCAGGAAATTCTGGAGTCCCTAGAGGAGGAGCTTCATGAGGCTCAAAGTTACAACAAGGCGCTGCAGGAGACGGAGAAGTGGCTGCTGCAGATGTCCTTCCCGGTCATGGCACAGCACTCCCTGCAGGTCCTCAACAGGCAGCAGACCCAGGAGCAGCTCGACAAGTACAAGGTGGGCCGACATTTTAGCGTGAAACGTTCTACGGCTAGGTGTTCGGCATTTCGTGAAGCCCAGATAAAAGTGAAGCCTGGATAAAAGCTTGGCTGCGAGGCTCGACACTGATTGGGTGTCGGGTGGGGGAGGAGGAGTGAAGTGCCTGACGCTGATTGGTTAAGGGGCAGGTCATGTGACCAAAGGGTTAGGCGAGGAGGAGCCTGGCCACGTGCACACTGAGGGAGAGATGGAGAGTATGGAAGGCTCTGGCAGAGGGGTAGGTGAGGAGGAGCTTGACTACCTGTATGCACTGAGGGAGAGGAGATAGAAAGTACGGAAGGCTCTGGAAGATTGCCTCGTTCATCAGCCAAATTAGTGGTGTATCACTTTATTCTAGGAACAACTATCAAGTGCACATATGGTATGTGTTAAACTATACTGTCGAGACCGGTCATAACGAAGTCAACGGGAATCGGAAATCACTTCGCTATATCCGCTATTTCTTTATAACCGACTTCGGTTATAACGAGGTGCAAAAGGGAACGGGAAATCATGATTGCTTCGCTGTAGCCGCTATTTCGTTATAACCGATTTCGTTATAACCGGTCTTGATAGTAGGATGAAGAGCGCCGTGAACAAAGGTGTCTGGCGTATCGAAACCAGAGTATCGTGAAACGTTTGGGATGCCAGAAAGTTTCATGTGTGCGACACAACTGCCTAACAATTTACGATAAACATTTTTTTCTTGTGCATTTTTGTATTACAAGTACTTTCCTCTACTCTCTCGCCTCCTTTCTTTTGCAACTCCATGAAGTGCACCTTGCAGGAAATCGTCCAGTGGCAATCGGATTTCTGCATTAGCAAGTGTGCTTTCTCTTCGCTATAGTACACCGATGCATTGCAGGAAAGCAGCTAGCTTCGTGTGGGTTTTCGTGCTACACAGTTTGCATTTATGCGATGCACTTGTACTCAGCAACGCGGCACGCTTACTGGAATAAAACTCGGTGTACTGCCTGTAGAATCAAAACAACTGCTTTCAAGACTACACTTGAAACGTTGAAACCTTTTAAGGCAAATGCCGAAGAGCTCTTGAGCCGAATAAATATTTGCAATGTCTAAAATCTCCCCCAACTTCACAAGGGAAAATCATGGGTTAGTTCGAACAACATTATCAACTTGAAATAAAAAGCGTGAGAGGCAAAACAAGACAAATCACGGGATAGACAAACAAAGCATTTCTTCGTGTTATGTAAGTATTAAATACATTCAGGTTACATTTTTCTTTGTCACAGTGCTCCCTACACTTTCAACCGATCAGTCGAGCTATATTTTGCTTCCTAGTGGTGCCTTCACCACTTTCAATGTACGACTCAGTCGACGAGGTTCTGTTTCGCTTCGTCGCGGTACGCCCCCAGGGCATCCTGGCCGAGGTGAAGCAGTACCAGTCCACCCTGGACGAGGTCAAGGCCAAGGGTCGGCGACTGGTGAACCGCTACCGCAAGGACTCTCCCCAGCTGGAGCAGCAGGTCCAGTCGCAGCTGGACAACATCCAGGAGAGCTACGACGCACTCCTCGCAGGGGCCGTCCAGGTCGAGGTGAGCAGACCACGCCCGCGTCACGGTGCCCGGAGCACCTCTCCGACCATTACGTTTACCACAACCCCAAGAGTGACGACATCACGGAAGTGTCATGTCGTTGCCTGCAGCAGTCCTGACGGCATCCCAAGCGGAAATGGCAACTGCGAGAGTTCTGATATTGGCGGCCAACAAACGTTTTATCTTAACAGAGAGTGTGTTTTAGCGTTGCTTTCCAAGCCTAGGGCGTCGTTGAAACTTGCAGAGAAAACTACGATAACGTGGTCAGTTGTCTTTACAAAAGTCTGTGTCCCTCCGTGGGAGTCGATCCACCGACCTCTTGCTGGGTAATTTGACACCCTATTCCCCAAACTGGCAAAGCGACTTTGGTTAGCGAGGCTATGCGAAGAGCAAGTTGTCGGCTTCTTGCGCAGCAGTGGTAGTGACGTCAGAATGACGTCGAACTCAGGTTGGCTTTGATTGAAAGGATAGTAGGTAGACCTCAATGCCTTGAGTTCTACCCACTATTTCTTTCAAGCAGCCTATAAGAGCTCGGCATTATGACATTGGCACAACCCCTGTGCAAGAACCAGACAAAGTTGTGCTCCTCATAGTTGGTATAGACCAACACGCGGCTCCAACGTCGCATCGCCGCGGTGGCGTTTGCTCACACCCAGTGTGGGCAAATACCGGCACGGTTGTAAACAGCACTTTGGCCTATGTGTGTACACTGCGGGACACCGTTAGCGCAAACATTATATTGGTGGGCGTCAAACTTTACCGTTGCTAAGGTTAGTGCCCCGAACGAGCACTTTCCAATGCAGTACGTAATAGCTTTTTTGGCAGCCCTTTGAGGCTTAGGGATAAAAAGAATGCACTGGCAATTGCTTGTTTGTGCCAACAGCACTGCATCGTATACTTGCGTCTTTGCAAACACTTTGTCACCCCAACGGTGGGAGGGGCTCCAGACATGCCACTTGTTATCTGTCTCCCAACCTTCTCTGTAGGACTGAGAGGCTTACATTTAAATTTCTGTCGGACGTCTTCTTCATTACTGCGCGTAAAGGCTGCTAAATTTCTATCTTTATGGCATGCAGGCTCGCCTGGAGAGCGCCCTGCAAAAGTTTGTGAGCTACGAAACGACGCTCGACGTCTGCGACTTGCTGCTGGCCGAGCTGGAGCCCAAGATCGCGCAGTTTGCCGACGACACGCCCAAGACGCCGGAAAGAACCAAGATCAAGCTGGAAACGTGCAAGGTCGGTTTGGTCGAGGCACGGCGTGCGGGTGTACCGTAGCAGATCAACAGAGAAAGGAACTCTAAATGTCTTTCTTGTGTTTTCAGACGAATTTAGTACTTAGAGGAATACTTCGTTTTATACTTATTGTACAATGCTGTCAAAGCTGCTGGTGCAAGCATGGGGCTTGATCTCAATCATTTGCACACATTTTCGCACAAACGAAACCATAGATGAAGCCACGTGCTCGAGCCAGTACCTCTGACAGCGTTTTATATTAATTATAAAATCGATAATAGAGCGGTAAATAAATTTAATCATAAAACCATAAATAGACAATCTCAGAAACCACTTTAGTGCCCCTTAAAACCTGTGGAAATCATGCACCCAGGGAGCAAGTAAAACCGGCTCAATGGCTGACTTCTGATTGGTGTGTGGTAGAACTGCTTAGAACTGCTACAAATCTAAGTTTCAGGCATCTTCAGAGATCAAATATAAGCAATTTTTTTTCTTTAGAAACAATATATTTCTATTTTAGCGAGCTCATGCAGGTCGACTTTTTTGTGGTGCGTCGCAGACTATTCCACAATCCTCCGAAAATTGTCATATTTTTAAGTGAATGCAACACGCTAGCTATTTGTTAGGCAAGAGAAGTGAGATTCCCACAAGAACGCTGTTACAGTGTGGGTTTGTGTCATCTGTGGCCTGATTCAGCTTGCGGTATTTTCTACGTTGCGACGCAGGGTCTGATGTCCCAGCTGGTGAATGCGAGGGTTCAGCTGCAAGAGGCCATCCAGGCATGTGTGGAGGCCGTGTCTTCGGTGAGCAGGCCGTCCAGTCCTGAGCTGGGCACCATGTTCAGCATGCCCGAGCAAGAGGCTAGCATCAAAATTCGGCTCCAGGACAACATTGAACAGGTCAGTCCCTCAACCAGCGCACTTCTCTTCCCCTCTGCTAGCAAAATGGCTGCAGTACTAGCCATGGTTTTGTAAATATCTGGGAACTGAGGTATAGTGGCAAGAATGATATGGTAGTGGTGATTAACTTTAGTAACCCCCTAGGTGGGGCGTTAAAAATCAGTAACCACAGTTCTCTTGATGCACGAAATCAAGAGTCTCGCAGTGGCCTCAAAGCTGCGACAGGGACCGCGATTTTTACAGCAAAGCTGTTAAGGGCTAGTTTCCCCAGTTTCGTGTCTGTGGACAAATAAATCTCGACACATAACTCTAGACAGCTGCCGCCATCTAAGCGGCGACAGCAACCAGACAACTGGCTTGCCGGTTGTCTGGGTGCCGCCGTCGCTCATAGATGGGGGCCACCTTTTCAGACTTTCCACTCTGGTTTTCACCAGACCGGAAAGGCTGAATTTCTCTAGGCGTCGTCCTAGAAGTCGTCCTTGAGGTCGTCCTAGACGTCGTCCCTGAGGTCGTGCCTAGGCATCATCCTTGAGGTCGTCCTTGACGTCGTCCTCCAAGCATTGTTTTTGAGATCGCCCCACCATAGTACAGTTCCGCTGGTCTTCCTTCTTCACCAGAGTGGAAAGGCTGAAAGTTTTTGGAATATGCCTCAATAAATTGGTATTTATTTTAACGAGATGAAGTTGCCGTTTATCTGTTTCGGCTGTACTGCCACGACTCCAGCTGATAAGCTTGGTGGAGAAGTTGCGCAATCAAGAAAGTAGCAGTGCGCAAAGGGAAGCAAATGTCCAGCAGAATAGAGTGCAAAAGTAATGTTCACCTTTATTTGGCTCTTTAAACCATTGTGTTTATATGTAATTGAGGAAGTCACATCCCCTTAATGGACTGTCACATTATTAGCAACCCTGATCCACTTACGCACAAGATATACCAGATATACAGTTGTACTAAACATCAAATGATTGAATTTGGGGCTCGTCTTCTTGCACCCATCCATCTGGTAACATTTGGGGCACATTGATCTGTGTTTATTAGTGGCAGGTATGTGGCCGGGCATGTTAAACCACCGCAGTTCGGTGCTTGTAGGATGAAACCTCGCTCTGCAGAACCTATTCATCCTGGACTTAGTCCCTATCCCTGGTGCTCTCGATCCGGATGAACATCGTACCGGCTTGCAGTCTTGTACCACTACTGCGTTGTGGACGTCAAAGACCTCAGGCTAGCTGCGGTACTGCACCAGCTTAATTTCTTATCTACATTGGAGATGCCCATTAACGCTGAATAACTTCCTGCTGTCTACATGCACAGAATGCAATTTGTTTATTAATGAATGCCCAAGACCAGAAACCCTCGTTATTAACCGTTGCTCTCGAGAGGAAAAGACTGCGATTGCATTGCGAGGGTCTAGGGAGCACAAGGACATAACGGAATGGTAGGGAGCACTCTAAGGACAATGGGGCTAGGCAAACGGGGAATGGGGAAGAACCGGGGGAAGGGCGGGGCAAGAAGGTGTGTGGATAGGAGAATGTGCGTAGAGGCGACAGTTGGGACCGGGAGAATGGGGGGCGAAGTGAAGCCTACGACTTGTTTGAGCACGATCGGGAAACCCAGCGACGTTCACTTCTAGACGAGACCTTGTACGAAGGTAGTGGGGCTTTCTTTGTTCCAGCTGGAAGTGCACGTGAGCCAGCTGGAGGAGCTGCTGCGGGGCTTTGAGGAGGCCGGCCGGCAGAGGACCGCCCTGGAGGACTGGCTGACGGAGAAGCAGTCGGCCGTCTCGCAGCTGGCCGCCTCCCGACTGACCCCTCAGCCGCTGCTGCTGCAGTCCCAGCTCAGGCAGCTGGACGTGAGTCCACCAACACAGTCCTGCACTCTACCTCCCTCCTACACCCTACCTCCCTCCTACGCTCTACCTCCCTGCTACATTCTACCTCCCTGCTACACTCTACCTCCCTCCTACAACCTACCTGCCTCCTACACCCTACCTCCCTCCTACGCTCTACGTCCCTGCTACATTCTACCTCCCTCCTACACTCTACCTCCTGCACTGTACCCCCTGCAAAGCAGTAGAGAGAGCCAATCACTGCAATCTGTGTATGGAGCGCCGGTGAACGACGAGCTTGAAGACGTGTTTAGGCGAAGAAAAAATGAAAGCCGTTTACAACTCCCTGTAACGCCGAATTAGAGCGCAGCTCTTGAGGAGGAGGAGGGAAGGGTACTGGGGGGTGGGTCAAGTGACCTCGGGGGGCGGGGGGGGTCACGTGACCTTGGGGGTCACGTGACCTTGTGGGAGTCACGTGACCTTGGGGCGTCACGTGACGTCGGGGGGTCACGTGACCTGGGGCCACGTGACGATACCGATGACGTCATCAGTAGCGTCACTGATGACGCCATCAGTGATGATGATGACGATGCGGATGCCGGTGACGTCATCAGTGACGTCACTAATGACGTCATCAGTGATGATGACGATGACGATGCGGATGCCGGTGACGTCATCAGTGACGTCACTGACGACGTCATCAGTGCCAATGACGTCAACGGGGGGTCACGTGACCTCGGGGGTATCCCCAGGTCACGTGACCCCAGGGGGGGTCACGACCTGGGTAACCATCGTGACCCTCGTGAGGGTAACCCTAGTAACCCTTGTGAGGGCAACTCTCGTGACCCTCGTGAGGGTAACTCTCGTGACCCTCGTAAGGGTAACTCTCATAACCCTCGTGACCCTCGTGAGGGTAACTAACCCTCGTAACCCTCGTGAGGGTTACGAGGGTGAGTAACCCTCGTGAGGGTAGCTCTCATAACCCTCGTGACCCTCGTGAGGGTAACCCTCGTGAAGGTTACCCTCACGAGGGTTACTAACCCTCGTAACCCTCAAAAGGGTTACCTTCACAAGGGTTACCCTCACGAGGGTTACTTACCCTTGTAACCACGAGGGTTACCCTCACGAGGGTTACTAACCCTCGTAACCCTCGTGAGGGTTACAAGGGTAAGTAACCCTCGTGAGGGTAACCCTCGTGAAGGTAACCCTTTTGAGGGTAACTAACCCTCGTAACCCTCGTGAGGGTTACGAGGGTAAGTAACCCTCGTGGCCCTCGTGATCCTCGTGAGGGTAACCCTCATGAGATTAACCCTCGTAACCCTCACGAGGGTTACGAGGGTTGCGGTTACGCCGACGGCGACGGCGACGGCGACGGCGACGCCGACGCCGACGGCGACGCCGCTCAAGCCGGGAACGGGCCCCTAAGAGCTGCGCTCTAAAAAACAGCCTGCACTGTGACGTTTCACCATGGTCGGTGTCACAGCGCAGACTGTCTATTTTAAGGCCAAAACATATTTTCAGCCTTAATATTCACAATGCTCACTCTATAGATTGCAGCGATTGGCTCTTTTGAGCGCTTTGTGGTAAAGTTGACACTCCAGGTTTTGGAGTGTTCGGATGGCCATAGTACTGGACTTTCATCTATGTTAAACAGATTGGGCACGAGTCAAACGCCAACGTGACACTCGCGTCTAATTTGCACCTCGCAGCAACGTACGACCTCTAGCTTACTCGAATCTACATGCCATGAAGTACTGTAGTTAGTTAGAGCTTTTTACTTAAATCGCTGGCTCCCAGCAGTTTCTGGTAACTCGCAATTAAACGAAAAGATGCAGAAAGAGCCATGTCTCATGGTCGACGCTTCATTTGGAGGGGCAAGGATACGTAGGGCGTAAGTGCGCCAGTGCACCCAATAAAGTGTTTGTCACGGGTCGATGCTCTTCCTCCCTAAATTATAAATTTGTTGCAGTCTCCTAGCCTGCCTAGATGGAAAACAGTGTCATGGCAAAGTCGGTAGATTCGTTGACTGGAGCCACGTGCACACTAAGTGCGGGGGACAAATAAATGAGCTGTTTCGTCTTTCTCGTTTCTATCCCCAAGTTTGCTTCAATCTCAACTTAGAGTTCAAAGACGCGTGAGCAAAGGTTGCTTAGCCACTTTCTCCCCGACCGATCTGAGTGGCCGATGATTGGCCGTCTGATTGCAGGACATAAAGCAAGAGGTTTCTGAAAAGTTGACAGCCGTGGATGCCCTAGAGCTCAAGTCTGGGCTGCCAGGTCCCAGCGAGGCCTCCCTTCGGGATCGGCTGCATCAGCTGGAGGCTCAGGTAAGCACGAAGTGGTCACCTCGTCCCGTGGCTACGGTGCTTGCAACGCGTCTCCGACTGACGTGTCTATTGCATCCTCAAACGTAGTCCCTCGAAATCCACCTAATGATGTTACAGAAATGTCACACTGTTTCCTGCCATGATCCTGGCGGTAGCACGGCAGTGGAAGTGGGTGTGGCAGGTGCCTCTTTTGCCGCAAGTCGCTTCGTTATCGGTAGGGATATTGCGACCCCGCCGAGGTTTGACTTCGACCGAGTTCGACTTTCTCGAACCGTGAACAAAAGTTTGACAAGAGTTCAATCGAAGTTTGACTGTCATGCGCACGCGCTGGGTACGACGGTTACGAGACGCTGAGTCGCCGGCACTACGCCATACTTACCAACACGCCAATGCACCGACAAGTCTGGCAAGTCGTCGCAGATGCGAGCTAAAGAAGCAATGAAAAAAAAAAAAGACGGACTCAAACGGTGATTTTTGACTTGCTCTTGCATGTTGCGCCCATACCCTTTTACGTGTTCGTGGGAAGTGCACTTCCGACGTTGGTTTGCCTCGAGCCGCCGGCGCTCAGCACAAGAAAGTTGTTCCCAGTTGTTTTTTTTTTCAATTTTGTACATCAAAAGCTGGAAGCTGACATCACTATTTTGTGTTGTTTTTGTACAATCGGACGCGCCCTGCACGGTCAATTATACAAAGCTGGCAATGCCTGTCCGGCAAAGTGCATAATACGTTTGTAAATGCCGACAATCGTTTTCTTGTTTACTATGCACGCCCCTGCAACTCCGTTGCCCTTTTGGCACACTGGAAGCGAAAGCATCATAATCTTCCCGACGTACTAACCTTTGAGCAAGTGGAGAAGACGATGAACAAACACAAATCTCCCTGGCCGTTTTAATTTGTGTTGGCATGCTCCTCTTTAATGATTTTACTGAAGCTTTGTAATGGCCAGGTATTTTCTCTTTTATCAAAATAAAGCGGAACAATGTCGCAAATTTGTCAAAATGAAAAATAAAGGGTGATTGAGATACTAAATGTTACAGCCCTACTAATATTTACTTATGTGGAGACTAAACACTGTCTCTTGGGGAAAAACTAAGAAACAGCAAAACCGTGAATTGAATGACTATAGATGTCTGAAAACATACGCACATTGTCTTTGTGTTTCGACAAAATCAAGTTAAATGTCGAACAATCAGTAAACAAAACTCGCCGAAAAAAAGGCTCCTCTTTTTCGAGTATCGACTCAAACATAAGTTAGCACCGATGCAGCGCCGTGTTAGCATAATGTCACTAATAGAATGCAAAACAGCACCGTACCAGCAAGGTCGGCGCTATTTTCAGCGCCGACCAATAGTGCCATGGTAACACTGTGGCGTACGTGCGAACAGGCCTCAATGGTGCCAAGTGTGGGGCTCTTGCTGTTGGGATTTGAATTGGATTGGATTGGATTTCCTCCCCACAGGTTGCTCAGGTGGCCAGCATGAGGACAGCCCAGCTGGAAACCTTGGAAGAGTATGGCTCGCTGGCAAGTCAGGTGGAGACCAGGCTTGCCGCGGTGGAGTCTTCTCTGGAGACGACGCATCGGCCAGCGGTGGCAGATGCCAAGCAGCGCCTGCAGATGCTCAACGTAGGACTTCTCTCTTTTAAAAATCGACTCCGGTCGGAATCAAAATTAAAATAAATGTCTGGTATCGCTTTGGTGGCACGAAATACGATCACTGCCAAAATATTGCATCAAAACGAAGCCTGGCATTCCACTAAAACCGATTTTAACGATGAGACCAGCTGGTCTTTAGCGGGCAGCAAGTGGGTTATCTTTTATTCTAAGAACGCTAAGCGGTGCACCCTTGCGACATCACGTCGCGGTGGACATGCGGTGGACTGGTTGTATACCGCATATCGCAGCACCACGGTGACGACACGACGCGGCCATATGGCTGATGATCGCTGTTGCCGTTCCTCTGGCAGATAGTTTCGGTTGCAGATAGTTTCGGTTTTGCCATAGACGCCGGAAACCAAGCTTCCAGCCGTGATATTTATAAAACTACACGCAATATTGAAAAGAATTTATACCTTGTAATTCAGGGACACAGCTTTAGCTGAAAACAGTTGTAATCCCAAATTGTTAAAAAATATTGACTGGAGTTGCCCTTTAACGTGAGGGCCGGTGCTCTAACGAGGTCTCGTTGCAGGTGTTGCTGGACGAGGTCAATGGCATTGGCGGCAACGTGGCTGAGCTGAGAGGAAAGATGGCCGTGTTGACTAAGTGTCTCGAACCAGCTGACAAGGCCAAGTGTGACGACCAGCTCAAGTATGAACCGGTTATTTGGTGTATTTACACTCGTATTAACATCTGTTTCAACAATAAAAAAAAAATTATTCTAGGGGCAAAGCTCCTTAAGGTTTTGCCTTGTCCAGCGTCCATGCTCACATCGATTGCCATCCCATCTGTCTTCTTAAAAAAAGAAAAAATGTTTGCGCAGTCGGCAGGATTCGAACCTGTGCGGGGAGACCCCAATGGATTTCTAGTCCATCGCCTTAACCACTCGGCCACGACTGCGGGACGAGGGGGGGCTGTGAGATGTGGTAGAAACTCAAGAGCTGGGGTTTCTGTCATGGATGAAACGTTGCATGTAGCCGCTCAACGTCTATACAGGAGAGGGCGCTGCAGTCAAATGCATATATAATCGCGTTAAACTTTGCATGCATTGGCTCAACGTTTATACACGAGAGGGCGCTGCGGTCAAATGCTCAAATGCGTATATAACCACGTTCCATACCACACATTCTCTTTCTGACATGGACCGTTGACTTAAGCGGTGGAGATGCATTCCCACGGCTTCTAGCGGATCCAAGCTGATCCACTAGAAGAACCACTGGTTCTGCATTTCATCGACCATAAAGCAGTAGTAATGGAGTCGAAACGAAACCCGGAACTCAGCACTACCTATGAGCAATAAAAAATAAATCAGCACTACCTATGAACAAAATCAGTATCATCAGCACCACCAGAGCTTCGCCCCAATCAACATCATTCACCACGTGGAGATGCGGTCATTTTTTTTATTTTGGTACTTTTTACAGAGCTATACATAAATTTGGGCTGTGAAGCCAGCTTATGGCAGCTTGGCCTTTCTGCGATACAAATGTATCGCGATGAATTTTGCATGACCGAATAATTTCTAAGTTGGCTCTGCAGCTCTATTTACACTTCATAATGAAGTCACGGAAACTCCAAAAGCAAACCAATAAAAAATTGTAAAAAAAAACTACTCGGAAAAGTCTGGAATCTTTTCTCGTCCTCGGTCTGACACCTAGATATTACGAATCATCATGTCCTTTTGACCACTTTGTATGTGCTTTGCACTTTCAAATCAGTTAGGTCTTACCAGGGTGGTTGAGTAGATGCCCTCGTCTAAACTGGAACAGGTGGGCACCGTAGCTACTCTCGTCATGTTTTCATGAGTTCATTTTGTTTTCTTTGCCAAAGCGAGGGCAGTAAAAGCGCGGCACGTCTGGTGGCTGGCTGCAGGTGCCTCGAAGGGAAGTGCGAAGAGCTGCGGAAGCGCGTGCTTCGGCGAACCAAGAGTCTGGATTTGATCCAGTCGGGGCTGGACGGCCTCTACTCGGAGGCAGCATCCACGGAGCAGTGGCTGCGGGAGAAGAAGTCTGCCCTGGAGCAGCTCCCAAACCCGGGATACCAGAGCACCAACGTGGAGGCAGCTCTCCAGAGGATAAAGGTTGGCCGTTGACGCTGCTACCATATCAGCACTCCATTCACTCCTGAACTTAGAGTGCAGTGGAAGCTATGTGCTTGTTGGATCAGTCATACGTCTATCTCACTCCCGCCGATACCCATGCGTAGAGGGCGGAATCAGGGGATGAACGGGAGGCGGCTGATCGGTTCGGCGAGCATGGAGCTCCCACCGCACTGTCAGCTATGCTGTTTAGTATAGGCGGCATACCAGAGGGAAACCTAACTTGTCCCAAGTTTGGCAGTCCAAGGCGCCTAACTTAAGTCTAATAGGGTTTTACTACTTTTGTTAGGGCCAAAGTACCGTAAAAACCCGCATATAATACGAACCCGCGTATAATACGAGGCATGATTTGAGGACCGCGAAGGAAAAAAAAAAAGTTTTATCCGCGTATAATATGAAACAATTTAAGGACCGCGAAAATATTCCGCGTAAAATGCAAGCCAGGAAGTCTTAAGAAAAACATATATTTGCGTCGTAATTGAACCTTAATCACTGTCATCACTTCCATCAGACTCCTTGTCCGATGCCTCCTCCCTAAGGCAGTCGTCTTTAGTGTCGTCGGGCACATTTGAAATTCCATACTTCTTGAAAGAGCGAGCGACGGGCGTGCACCGACGCAGTGAAAGCCCGGCGCGGCGTATAAAGCGAACAACCTAGTGTACCCAATGTCGGCTCATCAAAGTTCTCTGGCCCTCTCTTGCAGCAGCTTGATGACTACGGCGACGTGCCGTTCACGTTGCTCTTTTACAAAGTCGCCGAGACTTGCCTCGACGTCGGCGAGCACGCCATTTTTTGGGCCTCCAAAGCTTCTTCTCGTTCCGTTGAACGGGAACAGAGCTTGATTTCGTCGTCTCCATCCGCGGATGCCGCCTTCATTTTCGGCGAATTGTCGCCCGGCAGCACTGTTGCCGATGTCTTCCGCAACCAAAATTACTTTTCTTTTGAAGGCGGCCGAGCATCGTTTTCGGCGATTCGCGCCGACGCCATTGCCCAGCCTGACCGTGGACACATGGTGGCTTCTCGGACATTGTGATTTTAATGATGATGATAGCTGTTTTGAACGCCATATTGCTACGAAACCGAAACCACGTCAAACTGCGTCAGATCGCGCCTCACAGAAGCTGAAAATTGTTGGGACCCACGTATAATACGAACCGCAAATTTTACATGGCAAAATTTGAAAAAAAACCTCGTATTATATGCGGGTTTTTACGGTACTTCGCTTTGGCCCCAACCAGCTGGAGAAGTGCCGAAGTATGGCTTTTCTTTTTCGGTTCACCAGATGGCTGCGCCATACACAAGCCATAGATGCCAGGTGACTGCCAAACAACCAGCACTTGAGCCTAATTTTGACTTTGGCTCGGCAGCTGAGGCCCCAAGGTTGCCAGATGACAACCGACCAACTGGGCAGTGTAGCTTGACTCAATCCCAAACTCTGGCCAAAAAATGTTGAGTTTGGTTAAGCATTAGTTTGGGCTTTCACGATGCTAAATTCCCGGACAGAAGCCAAAATTTGACCCAACAGACTGCGCTGCCCGGGCAGAGATGGGATTGCTGTACCATTCGCATATAAACTGTGCCCCGTTACATATCCTACTACAATTTTCCAAGATCCTAGGAATTTGCAATCAAACTGTAGATTCAACTTTCCAACACCAAAAATGAACACCGCAAACACCAAAGTTGTGGGGGAAAAATAAATCCCTCAAAAAAGACCCCAAACTCGGAAGAAGCATAAACCCCGAGAACACGGAACCCTACTTATATTTAGGATTCCCTGTTTGTGGATAAATCCAAAAAAATCCGATAAACACTCCACGGTAAATTTTTTGCCAATTCAGATTTATCCGGAAAGCACCGCATTCTGATGTCGCAATGTAAAAATAAAATGCAAAAAAGCCTGTGTTTTACGAACAAACTTCACAAGAGCACAGGATCAGTGGACCTGAGGACATGCCACTTCAGTTTCCTTTGAAATCTTGAACTACTGACAAAAGGGGTTTGCCTCTTAGCTCGTCAAGCTTCCTTCGGGACAATGGGTCAGGCACCGAAATTTAATTTATTTTGTTGTTTTCATCATGTTCAATTTATTTAGTTCTTTTTTTTTAATTTTTAAGTTAGGAAATACAAATAAATCAACTCTCAAGATCAGAAAAGTGGGAATTTAGAAAAAAAAGCTTGAGGTACACCTTAGCACTTCTTATGAGTTGTGAATACGAAAGCATAAAGGCCCCTCTGACGATGTGGATGAGAGGCGGCGCCATGTTGGTCGGCGGCAAGACGAGCAGAAGCCTCCGAGAGCGAGCCAGTGGGTCCATTTTAACCGGCGCAGGGCCTGTAGTGGCATGGGGTTGCGGCAGTTAGTTTTATCGGTGCGCTGGCGGCACGGACACGCAGGGCCATCTGGTGGCGGTCGTTAAAATTGACGCGTGAAGCGGCCAATGGGAGCCTCGTCGCTGCGTGCCAGCTAATGGAACCTTTGGGATCAGGGAAACTATGTGCCGTTTTCGCGCTTCAAACTCATGACGTCGGCTCGCTCCATGGTGCCAGTTAATGCTTTTGCATTATTTAACTCTATTGAACCCCGAATCTCGAGCGAAAAATAAACTGAGAAAAACACCTTTCTAATTTACTGAAAAACCAACTCCGAAAACATGGAATCCTGCTGTTAATATGTGAGGATTTAAACAGAATCAAAATATTAAGGTGGGCTATAGTCATTATTTAGGTAAGAATGGCAAAGGGGCGCTTCAATTGTCCCGAATCCAATGAAAGCTTTCTACCTTTAACAGCGCTTCAATATCTTGTGCACCTCAAGCCCGCGCGCACAGCCAAAGCACGGTGGAAGGCATGAAGCGCATGCTGGTAGCCGGGCATTCGAAAGACGCACCGTGCCAATCTCACTCTGTCAGTGACCGCGCAGACTCACCTGACTCGATTGACTCACGTCTTTCCCCCACGTCCCCCTTCTCCTTCCAGGCGGAGCAGCGCGAAGTGGAGAACAAGCGTGCCGTGGTGCAGGACTTCGAGAAGCGCATAGAGTCTCTCTCGCACGAGCTGGACAGCCTGGACGCCCAGCAGCTGGAGCAGACCCTGGGAGACCTGCGGGCCCAGTTCTCGGACCTGCAGTCCCTGCTGGTCTCGCGCGCAGACGACCTCACGGCCCTGCTAGGCAGCGCCTGCCAGCTGGACGACGAGCTCGAGATCGTGCGCCAGTGGCTGCGCGAGAAGGAGCAGGACCTGCGTCGCATCGGGACCCCCGCCGAGGACAAGGCGGAGCTGCGGAACCGCCTCGAGTCCGTCCAGGTAGGGCCTGCGTCAATCAATAATAGAAGTCCGGTGCTGGAAAGTGTGTACCTGTGTTTTAGCAAAACCTGTTGTCTCCCACTTGCCCTCATGACGTCATGCGAGGCCGATTTCAGGCTGTTTCGCGGTTGTCCATGTAAGGCGTGAGTTCCCAAACTGGGTTGTTAGGAACACAAGCATTGCCCAGAGTATTTTCGGGCATTCCCCAATATTCCAAATTTTTTGACCATCCCTGCTTCTGAGTAAAGAGTTCTTTTTTTCTTTTAAAGCAATAGTTTAGCAGATATAATCAATCTACTGGCACACAACGGTCCGCCAAACGCTCTCTAGTATGAGCAATGCTGTTTACATGGCCGTGGCCTGTACCGCTTTATAGAACTAATGTCGGGACTGGGAAGGGTCTTTTGACGTCCAAAAAGATAGGTGTTCCTCTAGATAGAAACGTTTGAGCACCCCGGATGTAAGGAACTCGAGATCTAGCTTCGAAAGTATTTTTCTCTCGTATGTTTTAAAGGGCAGATTGCTACAGTTCACCCTTTGATGGTCGTCGTCGTACATGTACGTTGATGATTACAGATTTTAAGTGCCCGCCTAACGGGAACTGCGCGCACCACGGAAGGTGTTGCTATTATTTTGTATGTTTTGGGCGAACTATAAACTAATGGTGGACCAAATCTGCCAAACTTCAGATTAGGCAAATTTTAGCACATGCCGAACTTTTGAAGGAAAGTTTGTCAAAGATTGAGCAAAGATTCGGCAAACGTCTGCGCATGAGCGAGAACGTGACGGGGCCATGGATTGCAAATGGACAATGTGCGGTTGTGCGGTTACCATTGTAAAGTGTAGTACTAACAGCGGTTGCGGCGAGGTGCAGAGTAGGGGACATGCTAACTGTGTGTTTGTCAGTTTTTGTGAGTGTGGTTCTCTTCAATATTTTCTGCCTCAAGAACAGATCGACCAGGAATTGTTGCAGTCCACTGCCCAAGTGACAAATGATGCAGTACAATCTGGATAACATGATTTTCATTTGACCTTTCCAGCGATGCAACAAGGTAGTTGCAACATTGGCTGACAAGTACTTTAAAGCACTCCTCGCAATTATAGCAATGTTGTTGTCAGCTTAGAAGTGGTCTGTGCCAAAAAAAAAAATAATATTGCTTTTTAATTAGCGTTATTTTACGGTTTTCATCTCTCAGCATAAAACTAAACTCGGAACTATCATGCTCGACGTTGCACATCCGACATTTCTAACTCTTCCCGTCTTCCTAAACGTCCGCGTGCTTCCTGACATCAAAAACCGCCATTTTAAAAGTTAAAAACGAGACGTTGCGAAAATGGGATGCACACTTTCATGCAAAGCTGGTGTCAAGCAACTCAAATCGAAAAAAACATGCATACTTCCAATGAAATTGTTATCTCTTCTGTTGGAGGCTCAGCAGCCGTTGCATTAATTTTTGTGCAGAAGTGGTGTGACAACCTCGTTGTCACACCACTTTTGCAAGAAGTCACTGTAAAATTGCCAGTAAACACACAAAAATGACACTAGCTATACTTTTATCTCATAGAATATCACCTTAATTAAGTAATAACTATGTCAATATGCATTATACGTTACATTTAAGCTTAAAAAAAAGAAAATCTTTTTTGGCGGGAAAAACAAAATATTATTTTTTAAGTCTGGCAACAATGTATTTTTGCTGAATCTTTGCCGAATCTCTAGAAAAGTTTGGTAAACTTTTCTAGAGATTCTTTTTGGCAAACGTTCCGCCCATCACCGCTATAAACGTTATATTTACCTGGTGCTTCGCTTTGCTAGGCTATTTATAGTTTTCAAATTAGACGCTCTGCAGAGGTGATGCTCACCTTGCATACCGGCCACTCTGGTTAGGTGCCAGTGGTGTCCAATGGGAGCACTGGCTCTTCCGATTTATACTTGCGACGCTTTTCGGAATTAAACTCAGAGGATGAGAGCTCATCATCCGACGGAGGAACTCTGTTAAGTATTTCCGGTTAGGTACCTGGAGCTGCTGGAATGTCGCAGAAGCAGACGTGTCAAAATTAAACCGAGTTGAAGGAAGGCGACAACTTTTCGCTGTCAATATTTTTATTTGATGCTTCTAAACCTAAACAGCTTGCAAGCACTGTATGTGCTCCACGTGATAGTTAAGAAAAAAACCTGTACATTAACCCTTCCTTTATACTATTTCTTTGGAAACAAAACCGGACCACTATGAAACATCTTTGGGGACAAAAAACTCGACTGTCGAAGAGTTCATTCATCAAGCATACACTGATAACACGTTGATGTAAATAAATTGAGGGTTTTCTATCATGACCATATTCACGGCCACAAATATTCGCTTCTTTGAAAATATATTATTCGATTCCAAATTATTCTAACAAAGGAACTATATTCGCTTTATATTCGCTTCGAAGTGAAAAATCAATATTTGTGCATCCCTAATAACTGGAAATATTGCATTTCAAACTTAGTTGTGTGCCTAGGATGAACGTGCTCCCCTGTAGGGAATAATCCGGTGCAAGAAAACGGCCAAGAAAAATGGGGCATGTTCACGAAATCAAAGTTCCTTGATTCGAATCAGCGATCAATCATTTTGGCACAACCCTTACTTCTTCGCTGTTCTTTTCTTTTTTAATATTAGGAATTAAGTTATATGGTTGAACTGCAGCAAGTGTGTAGTTGGGAGGGTCAGTTCACGATCAGAATAAAAATAGCTCAAAAAAGTACACTATGGCTCTTGTTTGAGGATGCCCTGTCCTTTTTTTCTTTGTATCTTTTATGTTAATGTGTTTGTTGCGAATAAAAAATGACAGTCGATTGTTGGCGCTGCGTATGCGTAGCTCTCTTTTGCACTTATTTTATTTATTTTGATAAACTGAATTGTTTTGACCTGTTCAGACCTAGACTGGTGATGACTTCCATTGGCACAAGTGGTGCATCCCAAGAACTGGTTGCCCATATCCCGAGTATCCCGCTTTCGTATCTTTTCAGGCCATGGAAAAAGAGGTGAAGTCGTTCGAAGAGGGCAGACTGGCCGCCCTGGTGCGCCACGGCAAGGGGCTGGAGTCCAGCTGCGAGCCGAACGATTGCACTGCCCTCCAGAAGTTGGTGCAAGGTGAACGTCTTTCCACTAGTCAAACAATTTCGAATTCTTTAGTCAAACAATTTCAATTTCTTTAGTCAAACAACAAGTCAAACAACCGGCTCTTGGGGATTTTGTGTCGGGGATGTAGCCTCGATGATGTCGCAGCATCACGTGACATTGTGACGTGATTTTGAAGGTGCGCTGAATGCATAGCATTAACGTAAGAGCGTTAAGGAGTTTGTGTCACAGAAAAGCCGGCGTCAGCCTCGGTGGCGTCGTGACAGGAAAATTCTGATTGTTCGATAGGGTCATGACGTCACAACCACATGACCTCGTGCAGGAATTTAAAAAAAAAAAGCCACAATGCTCACGTGAAACGTGACGTCATGCAGGAATGAAAGCGATTATAACGTGACATGTAATGCGAATTAAAGGTCGCCACATGTCTCAAATGATTTCACTTTATAAAGTAATTCATTTGGCTCAAAGAAAAAATTTGAAGAATTATAGGTGGGATTTGAACCCACGACCCCTCGGTTGCAAGCCAGACACGCTACTGACTAGTCCACGCAGAGACGCTTGCCCGGCTTGGGAATGAGTGGGAGTTTATATGTTTAGCTATTAGTCTTGTGCGAATAGTGGATTTTGAGTTCGAAGCGAATTCGAAGCGAACAGTGGTTTTTCCCAAATATTTTCTATTCGAATATCGAATAGTTTTTCCACGCCTTTCACTACCATTGCATAATACTTAGACAAAACCCCAGCTAAACTTGTGAAGGTTGTTCCACTTGTTTATTTATAAACTAAGGTTAATCTATCTATATTTATGAACTGTGACCTCAGAAGGTCTGGTGTCAGGTCTGGTGTTATACTCTTGCATAACAGTTTAATTTTGAAACTTTTACTACAATGTAGATATACACATTCACAAACTTTTCATTTATTTTCGAATACAGTCGGCACAGGTGCACCATCCTGCTTTGAATGTATGCTTTACCTCCAAGCACGCAATTACAATACTCATACTTTTCCAAGTGTTTATCGCGGCGGGTGACCCCATTGAATGCGCTTCTTACCAAGCACCGGTGCGCTGCGGAGAAGCAACACCCGCGGAGCTCGCTTCTGCGGGTATTGCTTCTCCGCAGCGCACCGGTGCTACGTGAGAAGCGCACTCAACGGGGCTAACCCGCCGCAATCAGCACTTCGAAAAATGCGAATAGTGCGGTTCTTCTCGAAGCGAATATCGAATAGTGTATTGTTCGAAACTACTATTCGAAATTTCGAATATTCACACAACCCTATTAGCTATCACGTTCCACTCTTAAAAGGATACTTCAACGAAATTTGAAATATATCCGTCGTGTTTATAAATAGACTGAATATGATCCACAATATCCGTAAATGACAATCACACATTTATATTTTCAGCCTGATGTCGTAGCGACATCGTAGTGTCGTGCGACCCAACCTGACATTACGTCACGTGGCTCCGTATGTCGGTCGATTCCATGACTTGACGTCATTGCATCGTGTCACACGACACTGTGACATCGAATGACTCCTCGACGTGACATTACGATGTCGCATCACGTGACATCGCATTGTTATGAGACACTGTGAGAACTTTACATATATTCGCTACACCCTTACAATGTACCGTACAGAGCAGAATGATTTCCCCACAATGTGCTATGGTGCTGGGCAGCTAGACATAAATAATAGGGAGGAGGGGGTTTAGACCCCAAAATCCCCTCTCTGCCTATACCATTGGCTAAGCAACATGTCTGCTCACCTCATCTTTGACTTCACCGTTTTTTTTCTTCACTCTTCATCGATTGGGTCACTTCCTAAAGTGGGTGGTAACTTCGCGCCCTGCTGCCTCACCCCAGAGCCCGTCGACAGGGTGAAGGAGCTGAGGAGGAGTCTGGCCGAGAAGCTGAAGCAGCTGAAGGAGCTGTCTCAGCTGCACGACGAGTACCGCAAGGCCCTCGCCGCCGCGGAGCTCCTTCTCAACGAAATGGAGGCTTCCATGGCGGGAGACCTGCTCCTGGCAACCTGCGAAGAGGTGCTTCAGGAGCAGGCGGCGGCGCACACGCGGGTGAGGGACAATGGCCGCCGGCTCTCCGCGGACCTCGCCAAGATGAAGCGACTGGCCGGCAAGCTGGGTCCGTCCGCGGGAGCCAATCGGGAAGTGCGCCTCCTCTCCGAACGCAAGGACAGGTATGTGTAACAAATTCAGGCGTGACGACTGCCATAACCACAAAATAAAAAAAAATGGAGTTGCTCTAGATCTCGGTCTTGAACATTTTATTGTAATTTCTCGCTAAAATTATAGGAAATTCTCACATTTGTAAGTTTTTATTCTAAGCAGAAACATATGCTTGTTGTTGTCCTACGTATTATGTTTATAAAAAAAATCTCAACTTTATAACAAACGTTTCTGTCCAACTTTTTTTACAGCACCCCAATCAAAAACTATGGCACAAAGTATTTCTGCTTGTTCTACAAACAGTAGAGAGTGGAACAAAACCATTCTCATAATTCTATTTATTTATTTATTTATTTATTCAAACTACCTCGAAAACCCTTTGGCATTACATAAAAAGGAAAGGGGGGGGGCTGTGCAGCTTGGTACAGTATAGACCACTCACAACGTAACCGCTTATAGTGCACGACCGCATATAACGCGGCTTTTTTAAACCACTGGTTCGCCTCCCAGAGAACTCTATGTAATTACATACCGCTTAAAATGCAGGCGCACGAAGGGAAATACCAGTTATAGTGCGGTTTCTGGAACAGCTCGCCGACCGGCCAACGCAGCGAGCACGCTTCCCTGTGCGACACTAGATAACGGCGCTAGCCGCAAGCGGCACTCTCAGGGCAAGACGCGGGGCAAGGAGGTTGCTCAAAGAAGCGGGGAGAAGCGAAGAGAGAGGTTTCAGTTGCCATAGCGACGGAGGGACACACGCACGTGTCGTTCGCGTGCGTGCATCCCTCCCACGGGGAAGGTCCCTCCACTGCGTTGGAAAACAACCGCAACGATAGACCAATTGCAGGTCTAGGAGAAGTGTTCGCGTGCGTTGCATGCCGGTCGAGGGCCGGCTGCTTCTATCCGCGAACATGGCGTCGGTTGTAATCGTCGACGTAGACGGCGTGGTGGAAGCTCATCGTTCCGCGTAAAAGCGCTATCCTTGACTGTGAATTTTTGTTGTGTGTCGCTATGATAACCCAGCACGTACTAGAAGGGAAGATCCACCTACTTGTGCAACGATGTCGTGGAAGCATTCTCAAGACGGCGGAAACGCCCGTGTCGTCGTGTTTGTTTACTTCGACTACAGTGGTGATTTCTAAGCATTTGTGTTTTCGAACATCGCCCGGATTTCTTATTTGGAGCATTTCATCCCTGTGCTCAAGTTGAAGATATTACTGGCGCATATCGTATAAAGGATGCAAATTTTGACGCGTTTTTATCACCGGAGAAAAGCGATTAGGGTTAGCAATCCTGAACGCTCGCACATAGCCTCCTATAGCTCGCAACATCCGTCCGCAACCCGCGACACCGTTAAAAGGCTGAGCGCTGCACCAGGCAAAAGTCGCTAATTTCTTTAAAAATCTGTGACACACTTGAGAGAGAAGTATACTATAGTCGGATGCAACCTGAGAACAATCTTTTAGCTCCACCCACAAGCGCATTGCGCCCATCTGAAGTGCCTCCGCTGTCGAGAAAGTAGTTCGCTAGCAACGTTGCTTTTTCTTCCTCCAGGAAACGTGTCTTAAACTACTACAATATTTATTTGATTCATTCAGGACATTTAAATAAGTTAGAATACGTTTTTGTCAACGAAATAGCTGTTTAGTAAAGAAAGAAAGTCATGTCCAATGTACCATCTTCTCAATTCATTTTCTGTCCAAGATACTGTATAACATACCGTCTAACATACCTCTCAGCAGTGCTAAGCCTCGCGCCCGCTTCGAAATTTTCGTTTACGATAGCGTCGCTAGATTCTCACGTTGTCGCACAAAAACTGCTGCAAACGTAAGCCGATACCATTAAGATTTCATGGCGTAACCTCGGGCACGTAAAACACGGTGCAAAAAAGCAGAATAATTGTCACGAGAAACTAGCGTCGCGTTGCTAGGGCCAGCAGCCATGTTGAGCTTTTTTTTTTTTCAAAAGGATTGCGATTGGTCCACGGATTTGTGACGTCATGAAAACGATTGGCTGGCGTTTCTCGGCGTAGGATTAAATTTTCCTCTGAGAGGCATTTCCGGTCTTTTCTTAGCTTGCAACCGACCATAATCTGGTGAAATAAAGACTTTCCTCAAAATAAGCTTTATTTTTCATCTAACATAAAATAAATTCTTTTACATAGGTAAGTTGTCTTATGGCATATATTTTGGCCTGAAAAATTGATGTTTTCGTTATAGCGCGGTACCGCTTATAATGCGGATTTTCGCGACTCTTGCGACATACGTTATATGCGGTCTACACTGTAAAAGAATTTAAGAAAGTCATTGCAAGTTGAAGTTATTTTGAACATAGTTACAGTTGCGCACAAAAGGACAAGGGCAGGGAAGAGGAACACATAGACGACAGACAATTTTGGTGATGATTAAAAATGAATTATTACAGTCTTTGCCAGTTAGAAAATTCTCTAGTTAACATTCTCCAGAAGTATTATAGTCGGTGGCAACTCAAGAAGGTAGGGCGAGGGAAAGAAAGGTGGGAGAGGAGGAAATGGACCTAACTGGTGAGGGGAGCAGGAACCTTCTCTGCCAGCATTGCATCCACTTCCTCCTCTCCCACCTTCCTTTCCCCCACCCTACCTTCTTAACCTGCAACATACTATAGCCCTCTTGCATTCTGTGATTTATGAGGTATTCAACTCTGAAACATATTAAGATCTAATTTCTAGATCCAAAGATACCACGGGCAAAACTTTGTGTTTTGATGGAAAAATTAATTCTGGAGAAACAGGAAAAGATTTCTAAAACATGCTAGCCTGATTATGAAACTGAGTCGACATAACTATATAAATATGCACTTCCTGAGCGTAGTACTAATTAGAAAATATGTTGTTTGTAACATCTAAATTTAAAAAAGTGTTTTACAGCGAAACTGTTAAGGGCTAGGTTCCCCAGGATTGTGTTCGGTACCAAACAAATGTTGACACAAAACTCTGGACAGCTACCGCCATCTATGAGCGACGGCGGCAACCAGACACCCAGTTTGCCGTCCTCGCTCATAGATGGCGGCAACCTTTCCAGCCTTTCCCCTCTGGTTTTCACCAGAGGGAAGGCTGAATTTCTCTAGGCGTCGGCCTAAATGTCCTTCTCGGGGTCGTCCTAGAAGTCGTCCTTGAGGTCATCCTAGACGTCGTCCTTAGGGTTGTCCGAGAGGTTGTCCTCGAGGTCGTCCTAGAAGTCATCCTTGAGGTCGTCCTAGAGGTCATCCTAGAGGTCGTCCTAGAAGTCGTCCTTGAGGTTGTTCCTGAGGTCGTCCCTGAGGTTGTCCTAGGTGTCGTCCTTGAGGTCGTCCTAGACGTCGTCCCTGAGGTCGTCCTCGAGGTCAACCTAGAAGTCGTCCTTGAGGTCGTCCAAGAAGTCATCCTTGAGGTCGTCCCACCATTGTACAGCTTCGCTGGTCTTCCTTCTTCACCAGAGTGGAAAGGCTGGAAGTTTTGTTTAATTTTTTATTTTTAAGGTTACGATCTCCTCGTAAGCTAAAAGACAGCATAATTTTACTGAAACGTCACCTGAAATTTAAAGCTTTCAGGAGTTCCTGTTTTAGGTACAGCACTAGTGTTTTCTTACAAGTTGGCTTACCTGCATTGCGCCATCCGTGCAGACTTGAGAAGATGGCCGAGGAACGTCTCCTTTCATTGGAAGAGGCCCTTGCGGAGCTCCAGCGCAGGCGTTCCGCGCTGGACCAGACCAGTGAGGAGCTGGACGAGCTCTGCCGACGGATGGATGCCCTTGGCGGTTCTCTGGGGCCTGCGGTACAGGACGCGGAGGTGCTGTTGACTGCTCTGCAGGTAAGAATGCTGTAGGCTTTTAACAACATGAAAAATGCAAGCACGAGGGGTTAGGCAACAAATAAGCGAAATGTGATTACACGCTCCAATTTTTCGCACCTTTTTATAAATATTTTCCCTTCCCTTTATGTCCTTCCTGTTTCTTTATGCCCTTTGTGTTACTTTATCCCCCTTTATATAGCTTTACTTTTGTGTTCTTTTACGTTCATATGTAGTAATGTGGTCACTTCTCTTCCTCTCTGCTTGTGCGCTGTTTTAATATGATGTCTTTATGTTCATATGATGTTCCTTTATTTTTATGTTTTCTTTATGTTTGTCTCGATATAAATAAATACCAACTACTATCCCCAACAAAACATTTGCATCTGCATTAACAATTGACGAGCTTAAGTTTTTTAGAGATGAACCAACTTATCTAGAACACTGAGCCTTTGAAGGAGCGGAGTCATTTAGCAAAGTTTCGGCCACCACTTTAGCACTTTCAAGAAGCTTATTTCAAGCGTGGCTCCCTCGGGAAGAGAGGGAAAGGGCCAACGAGTGTCACACAGAATCGTTGACTGCACCACATCCTTTCCGATTCTCGCAGAAGCTTCTCTCGGAACTGAAGGACCTCCAGGGTCAGCTGGAGCGGCTCCAGGGTCCCGGACCCCTGGCAGAGTCCGTGGGGCGTCTATCGGAGCGCTGTGAGTCCGCGCTCCAGCGTGGCCAGACGCAGCTGGGGCGTGCCAAGCAGGCCCTGGCCCTGCGGCAGCAGTACCACCAGCTGCGGGAGCAGGTGGCCCAGGCTGTGGCCCGCCTCACGGACACCGTGGCCGTGCTCGAGAAGGCCAAGAAACCGGCTGCCGAGAAGCTGCCCCAGTACGAGAACCTCCTCGGTGAGTGGCCAGGACGAGGGCACTTCCCTCGTCACCGACGGAATGAAAACGGCAGAAAGCTGGACATTCCTTTGAATGTCCAGCTTCCAGCACATGCTCGTTACTTTCTGTCTGGCTATTTGGAATCTGTGCAAGAGACATCTCCCTTTCCTCGTCTGCCCACAGCCCAGGTGGCCGACGCCGAGGGGCAGCTGACTTCGGCGCAGGACAAGGGCGAAGCCATAGCGCAGGAGGGGTCCTCGGTGGACCGCAACACCCTCCTGGGAGACCTGGCGAACCTCAAGAGCCAGCTGGGGTCCCTCCGCAAGGCCATCCAGGGCCTGCGTGCCCAGGAGCAGACGCTGCTGGCCGAGCAGCAGAGACAGCTGCACGCCCTGGAAGAAGCCCTCCAGGGGCTGCGAGCCGACGAGGCCCTCGCTCGCAGCCGACCACCGCTCGCCATCCAGCCGGACAGCGTGGATGCGGAGATCCGGAGCCATCAGGTGGGTGCGGAGATTTTGCGTCGGTGCCCGAAAATCGAGGACTGTACCGTAAGATACCGAGCATCCACCCATTCCACAATAAGTGCCGATTTGTCAATTTCGTAACATTCGGGAAATACACAGAAGACTTATCTTTACATATCACTGACCTAAGAAGCACCCATCCCCCAGTTTTACGTGATTATATCCAAATTTTCACTGGGCGCTTGCTCGGGATTTTACGGCAGTCTATGTTATGGAAATGTTACTACATTCTGCATGTCCTTTAGTCACTGAACCTACCTCTATTCTTTCGTATGACAGAACATGGCTTATGTACATGTCTATAGTCCCTCTCAGTTTAAAAAGTATTGCAATGAATGCGACGAGCCATCTTAACCAGATAGGATAGGTTAAGCTAAATTAATTGAAGTTAGGTCATGTTAAGGTTCTGTTAGGTCAGGATTAAGCTAGGTTAGGTTATGCAAGGTTAGATTGGGATTAAGCTAGGTTAGGATTAGATTAGGTTAGTTCAGTTTAGGCAGGGTTAGATTAGCTATGTTAGGTTAGTTTAAAGGGATGCTGAACCAAAATCTGGATTTCCCAAAACACGCGGCAAAAGCGTGCAACGGGATGCTACAAACACCAAAACATCACTCATACAGCGATATCTCGAACGGGTGACCATATTTTTCAAGAAAAGGAGGCGCATTGGACAGAAATGTTGAGAAATGAGAGGGAACGGCCTCGAGTCTTTTCCACCTCGCCACCTTGAGGGAGCGAAGCGAAGAGAGGAGGAAACAAGGTATGTTGACGTCACGCGCCTCGTCGGCCTGGTTCAATCTCGACCTCTTTTTCCAAAAATACGGCTGTCCATTTGAGATATCGCCTTACTAGTAGTGTTGTAGGGATTGTAGTGTCCTGCCTACATCTCCTGCAGTTTTTTCTGAAATTCAAATTTCGGTTCACCATCCCTTTAAGCTAGGTCATTTTGGCATTGTTGGCAGCTGTGGCTGTCTCTTTTCCAAGGTGCACACGTCTCTTCACCCCTGCGGTCTTCCCATTGCAGGCCCTGCAGCAGCAGGCAGAGATCCATTTGGCGGAGGCCCAGGAGCTGCAGGAGCAGCTGTTCCAGGAGCTGCCCAGCGAGCTGCTGGCCAGCCAGGCCCAGGAGGCGCTGAGCGAGCTGTCCCTACTGCGTGCCACGCTGCCCCAGCAGCTGCAGGAGCGCAGCCGCTACCTCGACTCGGCCAGGGCCGTACGCCGCGACTACTGGGCACAGCGGGACACGCTCGTGGACTGGCTGGACCGGGCAGAGGGTGCCGTGGCTGCCGCACAGGACGGTGTGGACTTCGACGGCCTGGACAGCCGTTGCAAGGAGCTGCGGGTGAGGCATTGCTCAAAGAGTGCAAGGCATCTTAAAACGGTTAGCTTGAGTGGGCCATGAACGTCTTGGGCTATGCAAGACATTTTTTCTGGACGTCTATAAGACAGTTATAAGATGTCTTGCGAGATGGGAAGATGGCCTGTAGACATTTGAACAAAGCATTCTATATATGGTCGGTGACAGGTTAAGAATTCAACAGGTGGAAGTTTTCTGTCTTTGATAACACTTAATTGCACGCATAGCCAAAGCATGGCTGAAGGGAACATGTGCATGTTGGAGGTGGAGCGTACTGAATTCTTAACCTGTCCCTGACTATTCATTTTAGGATGTTTTGTTACTGTCCTCTAGTTCAGCTATAACTGAATTCACCTAATGCTTCTATATTTTTTAACCAGAGGACATCTTGAAAGATGTCTTGTTTGACATCTTGTAGACATCAACAAGACATCTTACACAACATTTTACTAGACGTGCAGTGGCCCAATAGAGAGGATTTTGTGAGACAGAAAGGGGCCACAAGGCCGTGCAGGGCTACATAACATCTTCTGAAGATGTCTCCAAGACGTCTTAGATGTCTTGCAAAGACATCTAATGATGTTTCGCTGCTGAGCAGATCAGTCAGTCACACTGAAATGCAAACGCGTGACTCGGCCTTCAATGTCTCGGTCATTACGAGAGCATTTTGCATTCTCTGACAGGACGTCTGCTCGGAGACGACGGGCTACGGAGAGTGCCTCCGCAGCCTGCAAAACCTGCTGACCCAAATACGGCCCACCATGGACCACGAGGCCTGCCTCCTCCCCGAACAAGAACTGTCCTCCCTCCAACAGCGCCTGACCGCCCTCGCATCTGCCGCCCGGTCGGCCCTCGACGCGGCGCAGGGCGACCTCGCGTCTTGGGCCACCTTTGGCCGGCTCCGTGACCAGGTCGAAGCGCTCGTTGCCAAGCTGGAGCCTTCCGACGAACGTCCAGACTCGACGCGAGCGCTGCGGCGAGAGTTGCAAGCCCTGGGACGGCTCCAGGAAGACGCGCAGCGCGGTCAAGCCCTGCTCGATCAGCTGTCCGAGGCGGCACGTTCGCTGGAGCGGCGGTCGGGACCCAAAGCACGCGGGGACCTCCCCGGCGCGCAGGCGGCGTCTCTCGGGAAGCGTTGGCAGAAGGCATTGGACGAACTGCAGGCTCGGAAGGAGAGGCTCGTGCAGGCCCTGGCTCACTGGGAGGCGCTGTCGCAGTCTCTGGCGCGAGCACGCGCGACGATGGAGGCGCGGGAGCACGACCTCGCGGCCATGCAGCCTCGACTCCTCGACGTGGTGGCCAGCGAGGAGGCGCTTCAGGTAGGCGTTTTGGGGGTGGACTTTTGGCGGAGCTTACGCCTTGGTTAGGAGCTCGCTTCCACCGGACTGTCGTGAATGGAATGTTCTGCTACGTGCTGCCTTTTTAAAAGTCGATTTTAAAGCAATGGCTTTACAGGGGAACCTCACTCCTGCTTTCCCACCCGTTAGCCAATCTTATCTGGGCTCCTCGAAATGCCAAGCACCTAGCCAAAAAACATTTCGTGCTAATACATTAAATCCCGCTCTAGCCAATGGTAGTGTTCAAATAAATACATTAATGTTTGAGTTGAATTGCAACGATCGCCAGTTGCTAGGCACGAAAATGGCAGCACCCACAAAAGATTTGGGGAAGGGCCGGTGTACCGACACTCTAGGCATAGCCTACATTTAAGTGACTCTAGGGGTAGGTTATCCAAAGAAAGACCGACACGAAAAAGAGACATGGAAGTGACATCACCAGCATCACGTGGCATGCTGTGTTGTTTTGACACGCCACAGGGTTACGCTATGGGACGTGATGCTGCGCGAGTCTACAAGTTCCCGACAAAAAACAGAAGAAATCGTGTTCGGTCGGAGCCCCTTTGAGCACACTTCCAACGTGGCACTAGTGCACTGTGGGGAAAAAAAACACCCCGCGGACTTGTCGCACTGCGGTAAAGGCCTGTCCAAACAGGCTACCACAAAAATCGTCAGGCCACACGACTCCTGCAAAAATCGTCAAAATTGCGTCAGGTAGTCGTCGGTCAAATGTCTATTGCACACCGGCCAAGCCAAATTCACGACTTTCCTCCTCGCCTCCTCCAGTTTTCTTTGATGCCGCTGTTCATCAGACTTGACGTCACACGGCACCCTCTCAATGGTGTGCCTGATGCCTGTCTATCTCCCGCGGCTCACGAAGTCGCCGTCCTTGCTACCGCCGTCACCTCGGCAGGAAGGCCAAAGAGGTCCGGCTTCAGGTGGATTTGCGAAATTCCTGCGTCGAAGCATGCGTTTCGACCGCCCCGGCTCAGCTTTCTTCGTCAAAATCCATGTTCGTAGCTCGAAAAAAAAAAAAAAAATAAAGTGCAGTGCACAACAGTGAGACTTTTAGTTGTACGTAGAAACATTGAGAACTGAAGAATATATCATTTATATTATTAAACTCCAAACCAACCAGGTTTGTTTGTCTATATGAGGTATGTTTGGAAAAAGAGCCGCGGGAATTCGATCCAATCCACAGAACTGCTGGAAGATGACACGACCTTGGACATGATGCACGCTCGCCTGGCTTGCCCCCTCCGGACCCACGTGATGAGCAGAGCAGGGCCGCCGTGGAGGTAGCAAGGGGGAGATCTGACGGGGGGAACTTCCCCCTCGCAGATTTGACAGGGGGAAATTTTCCCCCGGCGGCCGGAAGCGGAGTGCCGCACGATTTGTCGGAGTCGTGCGTTTTGTGGTATCCTGTTTGGACACCCCTTAAGGAGATTTGCGCAGTTTGGGTCACTAAAAAGCTCTGGCAGATTGTTTTAGCTACCTATATCTAAACACATTTTCAGGATACCCAGGCTTTGTTTTTCATGGCATGCTACTTATTACCTCAAAATTCAAAATAGCTATATTGAGAAAACGGTAAATGAAGGTGATGCCAAAACCAACATTTAAACTGTTTCTGACACTCGTGTGGGGTGGCATCAAAAGTTGTGTAACTTGCAGGTCAAGCAGACATTCTTTTTAAAGTGCAGCTCTTAGGCACCCGATTCCGGCTTGAGCGGCGTCACCATCACCGCGCTCAGGGGCAGATTTAGAGGGGGGGTCCGGATGTCCTGACCCCCTTCTTGATTTCTGCTTGTGTAAATTTTAGGGCGTAAAACGAAGGAGAGGGGGAGGGGGTTCCTAAGCTTATGGCATGCTGACCAACACCTGACCCCCCCTCAGGAAATTCCTGCATCCGCCCCTGACCGCGCTTTGCATTATGGGACGTTTCCATAATGACGTCACATGTGACATCACGAGGGAGAAGGAGGAGGGATTTTTTTCTGCTAAATTTAGCTGAAAAAGTTCCCTGGTATATTTAGCAGAAAAATATTCCTTGCTAAATTTAGTGGAAAAAATTCCCCACTAAATTTAGTGGAAAAATTTCCCTGCTAATTTAGCAAAAGAAAAATTCTGTGATAAATTTATCAAACAAAAAACTTTCCCACTACTTTTAGCAGGAAAATTTATTTAGGCAAAAATTTCTCCGCTAAACTTAGTGGCAAAATTCCTCGCAAGCGGAAAAAAATTTCCCGCTAGATCTAGCTGAAAAACTTCCGCGCTAGTGGAAAAAATTCGTGCTAGTTTTAGCGAAAAAATTTCCCCACTAAATTTAGCAGAAAAACTTCCCTGCTAAATTTAGCGGGAAAAAATCCCCCACTAATTTTACGGGAAAATTTCCGCCACTAATAATTTAGCAAAAACATTTCCCTGCTAAATTTAGCAGAAAAAATTCCTCGCTAAATTTAGTGGAAAACTTCCCCGCTAAATTTAGTGGAAATATTTTGCACTAGAATTCACATAAAAAAAATTCCACGCTAGCGAAAAAATTTCTGCTAAATTTGTTAAAAAAAATTCTCCCTCCCTAGATTTAGCTGAAAACATTTCCCGTTACATTTAGAGGAGAAAATCCCCACTATGATCAGTGGAAAACATTTCCTGCTAAATTTAGCGGAGAAATTTCCCCACTATGATTAGTGGAACAATTTAACAGAAAAATTTCCCGCTAAATTCAGCGGAAACAATTCCCCGCTAGATTTAGCGAAAAAATTTCCCCGCTAACTTTAGCGGGACAAAATGCCTTGCTACATTTAGCGGAAAAATTGCCCTGCTAAATTTAGCGGAAAGAATTTTCCGCTAAGTATTGCAGGAAAAATTCCCGCAAAATTTAGCAAAACAATGTTCCCGCAAAATTTAGCACAAAAATTCCTGCTAAATTTAGCTAGTATTTTTCCACTAAATTTAATAGAAAAATTTCCCCGCTAAATCTAGTAGAAAAAATTCTCGCTAAATCTGGCGGAAATTTTTCCCACTAAATTTAGTGGAAAAAATTACCCATTAAATTTTCAGGAAAACGTTATCCCGCCATATTTACAGAAAAGATTCCCCGTTAAATTTAGAGGAGAAAATTAACCGCTATATTTAGCGGACAAATTTCCTTGCTATATTTAGTGCAAAAAATTTCCCGTTAAATTCAGCGGGGAAATATTTCCGCTAAATTTAGCGGGGATTTTTTACCACTAAATGTAGCGGGAATTTAGTGAAAATTTCCCACTAGATGGGAGTGGAGCAGGAGAGGAGGAGGAGGTGGGGCATACCCTCTCCTCCGTGCCCTCTCCTCCTCCTCAAAGAACTGCGCTCTAATTCGGCACTACAGGAAGTTGTTAAGGTCTTTAATTTTTAATGCGAAAGCATTAACTGTCTCATGGAGCGAGCTGACGTCATCAGTCTGAAGCGCGAGAACGGCAGATAGTTTCCTTCGGTTCCATTGGCTGGTGCGCGTCGACGGCGCTGCGCTCGTCAGTTTCCACGACCGCTCACCCCATGGCGCTGCGTGTCCGTCAGCGCGGTGCGTCCAAGGTCACCAGGGGAGCACACGCGCCGACCGGCGACGAAAAGTATGCAGCAGACGAAAAAGGGAGCGGACGAGCGGCTTGCGTGCTTTCGCGTTCACAACTCATAAGGAATGCTTAGGTGTACCTCGATCTCTTTTTGTTTTGTCTTTGCTGGCGTGTTTTTTTTCTTGTTGGTAATTTGTCGGGAGCAATCTGTACTTCCCCCATACCAAAATTACTAAATTAACTCAGTTACGGCCCCCCCCCCCCCCCCCCCCCCCCCCCACGGCTCGCCTCCCGTCGTTCGACGTGCTGTTTCTGGGGGACGGCTGGTATTCCATGGAATACATTTGTGCTCTATGGAACACACCGTTTTGAAATGGAGATGTAGATTGCGCTTCAAGCGTCGGGAAGCGGACTGATGTGAGTGATGGGGGGGGGGGGGGGGGGGGGGCACCTCCCTTTGCGGGAGTTCCACAACTGAGGTAACATTGCTCCGTACTACATTTGACTTCACGTTTTCACTGTTGTCAGTAGAGCCTCTCATACCAAACTTAGAGACGCAATAGATTTACTAAAGAAAAAAAAGACCATTGTAACTTCTCATTTGTTACTAGTTCAGATGTATCTATTAATGTTTTGAACCATTTTTTAGGCAAATAACTGACTATAAAAATTTTGCCAAAGCTTTCTGAACTTCCAAACAAAACAAAAACAAAAAAAAAATCTTTCCCCGAAAAAACGAAGGAGCGCAACATTTTACGTCGCAAGACGCATTTTGTACGAGGAGCGATTCCAAAACATGCTTCTATATTGACACGTCGTTCAAAAATAGTTTTTTTTTTTTTACTATTTTATGTGAAGCATGCTTTGTCTCATCGATCGGGGTCTAGAAATTTGTGAAGCCAAAAAGTGGAGCTGCCGATTAACTCGATGCTGATTGGCCGAACCAGTGGATGACATCACACCCCCTAGCTCAACGTTGATTGGCTGGTTCAGGTCGTTGGTATATCCGTTCCAGGAATTGTCGTCGAGCGTAAATGCCACGCATTAAACCAGTCGCTAAACTAACCGATGAAGAGTGCCGAGAGCGTATAGGCATCAATCCCAGAAGAATCGGACTGAAACCACACGTTTCGCGTGCAACACACTTGCCCACCAATTTGCTATGCATTTTTTTTTTTTTTTTTTTTGTATTTTAAAAAAATATGTTCACCCCTCTCACGCTACCAATGAGCCCCCCGACAAAGTTGCATCTCTTATTGCTTCGAGTAAAAAACGAGAGTTTCTGAATAGCATAAACATATGTAGGATAACGGTAACCAGTCTACACTTTGGTTCCCGCAAATTTGAAGGATTGCGATTCTGCGGCTGGCTGCTCCTCGCTCTGGCGCTTAGCCGCAGCGCAGCAATGTGTGTGTGGGGGAGCCGCGAGCCGCACTCTAACACGCGAAGAGCCGCAGCTTGGCCACCCCTGGACTGTAAAAAAAGAAGTGGACGGGAGCTCTTTGAAAAGATGTCTCAATTTTTTTTTTTACCGAATCGGTAATTTGTACCAAAGTAGATTTAATTTGAAAAATAAAAACACGTTGGAACAAGAATTTTGAGAAAGCTCTCGTACTCTTGTACATTGTTTTCGCAAAGTAAAATTACCACCCTCCTTGCATTAATATTAGACAAAAAAAAAAGGACTCGAGGTACGCCTAAGCACTTCGTATGAGTTGTGAATGCGAAAGCATGTACGCCGCTCTTCCGCTCCCTTAGTTCGTCTGCGGCGTACTTGCGTCGACGGCCGAGCGCGCGCTGTCCTCGCCGCGCTGACCTTGGGCGTGGAGCCGCTGCCTCGCTCGGCGGCCAGACGGTTCGTGTTATTGGCGCGTTGGAGGCGCGGACACGCAGCGCTATGGGGTGGCGGTCGTTAAAACTGACGCGCAGCGGCCAATGGGAGCCTCGTTCCTTGAAACTATGATGCGCGCCAGCAAATGGGACCGAAGCCAAAATCCATCAGATTTCGGCTTTACTGCGCTTCAATGGGAGTGGGGAAACTAGGTGCCGTTTGTCTAGGCTTTTCGCGCGGCTTCAAAGCTGGGAGCCTTCAGATCGAGGCTTCACCTGGAGAAAGGACTTTAGGCGCCGCTTGGAGCGGCTTTAAAGCTGATGACGTGGGCTCGCTCCGTGGGACACTTCATGCTTTCGCATTGAAATAAGCAGCTCGTAGCAATCGTTAATTAGCTAACTAAAGAATGTAGCTGTGACTAAGAAAATCATGAGCCATTCCACTCTGTGGAGGTGGATGAAAAGCGGAGCTGTTTAGCAGACGACACAGACCCGCCCCGTGGAACCGGAGGAGACTAGACACGTGCGACGGGTCCGTAACCCGGCAGAAAGCAGACACGCGCGACGGGACCGCCACCCCGGGAGAGCGGAAGGAAAGGAAACTAGGCACGCAAACGCTTGGAACGATGACAAAGAGAGGGCGGTGCGAGCGCATGGCCGACGCGGGTTGCACAGCGGCAAATCTTCGAGAAACCCTTATTATCTACCTGAGAGTCTACTGATCTTGAAAACGGTGCCTATTGATAACTACCGTAATCTACTGAAGAGACCTATTGCTGAATTACACAAGCATCAAGGAGAATGCAGGGAATGGTGTTCCACGCGCCGCACGTGCTGGCGTCTGCAGCAGTAACTGTTCTAAAGCAAAATCCTAGAACAAATGGCATCTTGCACGCGCGTACGTCAACGCTCGCTTTATCTTGGTTATTTACTTCGAATCTTTTATACGAGGAAGGCGTGGGCGTGCGGCGGTGCGAGCGTAGAGTTTTTGGTCACGCACACGAAAAATCCATGGAACTCTAGCCATAAACAGCTTCTCTGTAATATTTCACTTCCGAATCAGTGGCGTCAACACCCCACGCTCTTGTGTCCCGCGGACTGACCTAATTAATTCTTATCGTATGCTTTTTTGGCATTTTCAGATTTTTAACGCTTCATGCTATTTGTTTAAATGGGTTCATGTGCGCTTTCATGCTTACAAATCTTGACACTTACGTATTCACCAGTTTAGCAAGCGAGTGAAGCACTCAGTGGCAGTGGTTAATTAAAACTTTGCAAGTCTCCTTCACATGTGCGTAGTCGCACCGGCGTTCCGACTCCCTCCTGCACAAAGCTCCTGTTCACTGGGAACTATTACATCATTAAAGGTGTTAAAAGGGTTAAAAGGGTGGTTCAGAGAATTTTTCAGTGGCGACGCCTTTTCAGTTCCTTTATTTCAAGTAATACGTCGTTTTAATCGTAAAATAGGTGGTGTTACGTAGAATATTTTTTTTATTTTTAAAATGTACATAAAGGGTGTGGAAAGTTAGCAAACCCTTCATCTTTAACAAATAAAAGTATATAAAGGGAATAGAAAAAGGGTGCTATACGGTAAATTACACCCTAGCGCTGGGACAAGTCGCTTTACACCTTTAAGGGTGTAATAACTTTTTTTGGTGTGTGTGGATGCGGATGTGCGTTGCTCGAATGCCCACCGCACAGACAGCGTTATCTCAGGAAGGGAGTTGCCCTGACACCTCTAAGGGAGCCCTATAGGCGCACTACACCGGTTATCTTATCCTAGCTCCTCACGGGGAGAGTGCATAGGCCTCCTGCGTTGCCCAGGGGGTGCTGCGAAAAGGGACTTGTTAGGACTTGTTTTGGGTAGTACAAATTTTAGCGTCTCCAACTGTCACGCATGCAGAAGCGTGCCTGCTCTGGTGCGGAGCGCGAGATCACGATAAAAATACAAAGAAACAAAAATTCGAACGCCGTCAAAGCTAAGACGCTAAGAGCGTGAGCGAAGAGATGCCGTTTCATGCGTTCCAAAGTAGACATGAAAAAGAAAACAAAATGAAAGCGTTGCGACACAGGTGTTCTGACGTCACCACCCAGAGATAAGAGACGCGTACCCTAGCAGTGGTGTCATGAATTTGGCACTTTCGATTGTCTTGCAACGTTGAGTCTGGCCGATTTCTGGCGTCCAAAGGTTCTTTTCGTTCTTCAGCACCACACAGAATTAAAAAAGCTCAACCAACGTGCCATAAGTAGTGCGAGGCTCAATCAGGTAATCTTGTACTACCCAAAATGAGGGCGCTACAGTTTGTTCAAAGCTTCAGCGCAGGAGGCCTACTGCCCCACTGTCGTCATCGTCCTTTTCTCAAATCAAGGTTGGATATTGCGCGTCACCGTGACCTAGTCACGCCGCGAAACAACAAGTCTGTGCCTTGTATTTGTCACGCACGAGCTGTTCTGCAGGTTCCCGGGGCGCCAAAAACAAACATCCCCGTCTCTGCTTTAAGATGTGGAGGGTCTGAAAAACGGAGTGAGGAAGAGGGGGGAAGGGAGGAGGAGGAGGAGGGAGGAGGGAGGGAGGGAGGGAGCAACTTTGCCAAGAGAAATCGCGATCAGGCGTGGAGTCCTCGTTTGAATATATCCATCCTTCCCATATAGTCTTCACGCCCGCGGCCGGCGACGACGACGACTGTCTTTTGAATCGGTCCCAAGATTCCGACGACCCCCACGTCGGAGACTGCGACCCGTGGTCCTCCCTAAATTTAGCCCAGACCCCTCCCCCTCCTCTTCCTGAAGTGCACGGGCAGCAAGGGCCAAGATTTCCATCGCGCCCGCATGCAGTCAGTACACAGTGTTCCTTTCCGTGTGTGTGGGGGAAGGCGCGGGCGCGTGGTTAGGGTTAGGGCAGCTGGGAGGTCTGGTAGGGTCTTCGGACATACGCGTTTATATTACCGGAAACAACTGCTTCGGCCGTTCTAGACCGCGGTGGCGGTGGTGCGTGTGGTGGTCTTCGCAGAGTCTCCTGTCCCAAGTGACGTCGGACCCGTTAGGACACCAAGTGGAGGACGCCTGCCGCAAGGCAGAGCCCGTCTTGTCGTACCTGGACTGGGCGTCGCAGCCGGCGGCGTCTGCTCTGCGCAGCGAGCTTCAGGCTCTGCGTGACCGGCACTCGCAGTAAGTGCAGCGGATCTCCCGTAGATATAGTACCGTATGGTCACTGATGGGAGTGAGAACGGCGAGACGTCTCTTTCGGATGTCCGTGCCCTTACAAAAATGATCAATGAGTTTCAATTGAGTTTCTATTCAGTTGAATGACTTTCAATTGAAACTCGTTTCATATTTTTGTAAGGGTGGCCTTGCTGCAGCACGCTCGAGGATCAACAGTCGCCGAAGAATCATCGATGTCCTCGCAGGGGAATAACTTAAGAACCTCCGTGCCGTTCTGGTTCTGTCTAGGATGAGAACGGCGGGACTTTTCGTTTGTTTCCGCTCGAAGCATTGCAAGGCACCGAAGTGTTATGCATCGAAGGTAGAAACTACACATAGCTCGCTTTGGAAGAGGAAGAACGGAAAGACCGCCCTGTTGTTCTCACCCTGTAGGTGACTACAGCGGACGTAAGCGTGCACGTCTTTGTGGTGTGGGTGTAGGCCGATGCGGAAACTGTGCCCGACTCGTCGGCATGTTGGATCGAGATGGCGGGGGTGAGGCTTGGGTAAACCCTGACAGCGATGAAAGTTTCCCCAAACTCTTCTCTTTTTTTTTTTTAGTGATAAGATTGCAAGTTAAAATGTAGCATGCGGTATGAATAGAGATCAAAACGATATTATATGTATATATATATATATATTGTAGGGTTCGGTGCTACTGCTCACCCGCAAGAAGGACCAACGAGGCAGATCTCCGAAAAAACACACCTTTACTTTCTGGTGGCAGCCAACCGACTGCCGAGCCCCGAGAGTCGACCGTGGCTCGCGCGCACGTTGCTGGCCGGGCGCGGAGCGCGAGTTCTTTTGCGCGGTGACGGGCCGCAAAGCCCACAATATATATATATATATATATATATATATTTGTGAATTTACAAGGAGTTTTATCGGAACTGTTAAAAAAAAAAAAAACTACTCCCGTTTCAATATTTAGGGACATTTTATCCGTTTTTCTGGGATGGGACCGAGCTAAGCTTTCATCCCGTAGAAATAGAAATTGTCAATCGTTGGCCAACAGATAATCCATCTCATGTGAGGCTTACTGATTATTTTATCTCCGACTGTTTTTTTATTGTTGTTCTTTTACCACGGAGTCGCCCTTTCTAGATTAACTCCTTAAATTGTTAACCTTTGTTTTAACTCTTGCCCTAAATTGTACAACGTTGCTTCTTTTTGTTTTCCAGCTTTTGCCGTAAATATTGATAGCATTTTATTTGTTTACAATTAAGTTATAGACATTCAGCACAGTTGCTATTTTATTTTTTTTCATGGCAGTGCTTGAACTACTCAGATACGTCGTTTCCCCACCAGCTTCCCACGCAAAACAAGTTCGTCGTTAGAAGTTAGGCAGGGTATAAAAAAATAGCCAGTACAGTACGATCGCTTGCCTGGAGTCTTTGAAGAGCACCACGCAGTATAGTCACTGTGATAGACAACCGCACGCAATAAAGAAGAAAAAGAAAGGAGGCATGCACGCGTTTGTGGACGTCGACTACGAATGGTGACGATGCCTCCGTTGTTACCATGTGGTCGACGGCGAGTTTTATCGAGCGCAGGGCGTGGTGCCTCGAAGCTGGAGGTAGAAGCAAAGGTAGAAGGTGTATATGCGGAGAAGGTCACCAAGAAGACCTGCCGAAATCTCTCTCTCTCTCTGTCTTTCCTTCTCCGCGTGAAATATTGACCACCACGAAGTCGTCCTCTGATCCGCTGTCACGAAACGTCGATGACACGCACGTGGTACGGGCTTATGCAACACCTCCTCTGCCACCTTATCACGCGCTCGCCAAGTTTTGTCCAACCTGCGAAGTTCAACTAATTAAAAAAAAAACATTCGATTTTTTTTTATATTTATTTTTGTGCAAAATTTGACGAAGTTTGGCTTGTTAAACAGTGTCATCCCACTTTCGCGAAACGACATTTGAGATTTTGGAAAGCGATGTATTTGAAGAATAGCCTGTTTTAAATACTAGACCATAGGGGACAAATACCGACGTTTACGCTATGTAAGTGCAGGTACTGTAAAATAAATTTTTGCGCGGACATAATTCTTGTGAATTTCGCAAGTTGAAAAATGTTGCGAAAAAGAAAAAAAGATGGATCACACGAATATTTTACTTTCAAAACGAACGCACAGCTTACCGCTTTCAATCGCGAAGTGTACCCGCGAAATATTCCCGAAGCGTGCACAAATCGCAAAACTCGCGAAGTATCGAGGCCTCGAAAGTGAACTCGTTTACAGTATATAAAATTTTAATTCGATAGCTTGTTAGTACACAAGCTATCTAGACTTGAAAAGTTTAAATTTCAGTAACAAATCACACCTTTTTTATTTTTTTTAATTTCGTGTACACCGTGCACATTTCTTTTTCTTGTAATTTGCATACTGTTTGGCACGCACATCTAACACATTTGGTTGGAATATTTCTTTAGTATTAATGTGTTTATTTTTGTGTACTATGTCCATAGTACTGTTCACGTGTCATAAGCAAATTAACCTTCAGCATCTTCTCTGCCGAGCATATATTGTTCCCTTTGTCAAGGGATTATTTTTGTCATATCTTGTTCCTTGATCAGAGGCAGCATTCTCTCACTTGTGCGACCTTTTCGTTTAACCGCATCCTTTATCGATTCACGGTTCGGGGAGCTGAAGTGGGACAAAACGCCGTCCGCTACAAGCACGCCGACGGGACAGCGGGACCACGGCCGGGAAAGCGGGACCTTTCCCGCTTTTCCGGCCGTGGTCCCGTTGTCCCGTCAGTGGTCACTTTATGCTTCCCTAGCGTGACGTCACGTGCAAGGCATGTATTATACGCATAGTAGTCGAACTTTTTTGTCGAACTTCGAAATTCAAGGTTCGAAAAAGTCGGATCTGGTACTTCGGTGAGTTCGTGACATCCCAAGATGTGGACACAGCACGCCGCGAGAGTTCTTTTTTTGGGTTGCGACATACGCGGACACATTTGAAGCTCGGCACGTGTGATGTCGTAAGAATGTATTCGGCAGCACTCGGGGAAGAGGGCACTTTTTATTGTTACGTAAATAACGTTTCGTAAGTAAGTCGCCCATTAATGTTTTTATTGCTCGACGAGTTGACGGTGCGGGTTCGGGCGTGAGAACGCGAGTAGTTGTTGATTGTCATCCTTGGCGTCTTTTCCGTGCTTCGCTTTGCGAGCGTACACGACGAAGGTCATGTCCCGTGAGCTCATCGGCTTTTTGTTTGTCTGTGCATGCTTGCGAGCGTGCTCTTGAGAAGCTCCAATTTGCTCACTGCTCGCCGTAAGTTCATTTTGATCTCGTTGATGAGGAATGCAGAAGCGAAAGGTCCAATCAGAGGGTGGACGGAACTATCAGAAGTGGGATAAATCTGTTGTATAGGGTCGGCTGAACCGACTTGGCGATAATCCTGGTCCTCCGCGACACTGACCGTTTTGATCTTGTCAGCGGTGGCCGTGTGCTGGCGTTTCGTTAATTGGTAATGCGACGTCGGTTTGTGAAGGAATGAAATAACGTTTATATAAACTTTATGGTTATAATGCAATTAAATGCAAAGGTGCGAGCGAGCTGGACAAGAATGACGAAAATAACCCCCGGAGAAGGGGAACATGGAGGGGCAAAGCTCCACCTGTAATGGAGAGGTCCCGGGTTCGATACCGGATTTTTTTCGGTCGCGCACCAGCTGTGTTTGGAGATTTATGTCTGTCCTTTGTCCCTCTTGTTCCCCTTCTCCAGGGATTAGTTTCGTCATATTAACTTTGGTTACATGAATAGGTCTCTTTCGTGTCGTTTTTCTGTCCGCAGAATGATTTCTTGTACCCAGGCAAGGCTCAGTTCTCCGAATCGCGAACGTGCGCATCCCACGAACCGTGAAAGGGGATTTTAGTCGAGCTTGACACTCGGCGCGCGCTCGATAAGCGTCATGTACTTTATGTTGTTGAGGATATACGTTACACATCCTGTGTGCGAAATCGACACGCAGGCCGAGGCTAGACAGTTAAGCTCGGCCAGCTAACAATATGCGTGAGGTCGAAAACACCAGACGTTATTTTAAGGAAACGACAAGTTTGACTTTGAGCCATGATTTCACCGCTTTCTTTCCATATCATAGGCACAAGATCTATTACGCGTGTAACGCCAAAAATGACAGCGCCACATAAAAAAAAAAAAAAAGACAGAAAAGTTGAGGGATATGTTAAAAGTGGCCAGACGTGCCTTGAGGGCTCCACTATGCTTGTATAAGCGGACGTCGCATGAAAAACGCCTTGCCCGACAAGAAACGCCTTGTACCTACAACGTGCAAATTGTTGCGGACGTTGTTGGATGGGAAGACCCGTGGGTTGTTGTTATTCCCGAGCCCGTCTGCCGCACATCCTTTCAGTCAACGTTTCTGCTGCGTCATCCATCCACGTCTCACATCCAAGTCCAACAAACACATGCAGCGGCGCGTCCACTCCACACATTTTTCTTGTGGAAACATAAAGTTGTTCTGGATTCGCGCAAGAAGCATGCTGGCGGAAGCAGTCTGGCCGACCGCGCGGCCGATCCAGCCGGCGCGTGTTGCGCAAAAGGCCGGCGCGCACGCGCTCCGCCGCTGCTGCTGCTGTAGTAGCGACCTTGTGCGGATGCCGAGCGAGTCCCAGAATAAATTGTGGCGGCCTCTTCTTGCTCTCGCCCACCTGGCCTCTGGGCTGTGACGCAATTGGTGGCTGGCTCGTTTTTTTTTTTCTGTTTCTTGTCGGAGGTTGGGAGAGAGAGAGAGGGTGAGGCTCATTCGGAGTTTAGGGCCCGGTGTTGCGCAAGAATAATGACCCTCTCGCGGTGCTTCATGCTTCCTCGAAGTCGTTTGAAAAATCGATGCATACTTCCGCGATGTGTAAGCAAATCGAGATTCTACGCAGCCATTTTTTTATTAAATCACCCGAGACAGGGTGTGAAAAACTTTGGAACAACTAAAAGTAGAAGAGAGGGGGAAG